ATCGTACTGGGACGAATCAGATACGCCGCTGTTGTATAGATGAACTTTCTTCAGTATCGGATCTGCGCAATCTTTAGTTCCCTGTCGGCAATGCTATACAATTACTCTATAAGTAACTGCTACCGGCTCATATTTAATGCAAGCATACGTGTAATTGCTGAACCGAAAAAAGGAAACAGGAAGATACTGGTATCAGCCAACGGCAGCCCTTGAACCAGTTACTTTCTGGGTTAGCTGTTTCATCTACGGATCGCCAGTCTCCATCGCGTCAGTAGCAACAACGCGGATGAGAAGAGCAGAATCAGACTTCTCCACGGAGCAACTACGAGGTGGATCTGGTTGTAACCAACGCATTGCAGAAATCTTGGGCCCTCGAAGACGCTAGCGCTTGAAAGGTATGGCGTGTTCCAAATTAGCGCGGCATGGCCAGTGTCTGCTGCCTGCTGCGACCCTCCTCTTGCACGAGTAAGTGGGCGTACAGCGAAACGTTGAAATCGCTGTTGTGACATGGTCGCCGAACTTGTGTTAGTATAATTGCTTAGTTAGTGAAGCCGGGTTTAGGAAAGTTACGGCAGCGCAGCTGGCGACCAGCCTCGAGCAAATACTCTTGGGATCATGCACGGATAAGGCATGCGAAGAAGGCCGGCAGTTGCGAGCGTCTGGCCACGACCGTTTCTTGAACCCTGCTGGTGTACTTGTCTTGCATAACAACAGTGTTGTTGTGCATGCGACTATGCCTGCACATATCTAACTAGTGGGCCACATCGAAGAACGACTCAGCGTAGTGCATGGCCAGAAGCAATAGCCCGTTGTGCTAATGCATGGTTTCACAAAGCGCTAGATCTTCACCCTTGTACTCCGCATACGGCGTTACCCAGGCTAACTGGGTATTATTCCCTGAACCTGGGAATTTTGGCTGACTGGACCTGGCGCGCCGAGCCATGTTTGGACCGTCTCTAGTGAGCACCTGCACTCCCGGAAACCAGCCAGCAGTATTGGTTACACGATTCGTGACTTTGCAGCGATGATAACGGAATTTCTCGGCCTGCGCAAGATGGCAGGCTGGACAGGTGTTGCGCTGACCCAAAACAGACAGAAAGACAGAACGGCTGGTGCATCTGTCCCAAATCGCTTGGCGCAACAGGCCCCCTCAACAATAGAGTTGGGACGCCACTCGAAGTCGGCATAGGGACAAAAGAAAAGGACATCAACTCAAGTAGTTAACCGAAGTAGAGCTGATGCAAGGGAATATCCTAGCTGTAAGCATTATTCTATTTTTGCCTTTATCAGCAACGAAAGGAAACGGGGGTTTGAGAGGCAAAAGTACCAACCCATGTCTTGGGAAGCGGCACAACTAACCATGTATTTGCCGGCTCGTTGCCGTCTCGCCTCATTGCGCATTCTTGTGAGAGTGATTGGCAGAAAGCATGTGTAGTCAATTTCTTTGCACATTTCTATAAGTCGTACCTTTGCTTTGCTTTCCCAATGGGCGATGGGCAAGGACGAATACCAAGGCCAAGAATGTTGTTGCAACGTCGCAAGCGATTTGTTTTTGTCACAACGCTCTTGTCTGGGTTGCTTTGGATCGTGTCTTGCTTGTATTTTTAGACCTTCTGTGCCATGCATGTCTCGATCCAGAAAGAAGTAAATTTAGAACAAGTTGGGGTACTGCGAGGGCCGTTGGCATTGTAAGACGATATATCATCTTCACCAATGCCTTTTTCTGTCCTCCCTGGCGCTTGTCTCTCCCATAATTTCTTTTTCCTTTGTTGTATTCATTTCCTTTTGTGTCGCCCGAACTGAGGTTCCCGATTCTTTGTACCTTTTCTAATTTCTCCCTTTTTCTTCTTCTTTTTTTTACCGAACCTGTCGGGCGGCTTCGACAACACGAAACTGCTTTGCATATATTCTGGCGCAAGTCTCTGAGCCGCTTAGCGGATTAGCCTCGGCGCATTCGGCGAACTCAAACATCACTACGCGCGACACCGTCGCAAAGCATCGCATAGCAAACCGCATCAAATCACATCCGCAGTTTAAGGCTGCTGCTGCCTCTACACCTTGCTCCTGGTTCCGGCAACCTAAGTATACGCGTGGTGGCAACCCACGCGGAGAATACCTGCGGCAGAGCGTTCCACGCTTTTCGCGGGCTACTCCCCATCTCGGTAAGCCAAACCAATCAACATGCGACAGCGCCAAAAGCTGCTATCCGTGCGCCTGAGTGTCCCCATTTGTCGAGCTTCCAGTTGCCCTTTTGGGGCTTCCTGTACCACCCCCACCATGGTGTGTTAGGGCGGCTTTTGCACTACGCCACAGTCGTCGCGGCCCCATTACTTTGGAAGAGCAGGTCTTACAGCAAGTGGAACAAGAGGCTCTCTCGCCAGCGGGTAATTTGCGCAGCTAACCGTCGTTCATGGTGGCTCCTAGCGAAGCGAGGCAAGCCAATGACTGACACTGATCAACATGTGCAATTGCCCAGTTTGAAGGAACGTTTGCTGACTTTGGCTCTGCCTTTGCTAGATTAGGTAAATACCTTTCTCTTTTTTTCTTTTGTCGTTCATTATGCCCCATCGTTTGATTCCCATACCTTTGTTCCCACTCACGCGCAATTGCCATGACAGAGCAGGTTCCAGGGCAACAGAGGACGGCCTCACAGCTTGTATGCGCAACCAAACACAAGCAAGTACCAGCATCAGCAGCAGCACTAGTAACAGTGAGAGGCGAATGCTCCACCTGGAAAGCGAAAGACAGACGAGGCCACAAGACAGCAAAGGCAACACTGTTGTGCAGCTAGCGTTTGGTTTTGGGCTAATGCAGGAGTGGGATAAAACGGTCCGCGCCACCCACACGCTACACACGACACGCCCCCTGCCTCTAATTAGTCCTGTCGCTCTTTGTGCGCCGTGGGTTTTGGACCTCTTCGGCTTGCTCGGCGCCCCAGGATGATGCTGCTGCAGGTGCAAGATTGTGCCTTTTTGGGGCCAGGATTTGCTTTTTTGGCTTCCGTTCGTCGGCAGTGAAGTGCTACCCGTCTGCTGGTGTTACTGAAAATAGAAGAACGAGCAGTTTGTCTCTGTTGTCTAGGGCCTCATCAGAAACACGATTCGAGACAACCAATAAAGCCTCGTGCTGCTGCGGGTTGAGGTACGACAAGCGCCGTCCGGCTGGGTCCAGCGAGCCGTCTCCGCGCCCGGCCCTTTTTTACAGTCCCCTGCCAAACCCGGAGCGTACGTCTCAATCTAGGTTGGGCGATCAGGAAGGCGTTTTCTGTGGTCCCCCAGCGATAGCCATGGGCTGCTGCTGCTTCTACTTGTGCTGTGCTTGAGCGTGCTCTGACAATGTTCTGTTTGTTCCTGAGCCGGGGGATCGCTGTTTACACTGACGGAAACCTCTGTGCGGGCTCTGGATGTAAGATGGCGTGTTGATGCTGATGCTGATGATCGGTGATGGTTTGATGAACGGGCCGTGCTATCTCAGAGAGGATTTGCTGCCGCCCAAGCATCCAACCAGCAACACCTGCACCTGCACCAGCTGCGCCAGCTGTCTGGCTGGCATATTGCCTCTACTATTACTGCTGGTACTGGTACTGACACTGCTTGTGCAGATGGTGCCAGGTGCCCACCAGGTGCCTGAGTTGATTTGCCAGCTGCCAGCCGTGGCCCCATGGCACCCTCTTTTTATTTTCCTCTCTCCTTGCGCTTGTGCTTTGTGCGAAGAGGAGCAGCAGCAACAGCGCCAACGCCACGCCCCCTTGTCCCTCTCAGCACACCCACTTTATCCGCACCCCTGGCCACTGGTACCATGGACGCTTCTTTTGCCCATTTCCCAAAAGAGGCTCTGGACGAGCGGTTTTATTTGCATTTTTTTTTTCCTCTCTGCAGCGGCTGGGCTGGGGCTGGCGTTGTTGTGCTGCCCTTCTCTTACAGGGCTAATCTCCCATGGAGGTGCGTCTGTCACTCGCTGACTCCCGCAATCTCCCCCGAAAATCCATCTGCACCACCACTAGCAGCTGCAGCAGGCCAAAACAAAAGGGAAAAAATAGGGCCATCTTTTTTTAGCACCTGTCTGGCACTGGCATCAGCGGCGCGCGTGTGTTGAAGGGTTCGCCAATCGAACTGTGTCTTGGGTCTATTCTGGTGTACTTCTGAGGGAATTGATATTGCTCTCTTTGCGTCGTTATCTTGCTTTGCCTTTTCCTTTTTTTTTCCCTTTTTTTCCTCGCCTCTACCCCCCGCTGCTGCTACGGCCACTACCATCCATATCTGCTGTGCACTGACTGTTGCTGCGCTGTAACTGACAAGGGCCCCGCCTCTCTCTCTTTCTTTAGCGCTCTTTAGCCCCCCCTCGTCCAGTGGTTCCTAGCGCTGCATCCTCTCTATTTTTTATTTTTATTTTTTTTATTAATCCCTTTTCTGGCCAACGTACGGACCAGGGGCCACAATAACAGTGCAAAGAGAGACGGCCCAGTGCGCACACGCCTCACACACGCCTTTTGCTTTCGGCTGTGGCTCGCCTTCTTCAGCCTGCACGGCGCTGGTCTGCACCCAAGGCCCGCCCCGGCCACTCACTGACACAAGCACCACGCCCAAAGGTACAGCGCGCACACCCAACTGTTTCCGACCCCTGCTCGCTGTATTTTGGTTCCTTTTTCCCTCCTGTACATTGTCCCTGTACCTCCCGTCCCTCTTCACTACGCGCGCGTTCCTCTCTTCTTTTAACCCAGACTAACTCTTCTATGTAGACCAGGGTCCCCTCTGTGTCTCTCTCTATATTCTCTTTCTGCGAGAATTTTCTCTTCTTCTTTTTTTTTTTTTTTTTTTTTTTTTCGCATCTCTGTTCGGACTTAACAAGGCGCATAGCAGGCCCTGGCGCTTCTTACGCTGCTGTAAGCCTCCCCCCCTCCCCTCCCCCCCTTCTAGCGCACCCCCAAAGAAAAAGGGCTGCTGGCTGCTGCTCCCCATAGCGGCAACCCATTTAGCACCTGCAGCAAGCCAACGCCCAACACAGGCAAGGCACTCGCACTAAGGTGTGCGTACCTTGACTAGCCTCTCCTCCTCCTCTCCTCCTGGCCTGGTCATCCTCTCCTCTTTCCCTCTTCATCCTTCCTCCGCCCAACTCTCTCTCTCTCTTCCTCACCTCTCCTGCGCTTCGTTTTTTCTTCTCTTTTGCTTTTTCCCTCCCGTCGAAGCGCATCACTGCCGCTGCTTTCGCTATTTTCCCTACGATTTGTCTTTGTCAGCGCCACAGCTTACCAACTCGCTCAACCTCAGATTACTCGGCCCGGTGTCTCTACCACCATTAGTGCCCTCCACAGCCAACTTGGGTCTCGCGCTCTTTGCCTTGCTGCTTTGCCGCGCTCCCGTCCTTTCGCTTATATTCTACCCGACAATCGCTTTGCTACGCTGCTCTCGCACATCTCTCACAACTCTTCCGACACTGTACATCTTGATCAGCAATACAAGCGCTGCCACAACCCGCTCACACACACGCCCCTCTCGAACCGCCGCACACTTTCAGTGAAATAACACCGAACCCGCCCATTGTCAAACGACATCCGCTTAATATCCGATCCTATTCGAATCGTTCAATGTAAATAGTGGCAAACCATGGACCTTCATCAGACACATCCTCTGCAACAGCAGAGTTCTCAGCAGTCTAGCGGCCAGGCGGATGCCAACCCGCAAGATGTACTCGCCGAAGCGCGCAAGAATCTGCAGGCACTGATCGACTCGGGCATATCTCGTGATTTGCTACATCAATGGGTCGACAGTGGTAACGGACCTTTGCAGTTGTCATTTCTCGCGAGCAACAACTTTGCCTCTCTTCCCCCCCAGCAACAACAGCAACAGCAACAGCAACAGCATCACTCTGCTTATGCTCCTCCAGCACCCCAATGCGCTCCTCCTCCTCCTCCCGTTCGTTCCATGTCTGACCCAGCCATCATCCCCGTCACCAGTACCTCGACAGTTACCACGGCTTCGCCAGCTTCGACAGGTCTCTCCTCCTCTACTCCCCCAAGCCTAGCCGGTGCCGATATGAAATCAGAGATACTTTCCGACTCGAACCTCGTCTCCGCTACACAGCCCTGGGCCGCCGTGCCTTCGTCCTCCATTCCGGATGGGTTAATGCCCGTCAACGAAGACGACTCCGTACAAAACCTAAACAACCAGCCCGTTTTTTTACAGCCCGCATTCCCCTACTCCCACCGCCCCCGAATTTCCGTCTCCTCCACCAGCTCCGGCTCCTCTGGTCACGCCTCTCTCTGGTCTGTCGGCTCTGCCAGATCGTCCATGTCCTGGCAGTCCGTATCGAGTGCCCGATCGCAGGCTCCGCTTCCGAATCCTCCGACCAGTAGTGCTGCGAGCATCATCAGCAACAGCTCCCAGCTGTCGAGCGCCTCGTCCAACAGCAAGACCAATATTTACTGGTGTACGTCCTGCGACACAAGCTTCAAGCGCAAGTACGATTGGAAACGCCACGAAGACGAGTTTCACGAGCGCTGGAGAAAATACCCCTGCCCCGAACCGGGATGCAACCGCAGCTTCTGGGGCTCCAACTCGTTCAACCAGCACCACAAGCAGTGCCATAACTGCACCACCTGCCCGCATGCTGAAAAGGTCGTCAAGTTTCTCCGCAAGCGCAAGTTTTGGGCCTGTGGCTTCTGCTCTGCCCTTCACCCAGCTCGCGAACGCCATGTGGAGCACGTTGCCCGACACTTTGAATCCGGCTTGTCTAAGAATGACTGGATGCACTCGCGTGTTGTCTACGGCCTCCTGCACCAGCCTCTAATCCATACTGCCTGGGAGAACCTGGTGACGAGCAAGCAGGCAGAGTTTGGCGGACGCCGCCCTCAGTTCAGTTGGCACCCAAACAAGACTGGCCGTGCTCAGGGCTTCTTGGAAAAGGAGAATCCCGGTCAGCTTCAGGATCTCCTAGAGTTCTTCTCTGGTGACGAGACGGAAGCCCAGTGGATTGTCGGCCAGGCCTATGAGCTGGCCGACGTTGTCATGACCAGCGCACCCACACCCTCGCCCCAATATGGCCAGTCGTCCATGGTGGCCGCTGCTCCCTTCCCGCAGCCCGAGACGCATATTGCCTTTAGCCAACTGCCCTCACAGCAGCCTCCCCAGCCTCACGCGATGCTAGGCAGCTCGACCGGCGTTGGACAGCAAAACGCATTCAACTCACCACAATTCCGCAGCAGCGTCTACACAACGAGCCAATTCAACACTGCCCATCGCGCGTCGCCTGATTCGTCACACTCGCCACTTGGCCTCTCATCACCGCCTACCGTCCCCTCGCAGTCACCAGCAGACAAGCGTGACTTGCCCGCCCTGCCTATGCAGGCTGTTGACGGAATGATGGACTTTGAGTACTCTCCTGCCGCCGCCATGTTTGGAAGTGACTGGGGCAACTTGTCCACTGAGCACCTGTTGGGTTCCCAGACTCAGCACCAGCAGCAACAGCAGCCAGCGAGCGACTGGGGCATGATGCAGTACTTTAACGATCCTCGCGTCACCTCCTAGAAGGGTGCTGGATGGATGTATTTGTACGCTTTTTGACCAGGCATACTTTTGATACCACGTTGTTTTTTGTGACGATTGTTTTGGGCAGGCAGAAAAACAGAACGGCAAAACATACAAGCAACACATGCGCATATACCACTTGTTTCTCCCATTTGGGGAAAAGGGTCTCGGGCTGGCCCATGCGACTTACTACTATTACTTGACGACAGACACATATACACACTCCCTTATTTCTTTTTATGTCTTTACGACGGGAACCTACCTCACAACGCCTAATCTCTCTCTTGAGAGAGAGACAAGGCAAGGCGACCTTGGTTTCTCTGGCTCGTGGCACCGCGCCACCTCTCGATTTCTTTGCAGTTCTTTTTTTGTTGTTTATTTCGTCTTGGTTTGATTTTGCTCTAACGGCCTCTGCATCCACGACGAAGCATGCATACCCACATACTCACACACTCCTTAATCACACTTTGCTACATAGTGTTGGATTTTCCTTTTACTGTTGCTTTTTGTTTCTGCTGTTGCTGCTGCTGCGCTTTACTCGCGTCATTGTTTTTATGCGGCTGTTGCTGTTTTGCTCATCTTCCTGGGCCCGGTCGCCCTTGCATAGTAGGAAGAGCTCGCCAGCAAGACTGGGCAAACGTGTACATTTTGTTTTTCTACGTGTTATTCTTTTTTTTCTTTTTTGGTTTACCACCGACGGGCATATTTGATTGGATAGGCTGCAAGGACGCAGGCCTTGGTTCTTCGTGATTTAGCGAATGATTAATATCTGGCGAATAGGGATTGGCGCTGTACGCACGCCACGGTGTAGATGGAAAGGGGGCGACGAGAAGCGTCATAGTAGGATAACTGATTTTTCCACGTTGAATAAAGACTCCCATCATAAAGAGCAAAAAAATACGAGAAGCGTACTGGTTCATTATCGTGCATGTATGTGTATGGGCTGACTACTTTGGTTTAATAACACGGGTTTCTGCATGATGCGGCGTTTATGCATCCCCATGACGCTCGAAACGCAGGCCTGTGCACTGCCTCGCCTCGGGTGTCATTGCTGCGAGCGCGGATCCTTTCTTGTTTCCAGATGAGTGGTCCTTTCTATTTATCTGCAAGCTCTCTACCTGAAACGCGCCAGTCTCGTATCCATCGAGGCAGATGTCGCCTTGTCTTAGTAAGTCATGATGCCTCTCGCCAGCGCTTCTGTGACGTTAACCTAAAAAAAGCGACGACTACACCCTGACCCCGGTATATCTTTTTTCTTTTATTTTCCCTTTTATAAAAAAGCCGTTCGTGTGGCTGACGCTGCGTGTCTCAGATGATTTTTGGGTGTTCTTTGTTGGGGTTGAACAAACAGTTTCCTAATTAGGAAATGTCCTTGGCGGCTGATTGGGCAGTCGGTTGTTAGTGGGCTTCGAGAAGCAAACAAAGAGGTTGAGCACATGTGACAGAACGCAAGCGGGCGCTGGACAATGAATGAAAGAATATTTTGCCTTTTATAGTGAGATGTTCTCATTGTGTATTTATATTTAGTCATGGCAAAGTCCAAGAACAGACGTCGTGCAGAACACCTGCAAAGAGACACGATGAAGGGAATGACGCCCGCTCCTTGGAGTCGCCTGTTCTGGCTTTGTTGTGACGACAAAGTGAAAGAGTTCAAGTTCATCCGACTACAAAGAAAGAACATTTCAAGTGCAAGTTCTTTGTCTGGCCAACTTGATATCTAGAGTCTTCACAATGGTGTTTAAAAGGCGTTGATACCCCATCTCGGCTTGCATGTCCCTATAAGACATTTATAACTATCCAAACGAGCAAACAACAACTGCTACTACAACGAATCAACAAAGCTCATTTCGTTTTACCTTGCAATGGACGGGGACAATTCACCGCCCAAACAGCCGTCACCCGGAAGAAACCGGGGCCAAAGGCTGCCCGACGGTCGTCCGTCAGGCGATACCGGGGACGTCGAGATGTCAGATGCACCCGTCCATGACATACTCGTCGATGACCCTGACGCGACAGAGTCAGAGAGGACCAACCAACAGACAGACTCCGTGGCGGCCGGCATAGACCCGCCTTGGCCACCTCCCGCGCCTCAATGGTACACATCATCCATCTTCGGTACTTCGGGCAGACAAGCTCGGAACAGAGCCGCCGGGCCATACGACCATACACACCAGCAGACGCCGGACGAGATTGCGGCGGCACAGGCCAGGGCTGACTGGCTCAAGGCGGACCACGAAAAGAGAGTGGCGGACAAGGCTGCGGAGAATAAGCGCAAGCGCGAGCGCCAAAAGGCTGTAGTTTCGGGCCAGAGTACGACTGTACGCAGGTCGTCTCGTATTGCGGCTGCTTCTGGCGCTAGTACTAGTGTCAGTGGTGTTGCTACGCCGCCTGCTGGGTGCTTTGCTCGTCCGTCTACTACTCCTCGTCGCTCGCCTCGTCTGGGTGCTGCTGCCAGTCCGCCAGTTGGGTATTTTGCCCATCCTTCGACTCCGCGACAGACTCCTCACGCTTCTGAGGCTCTGAACCCTGCTCCTGAACAGTCGGAACCCGGTCCTAGCCCTTTTGCGGCTCCCAGTCGCCCACGTACGCGTCTTCCCAATCGTCGTCCTGGGTCTGCGGTTCCCAGTCGCCCTACTGGCTTAAGTACGTGTCTTTTTGGTACTCGTCGTCCGTCTCGTCCTCTTGCTGATTCCCGGAGTGCTCCTCGGGCTTCTTCGTCGGCGCCTTCTCGTCGTCAAATGCCTCCTGCTGGTGTTCCAGGGGTTCCGCCTTCTATTCACGATGCAGCTTTCGATGGGACTCGATATATTTACTCGACTACAGTTCGTGACCTTCAGCATCTTTCTGGTAATGCTGGTGGCTATGGGTATCCTCCTCGCACGTCACGCCATCCACCTCCTCCCGGTACTTCAGGTTATGATCCCACTCATTATCCTTGTCCTGCGGCATCACACGCTCAGGCGCTCCCGCCACATAGTCCTTGTGATTCTTTTGCGGGCCCTGCTCGTCCGGGACCTCCGCCTCGTCTTGATACGGCAGCTCCTGCTTTATATGACCAGTCTGTCCAGTCTGCCTATCCCCAGTCCGCCCCTGCGCACTCTATTCATTCCCAGTCGGCTCATCCTCCGTCTGCATATCCTCAGTCTGCCCATGTCCAGTCGGCTCATACCCAGTTTGCTGATACCCAGTCTGTTCATCCCCAATCTGACCAGGCCCAAGTTGCCCCTGATCATCCCGATATACCCCAGCCTGAGTATTCCCAGTATGCTGCTGCAGGCCGTCCAGTACACGTGGCCCGTCCTGGTCCATCTGCTTCAGGTCCGTTTGTTCCTCAGCGATTTAGTTCTGCCACTGGTGCTCCTATTCAATCGACTACATATCCTAGTGGTGAGCCTCTCCTTCCTCCCCCTTCGGTTGGTGTTCGTTTTGATACTCTTCGCAGTTCGCGTCGCGGTGCCATATGTCGCTATTCTCCGCCTGACAATCCCACTGTTTCTCCTCCTCGCGACCTTGCTCAGCTTCGTATTGACGATTCCAATCCTCATATGACGCTTCCTTCTCTTGAGACTGCTCTTACCTCGACTTCTGGCCCTGTTTTAAATTACCCTATTCATACAGCACATCATGCTTGCGACCCTCAACCCGTACCTCAGTACTATGATGGACTTGGACCTGAATCTGAGCTCTCTGCTGCACCTCATCCTGCTGCTACTGAACCTCACCCTACTGGTTCTGCTCCGGGTCCTCCTTCTTGGTCTAGTAGCCGTCACAGTACTAGTCATTCACGAGCAGGTCAGCAACGAGCCAGTCAGCGTCTGCCTGCTGGTCATCGCCCTATTAGTCAAATTCCTACCAGTTTTCAACCTGTTGGTCACATCCCTGCCAGGCGTCGCGAACCTGACTATTACGCTCCTGGCTATCGCTCTGCTAGTTATCACCCCAGCGCTTATCCCCGGCTTGGCGCGACGCTCGAGAACATCCTGCCGCCTGGTGCGCGCATCATCCTGCCGCGGATGTCGCCGCCTGCGAACGCGCACAATTGGCGAGGCTTCCAGACGTACCCGAATGCAGAGCCAGAGGATTCTCATCCTCAGCCTGTTCAGCCGAGGCTATTTAGCGCTGGCACAGCTCCCGCGCGTCCCGGTGAGGATCGAGGTTTTGATGCATTCTACACCCACCCCCCGCTGCGTGGCGCGGGGATCCCCAACGAGAGACCTGATGGTGATGAATTCATGATGGGCGAACCCATTCCTATGACGACCTCAGAGTTGGGCCGTGAGAGCTCCTCGCCTCCTCCAAGCTCGTATATATCTTCAACGGGCGAGTCTGCGCCTCCAATTCGTGGTGGGCGTGCTCGAGGTGGTCGAGGTGCTGGTCGAGGTGGTCGAGGCGGCCGAGGTGCTGCCAGAGGAGGCGCTGCTGCGCCCAGTGCTGGACGTGGCCGTGGTCGTGGCCGTGGCCGTGGTCGTGGTCGTGGTCGTGGAGGAGGACGTGGCGGCGCGGCAGCTGCAGCACCTGAGGCACCAGAGAGGATATCGGGGGAATCTGACGAAGTGATGGGAGAGAGCTCAGGGGGCTCATCGGTTGGCATCGCCATGGAGCTCGACTAATGGACTTGGACGACGAGCCCAACAGCCGAGGCGTTGGACGGCCTCACCTGGCAGGTAAGTATTCTGCGGCCAGGGTAAGTATTCTGTAACCATTGTAAGAAAGTAAGCACGTTTAGAGAAGAGGCGAGTAAGTATCATAATTTTGCAGATCAATCAGAATCGAGTATATTGTGTTATCGAAGAAACAGGACGAAGACGAAGATTATGATGAAAAACCGGCTTTCCGGACTCCCTGAAGTGATAATGATGGACTAACTGTGACAGACTTTGCTATCGCATCCACGAAGCAGCGGTAGCAGAAGCAGAAGTCGGTAGTCCTAGCAGCAGTCAGTAGTACTGCTCTCGGCGTATTCCCAAAGACGAAAGCAAAAAGAAAGTACAAAGTTCTCGTAGAAAAGCTGTAAGGAACCCAAGTCTAGTTGGTCACATTGATTTCGTAGCCAATAAGAACCTCGGTGCTCGTGCCGTTCCATCCGCGCGTGCCCGCCGCGCTCAGCATAAACCGGCTCGACTTGTCAATGTAGAGCGTCGAGATGACGCCAGCACGCGGGGGTCCAGGCACAATCAGGAAAGGCACTGTCGACCCTTTACCAGATGGGTCATGCTTGAGGTCGTAGAGTCGCAGGATATCATGCGAGGCGCTGTTATTGTTAGCATATACACAAGAACAAAAAGACTGGAATACGTACCACACCAGATGTCGCCCGTTGACCATGGGCTGTACGGCGCTTACTGCACCACTGCCGTTGGGGAACTTGAGGGTTCGCTCAGGCTCCCATCCACGCTTAGCATGTCGGATATCGTACTCTTCCACGGTACTGTTACGACGACCCGCGTAGATCATGTTGCCGTCGGGACTCCAGCATGCGCTCATGCACCATGGCGGCACACCTGTCCGCGGTGAGATCCGGGCTACTGCAGCAGGCACACGCCTGTCCCAGATGCGGATGGTGCCGTCCATGGCTGACGATAAGAAAGTCGTGGCGGAGGTTTGTGTCGGGTCATGCGGCGGCTTGGGCGATCCGTCGACAACGAGAATAGGCGCAGATGTCGACTCGGTAGCCTCTTCTGTCATGGGGGCGTCTTCTGTAGCTGGTTCCGTCGGGGGCAGCGTCTCCGTCTGTGTTGTCGTTGTAAAGGAGCCCTGCGTGGTGTTTGGCTCCGTGGGCTGTGTGGAATCCGCAGGCTCGCTCTTGAGCGGCTCCGGCGCCGAATCAACGTCCATAGCATCGTCGGCTGGGGCAGCGGCAGTAGTAGCAGCACCGTCAGCGGGTTGCGCTGCTGCGTCTGGTTCCGTCTTGGGAGGCTCTTCTGTTGTCGCTGTTGCGTCTGCTACTGCTTCTGTGGCTGGAGCTGCTTCTTCCTTGGGCGCTTCCACCTTGGGCTCGTCCATATCCGCCATGGTCATGTCTGCCGAATGGTCCATGCCGCCCTCCTGGTCACCGTCGCCCATGACGCCCATACCTTCGCCAAACTGATCATCATCCGCGCCGAACGGCGCATCACCAGCCGTGTCGCCAAACAGACTGCCTGCGTCACTACCACCAAACAGACTTTCGTTTCCAGGGGAAGCTGCACCAGGCTGTGGTTGAGCAGCGGCTTCCGTCGCAAATGGCGCCGGGAACTTTATATCCTCCTGTTCCACATGCATGCCGTTGGACATGACGGACGATGTGCCGTTTGTAAAAGGAGCCGCGTTGTTTGTCGACATGGTCGTCGACATAGGCTGATCATCCGCATCCGCAGGCACCGGTGCACCGCTCGCAGGGCGCAATTCCACCGAAGAGATCTGGCCAGCCGTGCCCAAAAAGTTGCGAATCACCGCGCCCGTGTCAAGATCCCAGTCGAGAATCGACTTGTCCCAACTACCGCTCAGAACGGAGCGTTCGTCCGGCGCCATAGTCAACACACTGACGGCATTTGTATGCTGCTGCAGCGAGCAAATCTTCTTTCCCTCCTCATGGCGCACACTCTGCAGATTGATAGCGCCCGACTCGAGACCAGACAGCAGCCAGAGCGCCTTGGACTCCACGGCCAGTGAGTACACCGGCGACAGCACCTGCTCCGACATACCCGGCTCGTCATTCTCCCAGTACGACATGAGGATGCATGCCTTGACGACCGAGTCGACAAACGAGTGCCGCTGCGCCACCGTCAGCGGCATCTTGCCGTTGAGCGTGCCCACGCCGTCAAACTTGCGGATATACCCGTCCGAGCCGCCGGTGAACCAGTACCGCAGGTCCGGCGTCACAGACAGCGAGTTGATGCTGGTCGACTGCGGCACCGCCATAGTCGGCACAATGTCGTAGCCTGTGGCGTTGAGGATCTCTGGGCGCACAATCGGCCGCCAGTCGGGCTGTGGAGGAGCGGGTGTCCGCGACTTGGCTCGTTCTTTGCCGGCGTCCTCGCGCTTGGCGGCGTCCTGGCCGTCTTCTTGCTCTTCGTTGTCATCGTCGTCGTCGTCATCTTGGTCGTCATCGTTTTCGTTGTCATTGTCGTTGTCATTGTCGACTTCCTCCTCGGGCTGCTCCTCGGGCTGCTCTTCCTTGTCGCGGTCCGACTCGGGCGAGCTGGCGGAGAAGCGGTCCTCGTCATCCATGTTTATCCGCAGGATTTTCTATACAAGTGATGAATAAATCGTCTCGCTCTTGTCTGTGGGCGTCGAGAGGCGGCTAGGCCATGCCTCAGCCAGGCGTACGGGAACTCGTCGTCTCGCGGCACGCGCTTGGGGCGAAACGGTGGCGGCTGCGCTGAATTGGAGTAGTTTCGGTGTTTTGTGCAAAATCAATTTTACGTTGGCGGCAGCGCAATCTCCCCCAATTGCCAGTGTTGCGGTGCTGGCAGCTTAGGCGTCGTGCTTCAAGGGAGCTTTTGGGTGCAGTGCAGAGGCGAGGTTGGCGATTGCGCGAATCGGCAGCCGAAGCCGTCGCTCAGTTCCCCCGCCAAACCCGAATCGGTCAGCCGCAGCCCGGGCTTTACGCTGATAACTGCATTGCTATGGAAATGTATGATAAATAAAATATATTGAAAATCACGACTTATTGCCCTTATAATTCGAATGCATAAATAACGAGCTGAATATAACATATATGAGAGTTTGGGAGGAATTACTCGATCCTATGCCGCCAAATTCTCTCAACTTAATACTGTGCGCTGTGCTAAATATGCAGACTATAAAATACATGTCAGCCATTAGTACAGCATCTCAGTGAATCATTCAATAGGTACAATAGACCAACCCAACTAATAATCACCACCAGCAAAAGGGTCAAACAGCAAAAAAGAAGTATCAATGCGTGATCTGGGAATCGAACCCAGGGCTCCCCGACGTTGCGGATGGCAACGGAGAATTTTACCACTAAACCAATCACGCTTCGATGAAGAACGTGGCGCTATTTACTGCTAAGAACCTAGCGGCTCCACCGCACAAAACTCCAGCGAAGCGTGGATCCCAATCTGTCTCTAGTACTACTGGAAGGACGGCATCTTAACTCTATGTGTTTAACAGTTGCGATAGAAAGAATTTCAATAAAAATACTCCATAGAATTATTAATAGAATTATTAATATCTAAGAGTTTGAAAACATAAGTTTCATCTCATATATGCCCTTGCCATGTCACAAAATCTCTTGGTATCAACTTGCAGGGTAGCGGGTATATTAACTCAAAAATTGACCTCCCCTCCAAATCACTGTAGCATGCCATATATACAATTACTGATATACTATATGTAAAATCTCCCCGTAATATGCCCCCAAAAGATTAACAGACACCTCCTAGAATGGAATTGGCATCCGAAATCTCCCGCTGCTGCCATGTAAGCGATCCATCCTCATTCAGATCAAACGTGGCCGCCTCCTCAATGAGCTCCCACTCGCCCGTAGCTTCATTCTTCACCGGCGACCGAAAGACGACAGAGGCACCGAAATCATCAAACAGAACCTCTCGTCGCCGCAGCCGCAGCCACTGCGTATTCTCGTCGCCCTCCTTGGCAATTGTCCGCTCGAGCTCCTGGTTCTTAACCGCAAGCGCACGGAAGACTCGACTATCACGCAGCGCATTGCGCATGGGATACTTGCCTAACACGTCAATGGCGTACGCCCGCACCGACGGGTCGCGGCAGCTAAACGCGCTGATGAAGAGTGGCCATGTCCAGCCTGCATCCATGGCGAAGCCGCATGTCTGCCTGGACGCCATGAGGGTCTCGGCGTGCTGCGCCATCTCGCGGTACTGTGGCGTCAAGCCGCGCGCCGTGATGAGCCCAGCGTACCGCGGCATCGTGGTGTAAATGTATAGAATGAGGTACTCCATGCGGACATTGATGGCCTCGAGGTACAGCTGCCTGTTGTTCTCGGCATTCCGCACAGCGTCCAGGTACAGCGGCTCGTATGCGGCGAACCACCGCTGGATCCAGAAGCGCGAGTCGGCGACAAATGCAGACAGCTGCTCGTTCTGGCGGATACTGTTGAGCTTCATCTCGACTTCGGCCTCGCTGCGCGCGTGGGGTAGCCTGAGCTTGGCGGTTGTCATGGTTAGTAGTGGTAGCGACTTGACCATTTGTTTCTGCACAAGGCTCCAGTATGCGGCGCTTTCTTCAAAGCTGGCGAACATGGCGGGCATCTCGTCAATGTCGGTAACGTGGGTAAGTCGCGGCCGAAAGTACGGCGAGTGTTTGGAGAATGGCTGGATGTGAGGCGGCCGCGGGGGCATGCCGCTAGGAGGCCCGCCAGGGCGTCCTTGGCTGGACGGCGGTGATGTTGGCGGGTTGCTGCTGTTTGGAGAGCTTCCTCCCGTCTGCGACATGGGACTTGCTTGGCTGTCGGGACTGGGAAGACCAGTGTACTGAGGTGTGTTTGGCCCGCCTGGTGGGCTGCTTGCTTGGCTCGGAGGTGTCCGCACGTAGGAGATGGGCGGGCTGGGTATGGCTTGGGCCGGTCCGCCATTGACACCAGGCTTGTTTTGTGTGTAAAAGAACTTTTGGTACGAGCCCATGAATGATCTGGATTGCAGCTCGAGTGGTTTATAGCAGTCTAGGATTTCTTGTACCATGGCGGGCGGCGCCGCAGCAATGCGGACGAGCCCTGGTGCGATGGTGGTGCAGTTGGCTAGCTCGTTGAGCATACTGAAGCCGTGTACCATGTGTTTGAGCGCTACAGGCAGATTTCCACGCAGCGACTCAAAGCAGATGAATAAAAGCGACGACAACAATGCGGTGCGTAGGGTGTCGTTGGTTGGTGCTGCCGTAGATTGCAAGCGCATTGCCTCGCAGTAGTAGTTGAGAGCGTTCATATAGTGCCGGTTATCGGGCTCCAAGGCGCCGTGTGGCCTATTCGAAGTGGCAAGGGCTTTGCGCAGAGCACCAACAGCCATTGCACCGTATCGAAGCGGCCGCTCATCGAGAGATACCTGCGGCATGGTAGCAGCCCAGAGCTTTGCGCGCATCAAGCCGCCGCTGAGAAAGCCGATGGACAGGGACGTCCACTCGTCAAAGTAGGCGCGCTGGTCGCTATTTGTGAATCGAAGGGTATTGACATTGGGTTCTTCTAATATTAGTGGTGCCGATTTTGTGTGAATTAGTTGGCCGCCCTGCGAGGATCCGGCGTCGTGTTTGGAGTTGGGCGATGGCTCGGCATATGAGTCGCAATAGCCGCGCCATTTCATACAGTTTAAGCATGCCGGGCGAGTTTCGTCGCATTTGACGTGGCGTTTTCTAGTTTCCGTGTTAATTCATCTCATTATAGCATCAGTGTCTCTAGATCGAGGCACTTACTTGCCTAGAGAGAGGGCCAATGTTAGCAAGTTGTTCTTGATATGGGTCACGGGAGCAGCTGGATCAACTTACATGTTGCGCAGCCTGTGCGCGCACGAGATGTGCTCTTTCTGGTGTGCCGCGTCCTTGTGTCTAGGGCAAATCTAGATGTGCCAGAGCGGGCTGACGACGTTGGCTTTGGCGTCCTTTTGGCTAGGTTAGATGGGTTGCCATGCAGATGTGAGTGACCTAGCAAGGACGTACGGCTTTGGGGCTGTGGTGGCCGCGCCAACGAGAGGGATTGTGAACTGAATCTCCATCTCGTCGGTCCACAGGCGCGGCAGATTAGTGCGCAACAACTAGCAGCTAGAAAATCGAGGCATGCGAGGTGTCTAGAGTAGGTGACAAGTGGCGATGTTGCCGACGGTGGCGGGGAGGCACGGCGGAGTTCGCTGGCGACGTCGGCTATGAGAGCAAGGCGAGTGAACAACGGTGTGTGGATAGGTGTATATTGTTCTGTAGTATGGTAATTTTGTGCAGATTCTTCACCAAATGGCGCTGTTTCGTTCCAACGTCGCTAGCAAGTCAAATAAAGAAGAGTGGTGAAGCTGAGAGAGAACCAAGGTGGCCGACGACAAGATGCAGCGTTTCTCGGGGACGACCAAGAGCCCGGTGCGCGGTGTGTGCTGGTGCCGGGGGATTTTCTGTAGGGCAGCCGCCTTTGCAGCGGGGAATGCCTGCCCCACCGTGCTGTAGAGCACTAAAAGGAGAGTTTCTCCAGGCGGTCCGCTAGCGAGGGACCCATCTCTCCACCCCCTATAGAGCAGGATCAGGGACGCTAAAGCTGCAATAAACGAACAGGGAAGCGGTTATCTCTACACCGGCTGATTTGGGGACGAAAGAAGAGTCCGAGTCCGGGAGTTTGTATCCCTTGAAAAGTGACAAGTAGCCGGAAATCAACAAGAAGACCACCTGTTCATGAACAGTGTACCACCTATATGGGTACGGGTTATAGCCGCTCCCCCAGGAAAGTACTGTTTGCAATTAGCCAGCCTCGTACGTCGTTTGGGGGCTCTGTACCTACCAGGAATTTGGAATTATGCTGCACCAGAGCGACTACGCCCTTCAAATGCACATCACTGACCTGGCACTTGTTCCCGCTCCGCGGCAGGCAAAAAGCACCACCAGCAGCACCGACACCTGCAAACTAATAGCCGGCATGATGCGCACATCCAACATGCATCTAGAAGCATTCTTGCGTCTTCCATATGCCGACAGCGGATACAAGATTGTGTACCTTCACCAATCACAGCTGATCGCTCGCCCCGGTCCTCGTGGCAAACCCGGCCCGAGCTTCGCACCAATGGCTGCAAGGTCCCAGCCTAGTAATTTTCTTGTTCAGCACCGGCTTCAGCATAATTACAATGCAACCCAATCAGCGTGCCATGGTTACTCACTCTCTTTTTGAGAATAAATATGTGGTTCTCGTCTGAAGTTAGGCCCTGTAAGGTCGCCCACGGGTCCTTCGGAAATCAAGGATCCTGGGTGGGCGTGCTGCTGAACGAGACCGAAGCAATTGTAAACGCGTGCTCCAGCGGCTGGCTTCGCTCGATGGCTTCAGAGAAATCACTGGCCAGGCTAGCTGCCAAAGCCCTGCTTACAGGAGAACAGCATGGCCTGGTCAAAGCTCCTTGACATGTCTTCTGGACACAACATGGTGCAATGGCATTCCCGTTCGATGCTGACGGGCTGTGGATTCTCTGCAAGCAAGGCGGCGCCTCTCTTTGTTTGGCGTTAGGCCCGTTTCATCCGTCCTCCAGTATAAGGCAAAGACCGCTGAGAGCGTGGTCCGACGGCAAATCTCTCCGCAAACGGCAAGCTATCCTAGTTCATGAGGCCGATTATGTGACCGAAAGGCTCCGCTGATCGTCTCGTTCTCCCCGAGAAAAAAAAAACAGTTCTACGATTGGTGTAGTCGCCAAGTGATTGATGGCTTGCCTGCCAGGTGGCAGAGAGCCAGGCACAAGCAGTTGCAAACCCCAAAAAAGGCTGCGTGGCCCCCAAAAACCCAATCCCACTAAAATGGTCCAAAATTGCACCAAAAACTAAGCCCACTCCAAATTCCCCATCCCAGCACTTCTGCTAGCAAAAAAAGGGCCCACGAAAACAAAAAAAAAGGTCTCGACGGAGACAGGATTCGAACCTGCGCGCCCGAAGGCAATAGATTTCTAGTCTATCTCGATAACCACTCCGACACTCCGCCTTGCGGTGCTCAGAGCACATCGTCTTGATGGTGGGGCTCGGCGATAAAATACCTATAAAGCATTCACAAAGACGATGAGTTGGATACGACGTAAAATGAATGCTGTTAGGCACGTAGCGAGCATGTTGAGTGTCCTGGGCTACAGTTGAAGGCCTTTCTGATTTATGTCATGTCTTTTCTGAAATTTTATAGAGTGATAACATATGCAAAGTTATAGAGTTTGGTGGCGGTTAGAATACGATGGCCAAGCCCACCAAGGAAGCTTTGCGCTGTGCCCATTGTTTTAACGGTTTTCGTATGCTTAATTACCAGTAAGTGTAAAAACAGGACGCACTGGATAGAGACAGGGCAAATGGAATCAGCGGTGGCAGGCCCTTGGTCTTTTATGTGCTTGTATGGTATTGCACAGAAATATAAAAATAGGCTGAGAACCATTAACCATTCCCATTGTGAGAACTACAGCCAAGTCGCCTTATATCTGCCAGTACAATATGAAAGGTCTCGAAGACCTAAGACGGCACATGCTCGGCGTTACTCGCGGCGAGTATTGGACACAGTGTGTTTGAGAAGAAGAATCGGTTGGATCTCATGATTAATGAGACGGCCGATCAGCTTCTTGGTAAGGGGACTGACTGACAGGGCCCTGTGAGGAACACGGGGGTGGCGTTTATGCAGAGAGTGAGCGCCCATTGTCTCGAGTTTGGGTGCGGACCGACGAGACCCTACTGAGGACGGCGTCTTTTGCAGCGGGACTATTCTATACTGTGCACATGTATTTGATCTCTTGCCACACTGGCTTCATTCTTGGATTTTTTAGTCTTTGTTCTTCACGCAGTTACGAGAATCGTGGCAGACGAGTGTGGCGAAGCGACCGCGATGGCCATGGCTGCATGCTAAGCACCGCCCAATGTCCATAAATGGAAACGATGCGATGCGAGGCGTTGGCTCTGGCGGTGCGGCTGGTGCTGGGCTGCTATGCGAGGATACTAAGAGCGCCCGCCTGCCAACACGACACGGGGTGCATCAGTTTTTGCGCCGTGTTTCTGGCTGCAGCAAATAGTAAAAAAAATATTTAACCCTTGAAAAAAAATCCATACTGTATTTACATCCTTCTTTAATATGCATAGTATTTGTGCCTGAGACGGAGACGGAGAGGAAAAAGAAGTGATGGGCGTTGGCATATCCCTAGCTACGTCACCAACACGAAGCGATAGACAGAGGGCGACCAGGTGATAGTGGCCCACGTTGGCGGATCAACCACCAGACTGGGGCGAGAGCCTCGTACACCTGTAAACAAGGGAACGGTGGAGGAAATGGGCCGGTTATCCGCTGTTGAAAGAAATACAAGAATTAAAAAAAAAGAATCAATCGGGTGCCTCAGTAAAAAAAGAAAACGGACAGAAGCAATTTGTCGGCCGCCGTTACTATAGGGTTTGTCTCGTAAACCATGTTCCCCTGTTTATGCGCAGCTGACACAAGGTGCTGCTGGTGCTGGTGCTGGTGCTCGCACTGTTCTGAGCCGGCGGCCGCTAACAAAGCTGCAATTTCCAGCGCAGCGGCTGGTGGCGTCCAGGCGCAAAGACAGCGCCGCAACCACAATGACAGTTTGTGGTAATTATCGCTAGAATAAAATAAAGAGTAATTGAATCAGAATACACAAGATTATTTGAATATTTTAAAAACATATTTATACATGATACTTTGACTCTTGTTTGCTCATTTTTTTGGCAAGCAGCAAAGAGTCTATTTTTATCGTATCGCACATGTCGTTGCCCCTCTTGACCAAACGCTCGCACCCATACGCAGCACCACCCCCCGTCACTCCACCAACAAGCACCAAGCAAGCACCCGCCCACTCACTGCCTGGGTGGTTCAAGGCTGTGTGTGGCCGCCGCCCGCTGAGCGCCAACACCTGCCGTTACAGTGCTCTTGACACTGTAATCACCACCGACACTCACTAGATCCGAGACAAACACAGCCCTCTCGTGTCTGTCCACTTCCCCTTCTCTTCCCTTTTCCCTCTGCTTTGGTTCAGCGTTTGCTGCTCGTGTTTTTCTCTTCCTTCGTTTTTCTACACGGCCTTTACGACACACAGCACGCTTCCTCGACGACACAATACAACCTGCCCGATCAGCCTGACACCTGGCTTTCTCTCCAACCAAGTCGCACTCAACGCTACTCCGCCAGCATCGTGACCCCAAAACGCCAGCTACTCACCTACCAACAAAGCCAGCCAACCAACAACCTCTTCCTCCTCCTCCAATACTACGCCTGCGTTCTTTGGTTGCAAACTTGACAACTTCACCCCAGCAAAGCAGCCGATACACAGCAGAAGAGTGACTGTTGTCCAGCAGCAGCACGTACGCCGTCTGTGGTAATAGTCGTCGCCTTCGTCAGCTGTTGTCACAGCAAACAAGACTAGAGTCAACCCTCGCTCAACCGCAAGTTTGGACGTTGGACGCTCAATCACTGCGCACCTTTGTCTCTTACTCGTCTCCCCCGATTTACTCGGATTCATAAACCCGTCTTGTTTGGAGTAGGAACCACAGTCGGCATTGCCACTTGGACCTGCTCCTCTGTGTCTTGCTTGCCTTCTACTACTACCGCGATCTCTGTCGCACCGTCCCTTCCCCTGCTTGCTCTGTTACCGCGACTCTGCCAGCCATGCAGCACTACGCAGACAATGAGCCCTACGAGAGGGAGCCTCTGGATCCCGCCACGTCCAGACGCTCCTACCATGAGGCGCCAGCTTCCAGAAGACCTGTCCCAAACTCGTACGCCCAACCACCACCACCACCCGCAGACGAGCCTCCCTACTACGACAACGCACACTACCACCAGGATCACCGCGATCACTCTCCCGCCTCTTCCAGCCCGTCTAGAGGACACGGCCAGCGATACGAGAGCCCCCGCCAAGATCCTGCCGCACCACCTCCACCACGACACGGCGACTATTCCTACCGCCGCAACTCGAGACACGAACAACAGCAACAGCACCAGCAGCAACAGCACCAGCAGCAACAGCACCAGCAGCAACAGCCATATCATCCTTCGTACGATCTTGCCACCCCCGACGTCCACTATAGCTCCGACGATATTAGCTTAAACAACCTCGACAACTACAGCCAGTCTGTCTCGAGAGACAACGGCAGCGGTTCTCTAGCCTACCACAGTCCGCGCCGTGCTTCACGTGAGGTCTATACCGACGAGTACAACCAGGGCAATCGTATCCCCCCTCCGCCGTCACGTTTACAGCATAACAGAAATTCTAGGGGAAGCAACTCCCCAAGAAACAGCAACTACTATCCTCCCATTGCCGGGTCACCTGCTGGTCACCACCGTCTGGATCGTGACTCTCGGTCATCACTTAACCCGTTTGGCGCTGCAGCTTCCTCGGCCTCGTCGCTCTCAATAGCGAGAAGCGGTCCGGCATCCATGGCGGACCCTTACGGAGAAGAAGCCTATCGGAGCTATGCCTCACTTCCGCGACACGACGACAACTTGGGTGTCGTCAACCCAGCCGAGATTGAGGATGACGGCGACGATGGCCTTCATTATGGCCGTGGCTCCCGTAGTGCCTCGCGTACGGCCTCACGTACGGCCTCGCGGCAGGGTGCCAGAGCTGGTATCGGAGCAGCTGCCGCCATTGGTGCGGCCGCTGGTGGCCGCGCTGGCTCTTCCGCATTGAACCGCGGTGTCTTTGCCCGTGATATGTCTCCTGATGGACGAAGAGATAGCTGGAATGAGAAGCCACCGCGAAGTAAAAAGTGGAAGTGGGCTATTATTGTTTTGGGCTTCGTCATTGTTGTAGGAGCCATTGTCGGAGGTGTTGTTGGCTCCGTCATTGCCGGTCGCAAGAACTCTGGCTCTGATGCCGGCTTCAACGACGACAGCAAGGGAGACTTGAACGCCAACAGCGCCGAGATTAAGTCGCTGCTGGCCACTAAGGGCCTCTATCGTGTTTTCCCCGGTGTGGACTACACACCGATGAACACGCAATACCCCGACTGCACCAAAGCCGCGCCATCGCAAAACAATGTTACTCGTGATGTTGCCATTCTGAGCCGCCTGACGAATACTATTCGCCTATACGGCACAGACTGCAACCAGACTGAGATGGTGATCCACTCGATTAAGCAACTCGGCCTCGAGAAGGACATGAAGATTTGGATGGGTGTCTGGCAAGACAATGATGCCAAGACCAACAAACGCCAGCTGGCGCAAATGTGGGATATTCTTGACAAGTACGGAGCGGATCCTTTCAAGGGCATCATTGTTGCCAACGAAATCCTGTTCCGCAAGCAAATGACCATTAGCCAGCTCAGCACACTTATGAGCAGTGTGCGCACTAACCTGACAGCAAAGGGTATGTCTCTCCCGGTAGCAACGTCCGACTTGGGCGACGACTGGGACGCGACCCTTGCAGCATCGAGCGACTACGTCATGGCCAACGTGCATCCCTTCTTCAGTGGCACAGAGGCGTCCAAGTCGGCGGCGTGGACATTAGACTTTTGGAACACGCATAACGCGATCCTACTCAAGGACAAGAGCAAGGGTATCATTGCTGAGACTGGCTGGCCCACCAAGGGCGGCCACAGCTGCGGTGAAGCGACAACCTGCGACCCTGGCGCCGTGGCCGGCATCGATGAACTGAACCGCTTCATGGCGGACTGGGTCTGTCAGTCGCTGGAGAACAACCTCAACTACTTTTGGTTTACTGCCTTTGACGAGCCGTGGAAAGTACGCTTTAACGAGCCGGGCAAGGAGTGGGAGGACCAATGGGGTATTCTCGACGTCAACCGAAATCTGAAGAAGGGAGTCAAGATTCCCGACTGTGGAGGCAAGACTGTATAAAACAGATCGAATAGAGGGAGATGATGATGTGTACTTTGCGTTTTATGCTTTTGCGATGGGAATGCCAACCTGTTGCTTGTTATGTATTTTGGCCAGTGCGGGATGGATGAAGAGAGACGATGTGAATGGTGATGATGAGCCGGCGTTTTATTCCAGTCGGTGTGTCGGTGTTTTCGTTTTTCTTTTTTGCTCATGGCCCAAAACGAAGCCAGCTGCTTCTTGTTTTTGTTTTGCTTGGTTGTTTTATATTTGCATTGCTAGAAGAAGGGAGGACATACGGGTACGTAGATATATCTATATACATATATGGGCACGGAATATACAATATTGATTACATGGTGTGCGCTAATGTCTATATGCTATGATGGTGCGTGTTGTTTCTTGGAGTCGTGCGATGCTGTGTATAGATGTGTCTCTAAATCTTTCGGTCATCTATTGTGGCTGTCTTTGAAGCTTCTCCTTTGCCTCCGTCCTGTGTGGTGAAGTCCTCCTTTTTGTTGTCTTGGGTATGTAATGTCGTGTGATTGCCCTGCTTCTCTGGCGTAGGAGCATCTTTTGGTTCTCTCTGTGTGGTTGTATCTCTGCCTTTATCGTCCTCTTTGGTACTGTTGTCCTTGGTGCTTTCGTTCTTCGTGTCGTCGCTACTTGTCGAGTCTGCCTTTCGGAAGTAGATTGTCGTGTTCAAGAACACCGTACCGCCCTTTTCCTCTGGAAAGGTTACCCTGTTATATATATTGTGAATCTGTTGTAACCGCGACGTATCGTGCTTCTTTTCCATCGATACCCTGTGCTGTGTTAGCCTTTTGTGCGCTATTGTTCAACGTCTCCGCCATAAGAGAACGTACGTATCCCAGACATCAGCGTCTGTTCCTACAAAGATACCCGGGAGAGACTTCTCCAAGGCGGCGGCGTAGATGGGCCGGTAGAGATGTATGCCGTAGAGCAAGGTATTTGGTGTGATGGCGTGAAAGGCCTCTGGTGACGGGAGGATGGTATGTGAGAGATGAGTTTTGAGGAATGTTTCGTCGTTGGGGGTAAGGACTGGTTCTTGTGTAATGCGTATGATTTTTTTATCGAGGAGAGATTCTGGTCCGTGGTTAGCATGGAGCCTATGTGAAGAAAGTCGGGCTGGATGTCAAGCACCTAAATGAGAGACTATGGTTTCAAAGGCAAGCACCTGTAAATGGGCGCTGCGCTTCGCCTGCCAGCTTCCATCTGCAGGATCAAATGTGCCTGCGCCGAGACAAATAGCGTCCTGGATAGTAACGGGAGCGTCACTAGTCGCTGCGAATTGCTTGTCGAGTAGAGCTATCAGGGCTTCGCGAGATGTCGAGGTCTCCCATTGTGTTTGGAGGGATTTATGCTGGCGGGCAATTTCATCGACAGACAGAAAGGGCCCTGTGGTTCGGCATGACGGCGTGCTATCAGGGTCTGGTGAATCAGATGTCTTTAGTGACGTAGATGGTGATGATGATGATGAGGTGGGGGGACGGGTGTGGCGACGGCGCCCAGATTTCGCCGTGACTTTTATCCACTCGTCCGTCATGTCTGCGGAGAATAGGCGGACAAGATACACACAAGCAGAAGAAGATGCTGTGCTGTCGCGTTTTTCACAATGGTGGTGGCTCGTGATGGTGACAGTTGACTGCAGGCTGGGATATTTTTCTGTGCGGGCGGACCGGTGGGGGGTTCCACTTTTGCCGGAGCGGAAGAGGGGAGGAGTCCCCCGGGCGGCGGGCGGCGGAGGAGCGATTCGACGGGAGTAGGATCAAGTGTGAATGAGATGATAATTATACTGTGTTGTGATTTATAGAGTTGTCTGTTAAAATTGGATGTAGGCGTGTGCAGAAAGCCACCCAAAAGACGAGATGGAGGTTGGGTACCAGAGAGCTGGGACACCACCACCACCATCATCATATTTACTATCAGTCTGCATATGGTGCACCTCACGTGGCTGTAGATGAGTGTTGGATATGCGATAACATAGAGGGGAATGGTTATTCCCCGATGGCCGTCTATGAATACGGCGTTTTGCATGATGAGACCGTGTGCCACACACTCTTACACAAGACACCCGCTCAGCCGGCCATCTGGTCTCCTTACTCCCGCCACAAAGGACAGTATGTGGTTAGGCAGTTGGCCTCTATTTCTTCTCTTTCCGCTGCTAACCCACTCTGACTTTTACCTGTGAGCCCCTTACTGGTCATGGTGGTACGTCCGAGGTGGTGGCACGGCGCCGATGCAGCACCGAGTGGGCAATTTCCACTGCCGTCCGTGTGGCCGAGAGGAAGCTCATCATTGAAGTCAAAACGAGTCAGGTGGCTGTCTTGCATTGGCTTTACATGAGGCATGTATTTTTACAATTAGACATGGTCACCACTCTCCGGCCCATCCGCGTGTCCCTCCCGTGCTTGGTGCATTGCTTACAAGGACCACGCTAACAAAATTACTGTACCAACGGTTGGTTGACAAACTATATCGATAGAGTTCCCCACAAACGTTAGCGATCTAGGTAGCTCTCCACTCGGACCAGAGGCCGCCTGGGATGATGGATGTTAGAGAGTTCATCACATCTTGCCACAGGGTTCTTGGAAAGCAGTTACAAGATAAAAAAGGTATTAATGCCTGTAATTCCTGCCATTATTCCCTCGAATGGAACATTTACCGGCTTGTCTACAGCTAGAGTTTGGTGGCGACATCAAACATAGTACATAGCCGTTGTCCCAAACAGGCATCGCTAGCCGCATTCCCTTTTTTTTCTTGTTCCTCCCAGCCGACGCCACCGCATACAAGAAAGCCTGTACAAGCTGCTGCAGCTCCAACCCCGCACTAATTCTTGTGTTGACCTGTTTTCCCGTCTTGCCTCAAAAAGCCAGACGTGTCCGTTGAGGTGCGCAGATGCATTAGGTTGGCCACAAGGGGGAGGGGGCGCCCAATTGCTGCCCTGCCTTTTGTCCGGGGCTTTCCAGCACAATTGGAGAGAGGATGGGTTTGGACTAGAAGGATATAGCTAGATCGGCTTGTAGCGCTGTGGGCACACTCCATATGCAATGAGCGCAGGCTGCCATTCTCGGCGTGCGGGGGGCTGTCTTTGTCGTACCCTTTCTTTTGCTGCAGCTATTCATCCTACTGGTGGTGGTAGTACAGCCTATATAAAAGCTAGCTTTCTCCGCACACGACACCGTCCTACATTTTCTTCCCCCTTTCTCCGTGCCTCTTGTCTTCTCTCTTCATACACATTTGGCTTATTATTTATACCACGTTTTATAACAACAACATATAACCATGGCTACCGCAGACGTCGCCCCCACGGTCCAGTGGATGGAGGGATCCGTCAATCTGCCGCTGGTCGAGTATCCCGCCAACAGCTCGTCACTGGATCCCCAGCAGACGGCCGAGGCGGCCATCAAGCGCTTCAACGAGGCCCTAGATAAAAAGGACTACGACGGCCTCTCCAATCAGTTCCTTGCCAACGGCTACTGGCGCGACCATCTGGCGCTGACGTGGGAGTTTCATACCACGCAAACACCGGCCAAGATTGCCGAGTTCCTCAAGAATGCCGCCACCACCAAGGACGGCTTCCGTATTCTCAAACTAACCATTGACGAATCCGCGCCTACGAGAAAGCCAGCACTAGTCAAGGTGGACGGCAATGGCACGATTGATGTCGTCCAGTTCTACTTTACCTTTGACGGCGTCGTGGGTACCGGAGAGGGTCTTGCTCGTGTGGCTGTGGATGGCACCGACTTTAAGATTTATACACTCTACACACTATTGACCTCGCTCAAGGGCTACGAGGAGCCGCTCCATGGTAGACGGCCAGCTGGTGTAGATCACGGCCAGCACCCCGGCCGCAAGAACTGGCTAGAGAAGCGCATCGACTCGATCAATTTTGAAGATGGCACCGAGCCCGCCGTTCTAATTGTTGGTATGTTTTTCTATTTTCATTTTGTGTCATTATATAAGAAGATGATGTGCTAACACGCAATTTACAGGAGCTGGCCAGGCTGGTCTCACCGTCGCGGCACGCCTCAAAATGCTCAATGTACCCACGCTGGCCATTGACAAGAATGAACGTGTAGGTGACTCATGGCGTAACCGTTACCATCAACTGGTCCTGCATGATCCCGTGTGGTACGACCACCTACCGTACCTCAACTTCCCGCCCATGTGGCCCGTCTTCTCGCCCAAGGACAAGATTGGCGGGCTGTTTGAGGCGTACGCGCAGCTCATGGAGCTCAACATCTGGATGCGGTCCACGCTCGTGCACACGCACTGGGACGACAACAAGCAGCGCTGGAACGTGGTCATCAAGCGCACCAAGGACGACGGCGAGATTGAGGTCCGCACCTTTCACCCGCGCCATATTATCCAGGCCACGGGCCACTCGGGCAAAAAGGCCATGCCCAACATCCAAGGCATTGACGGCTTCAAGGGCCACCTGCTCTGCCACTCGTCCGAATTCCCTGGTGCCCGTAAGGACGGCCAGGGTAAAAAGGCTATTGTGGTGGGCTGCTGCAACTCGGGACACGACATTGCGCACAATTACCAGGAAAGTGGTTACGATGTGACTATTGTGCAGCGCTCCTCGACCCATGTCGTCTCGTCCAAGGCCATTACAGACATTGCCCTCAAAGGCGTGTACTCGGAGGATGGGCCGCCTGTGGATGATGCCGATCTGATTATCCACGGTATGCCCAATGCGCTACTCAAGACAATCCAGGTGCAAGTTGGCGCTATCCAGCGCGACTACGACCGCGAGCTGCTCGACGGCCTGACCAAGGCGGGCTTCAAGCTCGACGACGGACCTGACGGCTCGGGCTTGTTCTTTAAGTACTTCCAGCGCGGTGGCGGCTACTACATTGACGTGGGAGCATCTAAACTAATTGCAGACGGCAAGATCAAGGTCAAACAGGGCCAGCAGATTGCCGAGGTGCTGCCTAATGGGCTCAAGTTTGCCGATGGCGATGTTATCGAGGCCGACGAGATTATCTTTGCGACGGGCTACGAGAACATGCGCACGCAGGCACGCATCATGTTTGGCGACGATGTTGCGGACAAGTGTAAGGATGTCTGGGGCATGAATGAGGAGGGCGAGTGGCGCACCATCTGGCAGGATAGTGGACATCCGGGCTTTTGGTTCCATGGTGGTAATATGGCGCTGTGCCGGTTCTATTCGAGGCTTGTTGCGCTGCAGATTAAGGGGCAGGAGGAGGGGTTGTATAAGCGTGGCGAGAAGTGATTCGAAGGGGTGATGATGATTTGCTGGTTAAATTTTGTATGTTTCTTTTTTATGATGTTAATTGGAATATGTTTTGCGTTGTCTGTCACTTGATGTTCACCTTGGTCTGTGTGTGGTATTATAGGCGTGACGGGTAGGCGGCAGCAATAGGCAGCTCTACTGATAATATTTATGTCTATTTGAATTGTAACCGTCTTTACACACATGTTGTAGTATTACTGCTATTTCCAGGTGATTTATTTTCCTTCTTCAACATACAGTATCCTGCGCCATATTCACTCCCCAGCGTGGCGTATAAGTGATCGGAGTAGCCATCACCACTACTACCATCCTACTAAGACTACTAGCCGCCATGCCGAATTACCCGCTTCCCTCAAAACATGGCAATTTGCACCGTTTCATCTCTTTTTTGCTTCTCGCTTATCCGGCATCTTTTCTCCCGCACCTTCGTAGTCTGTACTTTGTACTTTGTAGTATCGAGAGGAGTAACACCGCCTTCTGATTGGCCGCCACCCACCGCTGCAGACTCCACCACACTACAGAGGCCGGCGCTTAACTGTTTGCCCGCGCAGCCAATCACAGCGGCCATGCGGGGGATGAGGTCCCTGTAACCCAGCCTCACCCGCTGTGCCGTGTCGCTGTGATTGGCCGTGACCGCTGTAGCAGTCCCCGCCCGGGTTGAAGAATGCCCCCATTTTCAGCGAAGAGAGCAAGCTGGCACAATACTGTATGCACTGTAAACTTGCTGTGTACTCTACTGTACAGTGCTGTAACTAGCTGCTTTATGGGTGGTGTGCCCACTCTGCATTGTGCGTTAGCGTCGCACCGGGCGCCTAAGCTGCTCTTCTCACTCGCTGCCCGCCCACTCATTCACTCCAGCCCAACTAAATACACCACCACGCCCCCCTCTCACCAGGCCGCCTCTTCTGGCCCCCGAGATCTTTTTTTCTTTCTCTTTTCATTATCGTCTGTGACATCCCCAAGAAGCTCGGAAATATCATCTTTGTGATTGTACATTTCCATCAGCGATCGCAGTGTGGCCTCACCGTTTGCCCGTGTACTTAGCTCAACTTGACCAGGCGCCAAAAAAGCTCTGAACCCCAAGTACAAACACCATCACCACTCTCTCCTCCTCCTCTTTTTCTTCACGACAACCGACAAATACACCGCAACTATGCAGATTCAAGTGCTCCTTGCTCTGGCCCTCGCCGCCATTGTCCACGCCCACACCGTCATCACCTACCCCGGCTGGAGAGGCAACTCGCTCATCACCAACGAGACCTTTCCCTACGGCATGCAGTGGATGTATCCTTGTACGTCTTTTTTCCCTTCTCTTTATCACCAAGATACTAACCTTTTGACTCAGGCGGCGGCATCGGCACGACCAAAAACAGAACATACTGGCCCACGTCCGGCGGCACCGTCGCCTTCCAGCCCGGCTGGTTCCGCGGCCACTCCCTTGCCAACATCCAGGTCAACCTAGGCTTCGGCACCGACGGCCCTGACAATGGCCCCCAGAACATGTCCAACCCCATGGTCAAGCTCTTCCAGATCATCGGCCCTACCAACAACCCGTACCCGGGCACCGTCTGCCTCACGCAGGTCCCTCTACCCGTCAACGCGAGCGTCAAGCCTGGTGATCTCGCCACCATCCAGATTGTCGAGCACGCCCAGCACGGCGCTGCTCTCTACTCTGTACGTTTCTTTTCGTGCTCTGGGAGACAAGTAACTAACACACCTGGCTTAACAGTGCGTCGACATCATCTTTGCCGAGCCCGGCGACAAGCGCATCGCAGAGGTCAACGAGACAAACTGCTTTAACTCGACCCAGATCGGCTTCGGCGATGTCTACACCATTACCACAAAGGATTCTGGCTCCAACAAGTACGTCACCTCCGCCGCTGAGGCTACACTCCAGCGCGCGGGTTGGTTCGGCGTTGTTCCTCTCATGGCTGCCGTCTCGTGGCTGTTGCTGTAAACAGGCAGACAGTCTGCGCTGTGGGAACAGACCACAAGCACGTAGAGCAGAGGGTGGCAGAGCAGAGGCTAGTTTGGGTGGATTTGACCCTTTATTTAAAATGGCGTTTCTGGGAGTTTTTACATACGGCGGTTTTACGCTCTTTTAGTGGACGGGATGGGACGGCGTCTCATCTTTATCTAGTTATTTCTGTACTCTTTTCGTGTGCATATACAGACACACACTCATATATACCTTGCGATATAACCAAGCACTTGTAAATATCAACTACATGCTCAAAGTAATTGGCCAAAGATCAAAAAATGGAAATCTATAGTGTTTTATTCGTCGCTATTGCTAAAATGCTTTTACGCAATGAGTGTCTTGCACTCGTCCGCTACGCCCTTTACCCGCTCCTCGTCGCTCTTCGTTCCCGCACCATTAACCAGCCCATACATACCCTCAATAGTAGCAGCCTCGGCCTTGGATGCTGTAAGTACAGTTCCAAGCGCCACCAGACCGCGGTAGAGAATCTCAGAGTCGTTCTGGTCCCGCAAAACTGCACCAGCAAGCAGCAATAGGCGACGGCGCTGCTCCGGTGACAACAGCTTCTCCTTGTGCACCAAAACCGACAGGTTAATCGCCGCTGTAGTAATAGCAATTAGCACGTTGCGGTTAAACTTGCCAATTGCTTCGCTACCATCTACTCCCAAGGTGCGCTCCAAAAACGCCAGGACCTTGTTCACGTTGCTGCTGATCAGGCTGCGGCCATCAGCAGACGCAAACAAGTTGGCAATAGTTCGGCATCCCATCATGACAGCATTCTCGTTGGGCGCTTCCTCAGATGGTAAGCTGCTCTGGATGGCAATGTCAAGCAACGAGTTGCCTTCTGCGTCGACAAACTTGGCGGCTGTGTGGTAGCGTGCCAGGCACCGCAGCACGTCCAAACCAGCAAGTCTATCACCATACGGCCACTCCGTCACGATTTTGACGGCTACTGAGACAGAATCTGCTGAAACAGCACCAGATGACTGTAGCGATGCCTTGAGAGACTGTAGCGCTGCCTCTTGTCCAGGGTTCAGCGCAGTATCCTTTCGGCCGGATGAAATCATGGTCTTGTTAACGTTGGAAATCTTGTTGAAAATGGCTACTAAAAGTTAGCACTGGGTGAGCATAGATGAGAGTTAGTTAAGACGTACCGTCGAGCTTGGCGGCAGTAATACTGAGGTATTCCGTCTGGGGGAGCACCTTTGGTATCTGCTGCTGTTGCTGCGTATCCTCCCCAGGTCTGTACCGCGACTCGGTTCCGTAGGGATCAGCTTCAGCCTGACCAGACTGTTGGCCTAGCGTGGCACCTTGTGTATTCTGCGTAATAAAGTTGGCAACATTGTCGAGGTAGGTGAGAGGAAGTTCATTATCGTTTAGGAACTTGGTCGCGCGTTCGTATGGGTTCTCGGATAGGTTGTAAGGAAGCTTCAGCGGTGGCTTGCCGTCTTCGATATCAACGTCAAAGACGTAGTCGTATGACTTGCCTTGATATTCCACCTTCTTGCCTGTGCTACCGACAGCATCAACAACAGTACCAACATTAATCCACTGCTGCTGACCCATGGACCACTGATGCGCGGTGATGTTGCCATTATCCTCCTTAATCATCTGTACCTGACCCTCCTTGGTGCCAGACTTGTTTTGTAGAAACTCTGGTCCAGGGAGCTTTTCCTTGTTGATGCTGCCGACTTGCTGTTGCGGAATGGAGGAAGCCTTGACCGACTCCTCGAATTCTTTAAGTGTCTCGGCATCTGCATATTGGTCTTGGTGGCGGGTAAATACACGGGCAATTCCATCACTAGCACCAGTAACAATGTTGCCTGTTTTTGGGTTGACAGCCACTGTCCATACAGAAATGGCCGGATGTGTGATGGTCTGGACGCAGTCCTTGCCCTTCCAGATACGCACCGTTCGGTCTTCACCGGCGCTGGCAATTTCTCCACTAGGGAGATAAGCTAGAGAGTAGACAAAGCTCTCATGTCCATGCAGCTCGGCAACCTGCTGCCCGTTCAATTTCCACAGGCGAATGGTACCGTCATTGCTGGCGCTTGCAATCTGAGCTCCAGTGGGGTGGTTGGGACCCATGCGGCACAGCGCGCGAACAACATCCGGTGTGTGAATCGTAGCCGTCGGAGTGACTTCACCGCCAGAAGCTTTTGTTAGGTCGAAGACACGAATGCTCTTGTCGGCACAACCGGTAATAACGGTTGTGGCATCGAGAGCCAAAACAGCCCAAACCGACACACCCTCGTGACCAGTTAGCGTGAATTCTGTCTCCCAGATAGCGAGGTTCCAGACACGGGCTTGTCCATCCCATCCTCCAGATACTAGGTATTTGCCGTCGGGCGAGACGTCGAGGGTGCAGACGTTGTGAGCGTGGCCGACCAACAGGCGTTCGGCATTGTCGCTAGAGCTGCTTTTCGGGGACTTGACTTCAATAATTGTGTCCTTTCCGCCAGCAGCTACCAAGCCATCGGGGCTGTTTTGGTTCGGAGGGATGAATGTGACGGAGTTGACGTATTCTGAGCCTCTGCTGAGAAGGGAGGCTTCAAACGTAGGCGGGGTAGGCTTGGATTGACGCCAAATTCGCACTGAATAGTCTCGAGAGGCTGTAATGATGGTATTTGATGATGGGTAGCTCACAGCACGAACCTAAAAGACATTAGAAGCTGGGCATATACCACAAGTCACGGTCCATGCTTACGTCTGCTTCGTGGCCTAGAAGCTGTGCCGAGAGCTTGTATTCGCTCATGATGGCAATAGAGAGTGGTAATTGTACGACAAAAACAGCGTCTTCGATGTTTGAAAGGAATCTAGAGAAGCGATTGGGGCTTGTAGGAACCGCAGCGGGTGCGAATGTGGTGGGAAGTGGTAACCGTGGCAAACTGCGGAAAGATGGATGATGATGGAAGCTGGCAGAGAGCTGCTACTCCGCGATCGCCACCAGCAACAGAGTAACCACAGTTGCGCAACCCGGAGGGGCACACTGGAGACCGCTAAAAGCCCACTGGAGCTCGGTCCTTGTGGGGAGCCAATGTCTGCTGTTGCGTGGCTCTGTGGTTTGTATATTTGTCTTAATAAATCAAAATAGTGAGAAATCAAATCTTCTCAGCTGTAATCATTTTAAGAATAAAATTAAAATAATTTATTGTCATGTACAGAGGGTCTCCGCGGCGTAAAACCAACTCCGCCTCGGCTTCTTACAGAGCGTGCTTAGGCGCTGGCACCGATGCACAATGGCGGGGTGCGTGGGAGGGGAGGGGCAAACGGACGCCCAGCCAGGCCAGGCAGGCTGTGACGACCGGCAGAATTTCGCCTCCTGCTTTTGGCCACCAGCACCAAGCACCAGCAGTAGCACCACCTCTGCACTTTGCGACGCAGAGTCATGCACCGCTTCCCAAACCCGGCATCTCCCTCTCCCCTTTGATTGCCTGTGTTTGTCCAGCGTGTTGTGGTGGGTAGAGTTTGAACATTGCATCCAAGACGAGAATTTGCTTTTCCCCTCTTTTACGACAGAACCCTGCTCAACCCGCACCCGTCTTGCAAGATTTCCCAAGGAGGGGAACATAGCACACAACAAGGCAGCAACTCTGCTTGGCCTACGCCTCTACTACTGACATCTCTCAGTCCTCTAGACTGTGTGCAACGACTCCTTAACGACCGTTACGACCAGCATACACTTTTGACGCAAGTCATTTACCGTTTCTCGATAGACAGCGATCGTATACACCGCCCAGAATACCTCTTCACCACACTGCATTTTCCATCATGGCTGCCGAAGGCCGTCAATATGTCCCTCTGACCTGTCACGGACACTCCCGACCTGTACCACATATTAGTTTCTCTTACTTGGAAAAGGAGGACACATATTATCTCATTTCTGCCTGCAAAGATGGCAACCCGATGCTTCGCGATGGCATCACGGGCGACTGGATCGGCACATTCATTGGCCACAAGGGCGCTGTCTGGCAGGCTCGCCTGAGCCCAGACGCCTCTAACGCTGCTACCGCGGCTGCCGACTTTTCTGCCAAGATCTGGGACACCCATACCGGCGAGCTTCTGTATACCCTTCAGCATGACCACATTGTCCGCGCTGTTGCCTACCCGCCCGACAACTCGGATCTTGTGGCAACCGGAGGCATGGAAAAAAAGCTTCGCATTTTCGACCTTTCGGAGCTTGCTGCAGCAAGCCCTGGAGCCGACGTCACAATTCCATCCTCTGCTGGCTTTGAAATTGGCGAAGGCATCCACCAGAGCTCCATCAAGTTTATCTGCTGGACCCCAGACCCTAATGTTCTTGTAACAGCTTCCGATAAGACGATTCGATGGCTCGATTTGCCCACGCGAACATGCATTCACCAGGAAGTTTTGGATGGAGAAATCCGCTCTTGCGAAGTTGTATCGCTTTCCCCCACGGTGGCATCCTCAACAGACATTGGCGGAGGTAAACCAGTCCTTGCCGTTTCTGCTGGCAAGACTGTGTATTTCTGGGGTGGACCTCAGTCGCTGGACAGCCTTAAGCGAATTACGCTCCCGTATTCCATCGCCAGTGTTGCGCTGGATCTCAAGGGACGCAAGCTTGTGGTTGGCGAGGAGCCTGGTACATGGGCAAAGGTGATTCGCTACGACGACGAGACGGAAATCGATACCCACAAAGGACACCATGGCCCTATTTGGTCTATTGCCTTTTCGCCAGACGGCAAACTGTATGCCACCGGATCAGAGGACGGCACGATTAAACTTTGGAAGAATTGTGACGGATTCTACGGCTTGTGGAGGGGAGGTGGTGCGGAACGCTCCGGAGAATAGAGAGACTCTGAGTATAGCAACACGACTCTCTTTGGTATGTGGTCAAGCTCGTCTGACTGGAAAGACCACAAGTCCAGTTTGTTTTCTATCACAGATGGGGAGATGGACCTCTTGGGGGACGACTATGGCGGGCTAGTGATGCATGAAGATAGAGCTGATCAGCGAGAGGCGTAGCATGGCTTGCCATGGATAGGGGGGTGGAAGCCTTATAGGCAGCAAAGCCACACGATACGGCCACGCCGCGCGAAGCAAATGTATATTTACCAATGGCAACTAGGCGAAGAGTAATAGTATGTAGTCCATGTTGGTAGCGTTATTGTTGTTCTAATGTGATACCATTTCATTGCAGACAAGAGAGGTGGTTTAGCATGCGCAGCCTTTTAGCGCGCAAATTGAATTTACACGAATATGCCATTACATATACCACTCTATGTATGTCTATTGTGAAATCCCAGGCAAAATGTAATTATGATTTGATAGCAGATGGCAGTGTTGGGAAGCTGACAATTCGTACTGTGGCTCTTCTGGCGCTGTCAGTGTTTGAGTCACGAGCTGAACAGCCACACACCAGATTCAGCCGATTGCGACTCTCTGCATAACCCGATAACTTTGACCTGGTATTCTAATACTATTTATCGTTATAATCATATACACTTGATCTAATTGAATATCCCGAAAATATGGACAAAATCACTCTCTATTCATCGCCAATCTCTGACTGCTCTGCCCGCCTGCGCATAGCTTTGGCACTGAAGAAAATCCCGTATCAGCTAATTGATATTTTTTTGAAGAAAGCACAGAATAGGGAAACTCAATACGCATCCCTTAACCCAGCGGCTACAGTGCCGACTCTAGTTGTATCGTTTAAGGACCGTGACCCGGTTATTCTTACTCAGTCCATTGCTGCACTGGAATATCTGGACGAGGCTTTCCCGAACACGTATCAATTACTACCTACACTAAGCAACCCAGACACACGTGCTGCCGTGCGGTCTCTCGTGGGTATTATAGCTACGGATATCCACCCACTTACAACGCATCGAGTGGGTAAAGAGATATCTGCTAGATTTCCCGCTGGTGATGCTCTAGCGGCTAGTGGTACGGCTACCCTTGAATGGGATCTTCATTGGATCACCCGAGGGCTTGAGATATACGAGGCGGCTATTACGCAGACAGCTGGGAAATATAGCGTTGGGTCCCAAGTCACACAAGCAGATGTGTGTTTATTGCCTGAACTGTGGACGGCAGAAAGGATCGGTGTAGATCTGAACAACTTTCCTACGGTATGCCAGGTATACGAGGCGCTGTGTGAGCTTCCCGAGATCCAATCAGTTGGGTATAATCCTGCGCAGGAGTTGAATTAGTTTAGTTGTCCCTCATATTGACAAAAACCTTTTGCCTGAGAACTGTTTTTCTTTTACGGCATGTGAATCTCGAATCCTGGTTTTCACAAGACATTTTGGGGGCGTTGGGGGTGCCAAGTGCTGCCTAGCGTCCTAACCAGATCTGGTGTGTGGCCTAGCGTGGATGAGTCAGCGAGTCCATTTACACGAAGTACGCAGGATGTACAGCGAGTGCCCCCGCGCCCGTGACGGTAAAAGGACAGTTTGTTATTTTTCTATCTGCAAAGTTTAATGCCTTGCAATCAAATCTACCAGAAAACCCAACCTTTTATTTTAATGCATGTGGCCCTTCTCCTCAATGCAAAACCACACTGTTTCTGGCGAGGTGCACTTACACACGAGGAAGGTGGTTAGCGCCTTTCCCCTTCTGGCTACAGGGCAACCCCACTAAACCCTGTTGGGCAACGCTGGCGTCGCCACTCGAGAGGCCGCCCTGCCCTACGGCCAATAGCGTGGTAGCGGGGAAGCTGGTGGTGACGACAATGGCCTAGGCTGCCCGTTTTGCCTCGAACGGCCGCCTGACGAACCATTTTCTCGATGCAAAAAAAAAAGGTGGTGGCCGTTTTTCTTCTCCAATCGATGCCGCCTTGGCGTTCAGCTCCCAGGTATATAAAGACCCCTTCCCCCTCCTCGTTTTTTCCAAGATCTCCTTCTCGACATCGCTCATCCATTGAATTCTCTTTGCCTTGCACAATTCAGAGCTACACTGTCTAGCTACAGCTGCCTACCATAACTTGCTACCGTAACTTGCTACCTAATCCCACGAACCTACCCACTGCCTACGACAGCTGCGACCACTACGACAATACGATCTTAATACCTTTCCCCTTCCTCATACAATTCTACCACAATATAATACAAAACACATCTACAACATGTGGAACAGCTCTGCATCCTACGACTATAACCAGGGCGCCAGACTCATTGTCCCTGGCCGTCGAGCCCTCGTCTTGAAAGGCGTCTCTGCACACACAACAATTGTCTCGTCGACATCGCGGACAGTCTTGAAGCAGACCTTCTCCAATCCTACCGATGAATCCTTCAAAGAGGCTACCTACGTGTTTCCCCTCTTTGACGGCATCTCCATTGTCTCGTACTCAGCCACCATTGGCAGCCGCGTGATCAAGGGTACCGTCAAGGAAAAGGAAGCAGCCCGAAAGGCCTTTGATGCAGCTGCCGCAAAGGGCGAAAAGGCCGGCTTGCTCGAGCACTCCATTGACGCCAAGGATGTATTCACAACAACAATGGCCAACATTGGCCCGGGCGAGGATGTCGTCGTGGAGATTGTCTTCCTCGGCGAGCTGAAGCACGATGCTGAGGCAGATGGTCTTCGTTTGACCTTCCCAACACACATTGCTCCCCGATATGGCGAGACCAGTGTCATACTGGTCTCCAATGTCCAACCGCAAAACCCCACGCTCGACTTTACAGTGGATGTCGACGCTGGCGCTGGTGCCACTATCAAGAGTGTGCAGTCGCCTTCCCACCCCGTCTCTGTTAGCGTGGGAACCACCTCGGCTGCCCCCAATGCAGACCCTAGCTTGCAAAGAGCACATGCAACATTCTCTGTCAAGAACAATGCGCTCGACAAGGACTTGATTATTCAGGTCTGTGCCAGCAATATTGGAGATCCCTGGGCCGTTGTCGAGGAGCACCCATCTATCCCTAACCGCCGCGCGCTCATGGCTACCTTGGTGCCCCGATTCAATCTTCCGGTCGAAACACCAGAAATTGTCTTTGTCTGTGATCGCAGTGGCAGCATGGGCGACGGCCGCAGAATCCCCAACATGATTTCTGCCCTCCAAGTTTTCCTCAAGTCGCTACCGGTTGGTGCGCTCTTCAACATCTGCAGCTTCGGTAGCCACCATTCCTCACTGTGGGAGAAGTCTCAGCCCTACAACCAGCAGACGCTGGAGGAAGCCACCAAGCACATCAAGACCTTTGCGGCCGATTTTGGTGGTACGGAGATGCTCGAGCCTGTCAAAGCCAAGATTGACGAGCGCAACAAGGAACGAAACTTGGAGCTATTCTTGCTTACCGACGGCGATATTTGGCGACAAGAAGAGCTCTGCGAGTTAATTTCAAAGAGTGTCAAAGACAGTAATAACGCCATCCGCGTCTTTACCCTCGGTATTGGTTCTAGCGTCAGCCATGCTCTTATTGAGGGCGTCGCAAGAGCCGGCCAAGGCTTCTCGCAAACGGTTGCAGACGACGAAAAGATGAGCAAAAAGGTGGTACGAATGCTCAAGGCTGCCTTGACTGCTCACATTAACGACTATTCGCTCGATATTAGATACGAAAAGGCCGACGATGACGAGTTTGAGTTGATTGAAAAAGTCAACGATGTCCTGGTCCTGGATGATGCTGCCACGTCTGAAGCCACTACCAAGGTTGAAGAAACGACCCCTGCTCCTAAGCCTACCATTTCCCTACACGACAAGTCTGTCTCCAATGAGGACTTGGAGATGAAGGACCACGACTCGACGCCCCTCCCTGTTACAAAGGCGCCTGCCTATCTACAGGCTCCCTACCACATCCCCGCCCTGTACCCGTTTGTGCGAACCTCTGTCTATGTGCTACTGCCTGAAGAAAATACACAGCGCCAGCCAAAGTCTGTCGTCCTCAAGGGCACTTCACCCTATGGACCCCTCGAGTTGGAAATCCCCGTCTCTCGACTTGCAGAAAAGGGCACTACCATTCACCAGCTCGCAGCTCGCAAAGCTACACTGGAGCTCGAGGAGGGCAAGGGCTGGGTCTACGAGGCCAAGGACGCTGATGGCAAGACGCTTGTCGACACATATCCTATGAAGTTCCAGGATATTGCAAAGGCCGCCGCTGTCAAGCTCGGTGTGGAGTATCAGGTGAGCAACAAGTGGTGCTCGTTTGTCGCGCTTGAGGACGATACAGCCACGACGCTATCTGAAGACGCGATAGCCGAAGAGGCCAAGAAGCAAGAGAGGGAATACTCGATGGCCCAACCGGTGGCGAAGAGAAGTAGAATGGCTATGTCACTGGCTATGCCAATGTCTGCTGCCTCTTCCAGGCCCGTGAAACAGATGGCCGCTTCATATGCTGCTGTACCCGATGCAGCCTTGGGAATGCCAATGTCTGCTAGCTTTTGTGCAGCACCACTACCACCACCACCACCCGCGATGCCATCGTACGGAATGTCTCATGCTCCTCCACCAGGAGGGCTAATGTCAAAGTCGATATCCGCGACATACATACCGACTGGCCAGGACATGTACGGGGAGGGCGTTAGCATACAGGATGAGCCTATGGCAGCCTGCGATGAGGAAGAGGATGATGATGGCGCCGTTTTGGCTTCATCAACATTTGGCAAAAATCTCTCCTCTTATCAACCTTCTGGAAACATTCCGACCAACCCCTACGCGGTGGAATCTCTAGTTGATACTGCCGATATTTCAAGCGGGTCACCGGCAGAGGATTTGGCAGCGGCACAGTCCTTTGATGGATTCTGGACGTTTGACAAGCTGCTTGCCAAACTCACAGGCGTCAGCCTCGAAGACGCCAAGTCCAAGATTGGATTGACCACTGTAGCAGCTGGTGAGGAAGACAAGGTGTATGCTACGCTGCTTGCTGTGGCATACTTGGAGGCCAAGTGCAAGGAGGATGAGGAGGTTTGGGAACTGTTTGTAGCCAAGGCCAAGACTTGGTTGAAGGGAATGCTTGCTGGCGATGCGCTGGCCGAGGCTGAGAAGAAGGCTCTGCAGCTTGTCTAATTCCTTTGGCCTGAATATATATAATACATACTGGATGACATCTATCTATAATACTACTTATTTTTTTCTTCTTGGAATTATGCCATCTTATCGCAGCAACACCGTGAATACCATCAATCCGTCGTGAATACACCCTCTATTAACACCATGAATCTCTGCGCCGAGCTGTCAAATCGACCAACGTGCTTTTTCCATCTGAACTAGCGCCACCAAAACGCCCAAGAAGCACATCCGCGTCGTCGACTCAGATGCAACGTAGCCACCACCAAGAACCACCATGCGCTACAGCGACCCTTGAACCCCCACAAAGCGGTTCTTCACGGGCGAGCATGGCTTGCAAAGTGCGCTGTAATTAGAAACTGTTGTCGAGTCAGCAGCCCTGCCTGTTCTGGCTAGGCGTCCATCCACTATAATCTACCACTTTTCCTCTTTCTGCACTTTTTTTAAGGGTCTAACTGCCTTTGATCTAACCCGTACTGTACAGTACCTCGGCGCAAGGCCCCCGAAGAGCAGCATCCCGCTAACTACCTACGGTATTGTTACATGCTACTATAGCGTGGCTTGCCCAATTAATTTAGATGATTACCATGCCTCCGCGCGATGATGCCAATTTATCAAAACGTTCCCTGCCCGTTTATCGGCCCTCGCCTGGCGCTCTGATAGGTGGAATTTCTCTTTTCCAGCGCTTCCTGTCCCCCAAACACGCCACCAAACCCCAGCCGCTGAAGAACACAGAAATAGAGATCCTTGCAGGGCGCTGTAACCAAACCTAACCTTCTTTTTCCCAGGTGGGGGTTTTTAGGCAGGCTAGCCAGCGCGGGGGATGGTCGCGAGCCGGCACGCCGCCGCCACTACGGGCTTGGTGCTAAGCTGCGGTATCCGCACGCTGTAGCGTCCCCGCTCCTGCCCCCCAACTGCACCAACAATAGCGCTGTAGAGGTTTTAGTTCAGCTGATTTTAGCGCCGTTTTTGCTGTTGTCAAGGCGGCTCGTGCAGGCATTACGAAGTAGTTAGTTATTTGGTGCTTTTGCTCTCCACCAACGCCGCTGTGCGTCGGGCGTGCGTCTGGCACTCTGGGGTAACATTTGCCCCCCAGCGCCGGGTCCGCCAGCTGCGCCAGGTGGCCCAGGTGTTGGTTGGTTGATGGTGGATGCTAAATAGTACCGGCCGAGTCCCCTTAGCTTCGTTTTTTCTCACTTCCTTCTTCTCTTTTCATTTTCCTTCTTCACTGACTGGTAGCTTGCCACTGTCGGACTACCTTTTGCTACAAATTGGCGGCGCTGTGATTATTGCATATTTTATTTTGCCTACTCTGTGATCCTGCTTCCGTCTCATCTACTACTTTTCGCCCACCATGGCGGAGCCGTCACCCAAAGCCAACCTCGAACCAACAACCACACACGACAATGGCGAATCGGCGTCCAAGCCCTTTGCAGAAAATGCTGCGGAGCTTGCTGATGCCTTTCGCATCGAGCATAGCATGACCTTTAGGGAATCTCTGAAGCTCTATCCCAAGGCCATCTTCTGGTCGGCCTATGTCTCGATAGGCGTCATCATGCTGGCCTTTGATCCCCAGCTCATTGGCAACTTGTACGGAACGCCACAGTTCAAGAAGGATTTCGGACATTTGTTCGATGGAAAAGTACGGCACACACCAATCGCTTTCCTTATTGGCACCCGCGAACATATCTTGCTAACGTCTTGCGCAGTACAACATCCCCGCCCAGTGGCAGACGGCTCTCTCCATGGGTAACCCCGTCGGCCAGACTCTCGGCGCCCTGTTTGCCGCCTACCCAATGGACTACTTCGGCCGAAAGATTACATTTGCTGTGCTTGTTGTCGCCACTGCTGCTGTCGTCTTCTTGCAATTCTTCGCTGGCTCCATTGAAGTGCTTCTTGCTGGCGAGCTCCTGGCTGGTCTCGTCCTTGGCCAGTTCGCAGTCATGGCGCCCGCCTATGCTTCAGAAGTCTGCCCTACAGCGCTTCGTGGTCACCTCACTTCTTTTGTCAACCTTTGCTTCGTCATTGGTCAGCTTCTTGCCAACGGTGTCACGGCCGGTACCTCCCAGCGCGACGACCACTGGGCCTACAAGATTCCCTTTGCGCTGCAATGGTTCTGGATTCTCGTCCTGATCCCCGGATTGGCCTTCATCCCCGAAAGCCCCTGGTGGTATGTCCGTAAGGGCAAGCTTCAAGAGGCCCAGCACTCGCTGAACCGTCTTGCGTCACCTAAAATCAACACAGCTGGCTCACTCGCCTTCATCCGCGAGACTGACAGACTCGAGAAGGAAATGGAGGCCGGTAGCACCTACAAGGACTGCTTCAACAAGGTAAACCGCCGCCGAACCGAAATCTCCATTGGTGTATATAGCATTCAGGTCCTCAGCGGCATCTACTTGATCAACTTTGGCACTGTATTCTTCCAGGAGGCTGGCCTTGCCGATGACCAAGCCTTCAACATGAGTGTAGGCTTCCTGGCTGTCGGCTTCATGGGCACCCTCGTATCATGGGCGCTCATGGTTCGCTTCGGTCGTCGCACTCTCTACGTCTGGGGCCTGGCCATGCTGGCCTTCCTCCAGATCCTCATTGGTATCCTGGATTGTATCCCCGGCCGTCCCAAGGGCGCCATTTGGACCGAGTCGGTGCTGATGCTTGTCTGGAACTTCTTCTACGACATTTCCATTGGCCCAATTTGCTTCGTCCTTCTTGCAGAGTGTTCTGCCACGCGTGTGCGCTCCAAGACGATTGCCGCCGCCACAGCCGTCCAGGGCTGCCTTGGCATCATCATGACGGTCGCGATTCCGTATCTCATCAACGCAGAAGAGGCCAACTTGCAGGGCAAGCTTGGTTTCTTTTTCGGCGGCCTGGCTGTTATATGCTGGGTCTGGGCATACTACCGCGTGCCCGAGACACAGGGCCGCACATATGAGGATCTCGATATCCTCTTTGATCGCAATGTTCCTGCGCGCCAGTTCAAAGACTACCAGATCGAAGATTCACACCAGTAGTCGTAAATAGCTTCGTTTTTCACGTTTTGTCGTCGTCTGACCTTTTTGGACTATTCTCTAGCGTTGCAGCATCGCCATTATTATACTACTACAGAATACTTTTTTTAACGGGCGCCGTGCGCCCTCTGAATATACCATAACCCGTCTGTGTCAGCATCATCTACCAAACCTCGCACCCGTTTATTTATACGTGTTTGCCGTGTTGCCGAAGCCACATGGCTATCCTGTCATCATCCGCTGCGCCAGGCACGGAGTCCGGACAAGTCGGCACTGAGTAGCGCAGTCTCCCGTCATCATGGCCCCCGTCGATCGCCTCCCACGCACCACCAAGCCTCGTTAATCAAGGATCGGAGTTGGCGTCGCTGACCCACTGTCGTCTCACCAATCTTTCAACGCCATTGTTACTATTGCCCAGGCTAGCGACGTGCGCGTGCAGATTTTGTATGCGCCTAGAACACGTGCGGAAAACTACCCATCCACGCAGGGCTTATCCCACGCTATTCTGTAAAGTCGCAGAATTTGCCTAAAAAGGAAACCAGTGTTCTCGCTCTGCCAAGTTTGTTTTCATGGTTGAATCCGCCAAAAGCTGACTCGAGGCTTGTGGGACGGGTTTCGGTCCCAACGACCCGCCCTAACAGCTGCATATAAGCTAACTAGCCTACAAGGGTCTCATCAGCTCGAGATGACGGACCTTGGAATTGGCCTTGCTGTGCATTGCTTATTTAAATAACGTGCCCAGTATTTGTCTGCCTTCCCCGGATCTCGATTCGCGGTTACGCACCTCTGTCACCTCCTCTCACTAACCATGGCTCGCCTCGCTGTCGCCGTCACGGCGCTACTTGCTGCGTCTGGTACTGTCGACGCCTCTCCTGCTTCGCTGAGATGCAAGGCTCACCCGTCATGCCGCTGGCCGCCACAGCAAGAATGGGAGCTCTTTAACAAGACCGTTCAGGGCCATCTTCTTGCGCCTCCTCCTCCTGCTGGCGTCTGCCACACCAACCAAAAGACTTACAACGCCGACCAATGCGCTGCCGTTACCAAAGAATGGCCCGACATGAACTTTCACATTGAGAACCCCGTCTCTCTCTTCATGAACCAGTTCAACAACGACACTTGTCTGCCTGACCCCAAGGCTCCTTGCAGCGATGCTGGTTACCCCAGCCGCGTAGTCGACGCAAGAAGCGTCAAGGACGTTGAGGCCGCTGTTAGATTTGGTAAGTATCATAAGTAAATATCCTAGTAGATGGAATCCTCCTTACTCATAGTTATCTGTAGCTCGCACCAATGCTCTCCGTCTCATTGTCAAGTCTACCGGCCACGACTACCAGGGCCGTTCCAGCGCCCCAGGCGCTTTGTCCGTCTGGGTTCACCATCTCGACTCCATCAACTACCGCCCTGGCCCTTTCAAACTCTCCGGCTCGGGCCGCTCCATTGACGGAAACGTTGTTGTTGTTGGCGGTGGTGCCCAGATGGGTAACATTGCCAATGTCCTCAGCAAGGTCAACCAGACAATTGTTAGCGGTCAGGCTTTGACCGTCTCGGTCGGCGGATACATCACCGGCGGTGGCCACTCTGCACTGAGTCCCAAGTTTGGCATGGCTGCTGACAACGTTGTCGAGATGCAAGTTGTCTTGCCTACGGGTGAGACCGTCATGGCCAACCAGGACACGAACAAGGACATCTACTGGGCTGTTCTCGGTGTAAGCTGCTATCCATTCACTCTACTACAAACACTTTACTAACAGAAGTAACAGGGCGGCGGCTCAACATTCGGTGTCGTTACCGAGTACGTCATCAAGACGCACCCCTCGCCCAAGATCTTCGGCATCAGCCTTATCCTCTTCATGCTCCAGAAGAACGACACCATTGCCTCCGAAGTCCTCGGTAGCTTCTCCTCCTTCATCCCCGACATGATGGATGCCGGTCTCGCCGGCTACATGGTCCTCGGCGCCGGTCTCGACAGCCCAAGCCCGTACCTCCCTCCTTCTATAGACGGTTTCGAGGGACAGCTAGCCCTCTTCGACAAGGGCGAGGCGGAATGGAACGCCATCATCAGGCCCTTCAACGAGACGCTCAATACCCGCTTCAAGGGCCAGGCTAAGCTCATCGCAATTACCCAGGAGTACAACTCCTACAACGACTGGCTTCAGGTCGTCGCAGACAGAAACCCTGCTGGTGTCAATGCCTGGATGGCCTCTCGCCTCCTGGACAAGGAAGCCCTTAGCAACCAGGAAGTCATGGGCAAGACTCTATGGAGTGCCGGATCGAACCCCGATGCCTCGTCTGTCTTCTTCTTCCTCGTTGGCGGTAAGGGCGTCGCGGCTAACAAGGGCCTCAACGCTGTCAACCCGGCCTGGCGCAGCGCCTACGTACACACAAGTAAGTCCACCACTAGCAAAAAGAGACATCTCAATATGCTAATCAAATGAACCTAGTTACTGTGTCTGGATTTGCTCCGCTCAACGAGACGGCTGCCAAACACTCTGCCGATGTTGTTGACTCCCTCTACCAGCCTCTTCGGGATCTCACACCCAACGGCGGCGCCTACATCAACGAGGCCTTCCACTTTGAGAAGAACTGGCAAAAGACATTTTGGGGTGACAACTACGATCGCCTACTGCAAATTAAGCGTCGCGTTGACCCCGACGACGTCTTCTGGTGTGCGCCGTGCGTTGGTAATGAGCGTTGGCAGCAGGACAAGACGGGCAAGCTTTGCCGTGTATAAATGACAAGACAACACATTAGAACTTTTGGGTATATATAATCACTTCTTTTTATTGCATTAAATTCATCAAATCTATCATCCGCCTCTTTTCGTTCGTGTTGCGCGCGCCGACCGCTTGCCTGGCCGAGCCGTATATATCGGCCGTCAAAAGTCCGGACAGCCTAGTAACATATATACGACACGCAAGTTGAATTCTATGGGTATGGGGTTTTGAGGGGTTTTCCGGTTTTGCTCTTCTCTATAATATATCCCGAAATCCGACCAATCTTTGCTGCTGCTGCTATGCTAGTGCGGATAAAACCACTTTACTCGAGCTCGATGGTGCCGGGGGGCTTGGAGGTGATGTCGTAGACGACACGGCAGACGCTGTTTTATCATCAGGTTAGTCCATATTGCCGAGATGCGATAGTGGTGGTGAACGTACCCGTGAACCTCGTTAACGATGCGGTTCATGACGCGCTGGAGGAACTCCCAGGGGAAGTTGAAGGCCTCGGCAGTCATGAAGTCGGTGGTGGTGACGGCGCGGAGAACGACAATGAAGCCGTAGACGCGCTTGTCGCCCATAACACCGACGGCGCGGCTGGGGTCGACGGCGGCGTAGGCCTGGGAGATGGAGTCGTAGAGACCAGCCTTGCGGATCTCGGAGATGAAGATGTCGTCGGCCTGGCGGGCAATCTCGACCTTTTCGGGGGTGACTTCGCCGAGAATACGGACAGCGATACCGGCTAAGACGATGTTAGTACGGAGGGTAGGTTTAAAGTGGTGGAAAGCAAATGCTTACGGCCAGGGAAGGGGTGCTGCGAAGAGCGGTTAGCAATTTGGTATCACTTGGTTGGTAGTAAGTTTACTCACTCTCATGACAAGCTCCTCAGCAATGCCGAGGGCACGTCCCAGCTCGCGGACCTCATCCTTGTAAAGGCTGCGGAGGGGCTCAATAAGCTTGAGGCCAGCGCCGTTCTGCATGCGCTCGGGAAGACCACCACTAAATAGAATCATTAGGTAATGTGTCTAGCAAGACGACGATAAAAGCACGTACACGTTGTGGTGAGTCTTGATGGTAGCAGAGGGGCCCTTGAAGGACAGACTCTCAATGACATCGGGGTAGAGGGTTCCCCTGCAAGAGTTAGTATACGGATAGTTGGCTTTTGGTGTGGATGGACCAAAACGTACTGAAGGAAGAACTCAATCTTGCCGGCGCGGTCAGAGCCAGCGGCAGCCTTCTCAATCTTCTCAGCCTCGGCTTCGAAGATATCGATGAACTTGCCACCAATGAACTTGCGCTTCTTCTCGGGTTCCTCAATGCCCTTGAGGCCGTCGAGGAATTCCTTGGAGGCGTCAACAACAGTCAAGTTGATACCAAGGTGCTTAGTAAGGGTCTCGTGGACGCGGGCGGCTTCGTTGAGGCGCATGACACCGTCTAGCAAGATTGTTAGTCATTGACAGGCGTGTAAAAGCAGGCAAGGGACATACTATCGACGAGGACGGCCCAGAAGCGGTCACCAATGGCCTCCTTCATGAGCTTAGCGGCAACGGTAGAGTCAACACCACCACTGACGGCACCGAGAACCTGACCCTTCTCGCCAACGAGGGCGCGGATGCGGGCAACCTCCTCCTCGAGGAAAGCAGCCATGGTCCAGTTCTGCTTGCAGGCGCAGATGCCAATGGCAAAGTTCTCGAGGAGCTTGAGGCCGTTCTCGGAGTGGGTGACCTCGGGATGGAACTGGAGACCGTAGATGGACTTTTCGGAGTGGGCAATGGCGGCGTATTCAGAGTTGTCAGAGGTAGCAACGGTGTGGAAGCCCTCGGGGAGAGCGCCAAGCTTGTCGCCGTGGCTCATCCAGACGCGCATGGAGTCCTCGATGCCCTGGAAGAGGCGGTCGACGTGGCCATCAACCTTTTGGGCCTTGAGCACGGCGTGGCCGTACTCGCGGTGGGTGCCAGCAATGACGTTCTTGGGGTCGATGCGGTAGGCAAGCTCCTGCATACCGTCTGTGTTGTTATGTTAGTATAACGTTCGTTAGAAGATCGAGTGGACGGGTCGAGGGGTTACGAACAGCAAATGCCGAGAATAGGGACGTCTATGCGCAAATGTTAGTTGGTATGTTGATGCGCAGGTTCCAGACTAGGCTGTAGACTGACTGAGGTCAAAGACGGCGGGGTCAACGTGAGGGCTGCCCTCCTCGTAGACGGAGTAAGGTCCACCGGAGAGAATGATACCCTTGGGCTTGAAGTCAAGATCGGCAATCTTGGTGGTGCAGGGAAGCATCTCGGAGAAGACATTGAGTTCTCTGAGGCGGCGCGTGATGCTGGTTGGGTGTTAGTAGAGGACGTGGTATGGTTGATTTCGGTATAAGGAATCGAGTAATCGAGGAGGCTTCGAGGGGTATAAACATACAGATGGGTGTACTGGGAACTACAGAGGGAATTGTTAGCTTGCATTGTCCCGTACCAGAATTGTCACCAAAATGAGGGCAACATACCCAAAATCCAGAGTAAGGATGGTGTCAAAGGCCTTGTGAGGCGCGCTGGCAGGAGCAGACATGATGGGCGAGGCTGAAAAAGAGCAGCTTTTAAGAAATGATCAGTCGAAGAAGCAAAAAGTCGAAGAAAAGCGATTTGCCCGCCAAGATGACAACTCGGAAACCTCGAGCAGCGTTTTTCCCTGCGGCTTAAGAAAAAAAAAGTTTATCGCGGGGTGCCGATGAGTCAGCTGGCGACAATGAGGGGCAGTAGTGCTGCAATAGGCAAGAGGGGGGCACCTTGTAGCGGGCAGGGCGCGGCCAGCGGTGCCTGAAGCCGGCGGTAGCCCCGCTGGAGCGGCCGGTCGCTGTACCTGCGCTGTTAGTGGGTTTTCGTAGGGCGTTTACAGCGGTGGTTTACAGTGTGCAGCATGTAAGTCTAGATGCAAAGCCTCATAAATTGGCGAAGATTTATAGATGGAATAAAATAAATAAAAAAATACTAGGTAATGATTCAGAGGCTTAATTGAGTTTCTCTGCCTTTGCATTGCCTGTCTTCTTCGGTGGCTGTGGTTGCGCACACAACCCATCGAATCGTACACAATCAACGTCTTTTCTCGATGTCCATCCCCCGCACCATGCTTCTTTAATGAGGTTAAAGCTCTCATTGATCTATTTCTAATTTCCTAACTCAGAAGCTCTCAACAAAGATTATATCATATAAAGTATCCATTTCATCGACCGCCGTTGCGATGTAGGGTAACCCCCGCAGAGTGGGGGTCAGCGCCCCAAGTAACGTGCCAGCTGTTTATTCCAGGTCTTCTCATAGAAACCTTTTAAAATATCCCCAAAATTAAAAAAAAAATGGATCGTTTGTTTCCTGCAACCGTTATGGGTCTCCATAACAATGTTATAGTGTATTGTCTCTCCGCTCCCCATTACCGCTTGGCTGGCTTGTCACTGTCCCTCTGAACCCCACGTCACTACCCCACCACTGATATATTCGTCTACACCCCCAACACTCTCTCCTCTCCCTCTTCCCTTCACAATTCTTCTTCTTTCAACCAAAGGATATATCGTCATGCCTAGCCTTGAAGAGAGAAAGAGAGTCGGACAGGTATGTAAAACTCTCCCCATATGCTATAATCATAGGCTAACAACACCAGCTCTTTGCTGTAGGCTTTCACGGCCACGTCGTCGATGACAACATTACATCGCTGATTCGAGACTACGGTGTCGGCGCGATTGTTTTATTCAAGAGAAACGTCAAGGATGCTACTCAGTTCCAAGACCTCTGCATTGGCCTGCAGCAGGTGGCCAAGGACGCCGGTCATGAACAACCCCTCTTTATTGGCATTGACCAAGAAAACGGCCTTGTCACGCGCATTTCGCCTCCTGTGGCTTCTCAACAACCTGGTCCCATGGCATTGGGTGCATCTGGATCTCTCGAATCGGCATATGAAGTGGCCAAGGCGACGGGCGAAATGCTGCAGTTCTTTGGCATCAACATGAACTATGCTCCTGTGGGAGACATCAACTCGGAGCCTTTGAATCCGGTGATCGGTGTTCGCAGCCCTGGCGATGATCCGCAAAAGGTTGCCGAATTTGCATCTGCTTGTGCTCGCGGAATGAGAGAAACCAGAGTTGCCCCTTGCATCAAGCACTTCCCGGGGCACGGCGACACCGCTGTGGACTCTCACATTGGCCTGCCTGTTATACCCAAGACACGAGAAGAAATGGATAATGTTGAGCTGGTACCTTTCCGTCATGCAGCTTCAGAAGGAATTGAGATGATGATGACAGCGCACATCTCTATGCCAAAGCTAACAAATTCGGATAAGCCAGCCACTCTCTCACCCGAGGTGATGTCTCTTCTCCGAAACGATCTCGGCTTTCAGGGTGTTATAATGACGGACTGTCTTGAGATGGATGGAATCAGAGCTACATACGGAACAGTCGAGGGCGCATTGATGGCATTCCAGGCTGGCGTAGACAATGTCATGATTTGCCACACCTACGATGTACAGACTGCTGCAGTGGATCGAATCTGCGACGCTATTCAAAAGAACGAAATCACATCGAATCGCATCGACGAGTCTCTCCAGCGTCTCGCAGCACTAAAGTCAAAGTTTACCAACTGGGAGGACGCGCTCAAGCGACGCAGCCACGAGGAATTGGCCGACATTAATGCCCGCGGCTTTGCCGTAGCCAGGAACGTCTATGCCGATGCGGCCACTATTGTCCGTGCTACGACAGACCTTATCCCGCTTTCAACAACAGCCAAGACTATTTTCCTGTCTCCTGGCCGTAATATACCGGTGGGCGGTGGAGCTGTTACCGGAGACACGGATCAGCCAACTCGAGTGCCATGGATTTCCAACGAGTTTGTGGAAAGAATCAAGGCATACTCCCCAGACCTTGAGAATATTCAATTTACAGAAGAGCCTCTGACCAGCGAACAATGGAAAGCCATTGAGAATGCGGACATAGTCATTTTCGCAACGCGAAATGCCAAAGAGGCAGTGTACCAGCGAGATTTGGGAATGCAATTGGCGCAGCGAAGAAGCGGCAAGCCTGTCGTTGCGATTGCCACATGCAACCCGTACGACTTTTTGGAAGACAAGGAGATTGAAAACTATGTTGCAGTATATGAACCTACCGTAGAGGCATTCTCTGCTGCTATTGATATCTTGTACGGCAAGAAGACGGCTAGGGGCAAACTCCCCGTGGCAGGAGGAATTTAGGATTCAGCATTATCTGTCAAAATCTGTAGCTTGAATTATCCTCATATCTATCTACTATTTCTGCTACTGATAGGGCTTAAAGAACATGGACATGTCCATCATAAAGGCATCTTCCAGCATATTGAAATCAAAATCAGGAAACGTCATGGCCGTCAGACTCTCAATGGCACTCTGTTCACTGCGAATCGTATCCAGCTTTTTTTGAAGATATCCCCGGATTGTTTGCAAGTTGGCGTGCACCCATTCCATCATGGCCTCTCGCGGGTCTCTGCCTTTTTGCGTCGCCCGGATTTGGATGAGCATGGTAGAGAGCAGGCCATACCTCTTTAAACTGGGTCGTCCAATCTTCATTAGTGGCAACGACTGGTCGCATATGTGCTGTAGAATGTCTAGGACAGGCTGCTGCGTGAGGCACAATATTTCATTGGTCATGGAGTCCTGTTCCTCGAGCTGCGTAAAGATCTCCAAGACAATGGTCGCAATAAAGTACAGACTAAGAGGTCCTTTTAATGGCCCAGTGACTGTGACAAACATGCGACAGATGTCGTTCATTTTGTCCCTCTCTAAGTCCATGTCTTTGCCATATTGTACGACAGCAAGAGCAGCATCCATACAAAGCTTGCGGGAGATAGAGAATCGCATGTCGTTACGAGCCTGGATAACAAATGGCCGGTGGAGGATGATGATTTGCCGCTGTAGCAGCACACTAATAAAGTCTCGCTGAAATTGGCTCACTTGCAGGAGTGCCTTGTCTGATGGACCAAGTTTATCGAAAATGGACGATATATTGGAAAAGGCATTCCGCACCTCTTGAGAGAGCTCGATTGCTGTGGCGTGGTCTTGCGGTGCCATAAAGTCTTGAAGAATGTTGGTTATTCGTAGCCGAAGTGGAAAAGAGGCAAGGAGGGCACGTTGAACAGAGGAATCAGTATGGATCCCATCTGGTATTTCCTGCGGTAATGATTTCATGTCAACGGATAGATCAGCGTCGTTATAGTTGGGAGGAGTCTTTGTATCGTAGAGCAAGGGCCCAATTGGGGACGCTGACGCTTGATCGATTGTGTACTGTAGCTGCAACTCCATCACGGTGGCCCAAAGACGGCGGCGCATCACAATTTCAAAGGGCGAAGGCGATAGAAATTGCTCTGGGTCTCGGTGTAAACCCGCACCAGAGGCCATCTGCGTGAGTGTACCGATAAACGTCCACGAGTTTCCGATTGGCGTCATCTGCCGCGCGAGCTGGATAAGACATGCGAGCTGGACATCTTTGATGTCACTAGAAACTTTTCGATGAAGGGATGTCAGACGCCATTCTGCAGCAATGACCCACGACTTGGCTGCCACCAGCAGTCTAAACTTTTCCTGCTCGCTGTCAAGAAACGTGACGCCAATGGCAAGCACCATGAGCAGCGTCATGTCAAATATGGAATCCTTCGCGAGAGCAGCACCTTGCCAGAAGGATTCATACTCTTGCTGAAACGTAGGGATATGGAGAATCCTGTATATTGGCTCGCATGTCCTCAAGTATCCCGCCACCAGCTTATCGCAGACGTCTCTTGCGGGAATCGTGCCGAGAACATCAGGGACGGGTTCGACGAGCACCGGTATCTCGGCTGCCTTGATAATCTTTCGCATCTTGTTAAACTCGTCGCGGATGCAGGGAAAGTCCACATTAGGTGTTGATATTGACATGTTGACTTCTACCTCCCTATTCTCCAACCCATTGGCAGTAAACTGTGAGCTCATGTTAGTTTCGGACACAACAACGTTTTATACATCAGAGGAGAACATACTTCATTTAACGTCAACATGAAATGATTCGGACCGAACAACTTTGTCTTCTCGTCCGACACACGCAACTTGGGCGTCACTTGCGGAACGGAAGCTGCCGCCGTCATAGAAGACGTCGACGCAACCGTGGATGACGGAGACGGCTGAGACGGCGCAGGTGTGCGGCTTTCAATCTGTGCAAGACGATGCTTCAAGTCGTCCACTGTTCTTTGCAGTTTCTCATTTAAAGCAGATGTCGCCGGCGGTGTCCTCGACGGAACCGCATAACTGGCGCCCTCGAGCGATGAAAGCCGCGATTGAACTTCTTCAAGAGCAGCAGCGACGCCGCTGTCCACATTGACACTTTCCAGACGATGTCCATGGTTTCGTTTGACGTAGGGCTCATAGGAACATTGAAGAGGAGCTCTGGCCTTGAGACACTGCGAACATGGCTCCCCAAGGTCGCATTTTATCTTGCGGTTGCGGCAGGGTGTGCAGCTCTTTGCTGGGCGGCGACGCCTTCTCGGGGTCGGCCTTTCGGGCTCAGCCGGTAAATGCATAGTGATAGAATATAAGGGAGAGAGGGAATGATGCAAAAGAAATACGGCAAATGCAGGAAATATCCGAGGACCGGTGGTGTTTTATAAAGTGAAGGGGTGACGAGGCTGGCCAAGTTCGGGAAACTGGAGAAATTGCCGAAGTTTTTGCTGGTCAAAGTTCGGGGAATTCAGCCATAACCCCGCTTACGCCCGAATTTGCCGAACTAGGCTTACACGCTACGAGGCTACGCATCCAAACTGACTGCAACATACGTAATAAACATGAGCTCTTAATTTGTCATTTAGAATAGAATTCAATTAAAATTCTACAGATATATATATCTACTACACATTCTACAGCTTGCATCATTCATGCTTCATCATCAACATCGACAACATCGACAACATCGACAGCATCGACAACATCAACATCATCACCATCACCATCCCACGTCATCTCTTTACTCTCGCTTATACACCCTTTGGCCCTCAAACCACGTCTCTTGCACAACACCCTCCACCAACTCATCCTTGGTCAACTCCAAATCGCAAACAATAAAATCAGCCTTGAGCCCCGGCGCCAGTCGACCAGTCCACTCATCAGAGAAGCACGAGTACGCCGAGCCGTGGGTTGCACCAACAACCGCTTGGCACACCGTCAATGCAAACTCCGGGTTCACCACGGTCCCCAAATCGCGCTCGCGGAAAGACTTGCGCGTAGTTCCCACGTATAGATTTGGCAGTGGCTCATGCGGCGCGGTAGGCGCATCAGAACCCAATGCAATGCGGGCGCCATTGTCCACAAACTCGCGATACGCAAAGGCTCGCTTGCACCGGCGAGCACCCAGAAGTCTCGGCCATGCGCGCAGGATAGCAGGGTCAGAATGCACAGGCTGAATAGAAGCAGTGATGCCCAGCTTTCCGAGTCGCTTGGCGTCTTCCTCTGATGCAAGCTCCAAGTGCTCAATGCGGGGACGGCGGGACGCATCCGTGTTCTTCTCGAGTACGTCAATGGCCATCTGGATGGTGCGGTCGCCAATGGCATGTAGCGCAACCTGAAGACCGTATGAATGCGCGCGAGCAACGACTGGATGTAGCACTTCTTCGTCCCAGATAGGATCTGGGTTGACGTTGGTTGTGTACGGCTCTCGCAGCGAGGCTGTGCAGGCGTCAATAATACCATCGCAGATGACCTTGATGCCCACGATGCGGCAATCCGGTGTAGTGTCCTTGTTGTACTTGGCAGCGAGCTCTGCAGCGCGGTCCACCTGCTTCAGGACATTCTCAAGGCTAGGATCAGGCTTCATCAGCCAGTAGGCAGAGAGGCGCATGCCACCAAGTCCCTCGGCATTGCGCAGAGCAAGTAGCGGTTCCCAGATATCCTCATCCATGGCCATGTCCACCATGCCCGTGTATCCGACCGAGTTGAATTCTTTCACGGCAGCGCGGTACGACGCCATCTTTTCCTCCTTGGAAGCTACCTGTGCGCAGAATGGCCAGATGATCTGGAACACGGCACTCTCGTTAAAGACGCCGTTGGGCTCGCCTGCGCTATCTCGCTGGATTGTGCCACCCGCTGGATCGGGTGTGTCTTTGTCAATCTTCATGAGGTCGCAAATCTCCTTGAGGCCAGCCGTATTGCACCATGTCGTGTGCATATCCTTGGTGTCGACAAAGATGGGCCGAGGGTCCACGTCGTCCAGCAGAGTGGCATCTACACCTTCTGGTGTCATGGAGTGCATCCATCCCTTGCAGAAGATGCGGCGCGCATGAGGATCAGCTTCGGCACGCTCTTTGATGGCCTGTCGGATATCCTCGAGCGACGTGCACTTGTCCAGGACAACCTTTTGAATACCCTGGCCGAGTTGTAGAATGTGTAGGTGTCCGTCGATGAAACCAGGCAAGACTGTTCTTCCGGCCAAGTCTTTGGTTTCGGCGCCAGCAGCAATGGCCGCCTTGATCTGCTCGTCGCCTTGTTCTCCGACATGAGTAATAATACCGTCCTTGATAACTATGGAGGACGCCAGCTTAGGCGTCTCCGTTAGCGCATCGGGATCAGATACGTAGACTTTGCCATTACCAAGCACCAAGTGAGCCGGCTGAGACTGGGAATCGGGCTGGGCCATTTTTAGATTCATGATTAATTCCTTAGTATCCTGAGATATATGCTCTTTTGTTAAGTGTAAACGTTGCGAGCTCTAATCTGCCGGCGGGGGGAAGACTGCCGACTTCGCTGAAAAGCGGGCCGGACAGCGGCCGAAGCGCCGACCTGTCAATCGACAAGTCCGGGGTAAACGCCGAAGGAGCAATTGCCATACTAACAAAAGAAGAAACACATAAAAATAAGGGCTGCATAATAAGAATAGCTAAAACCCGTATTCCTTTTACTTGGATATTCAGCGCATGCATTTAGCCGATGCCCCTTTCTGGCGTCTAACCTGCGTGTAAGTGCAACCTCCTGCAGGAGTCGCGCATGAGGCACAGCCTGATTCCTCACACTCTATCAATTACTAATTTGGTATATCATGTCACCAATTTCTACCAAGTGCAAAGTACCCCGCATTATCACAGGACCTCCGAACGTGGATATAAAACCGACCAAGTTTAATCCGCCATGGCCACTTTCAAAATCGCAGGGTGTACTGTATTAGATGCAAGCCAAATAAGCTATATAAATGGCCTAGCATGCTGGTAGCAATACATGTGGAGAATTATTCGACCTCAAGACAAAGAAAAAGAGTTCATACTCGAGTGTCTCGCAAAGAGACTTCCAATGCGACTACTGGGCGACAGAGATCGAACACGCCATGTCAAAGCTGTTGACTTTGCAACTGGGCAAGTAGTTGGCTATATCAGATGGACATTCCCTAAAGGATTTCTTGATAATCAGCCAGACGAGTTAAAATGGTTATCAGCTCAAGTTCCGAATGTTACTAAACAAGAATTAGAAGCATTCGAAGCTATAGAAAATGCGACCTGGTGGGAAATACGAGACGATTTAGCTCCACTGGAAGATATCATCCACACTGAGAGAGAACGTCTTATTGAGTCAAACGTCTATGCTGGTTTGTTAATTTTGTCAAGTATTTATTTTTATTTTATTAACACGTCTTAGATCTTGACTTGATGGCTGTCCATCCCGACTTTCAACGAAAGGGGATTGCGACTGCACTTATACAGGACGGAATAGAGCACATTAAAAAGCTAAACCTCTCAGTATTTGTACAGGCTTGGTCAGGAGGGCGAGAGGTATATGCGAAGGCTGGGTTTCAAGAAATTGGCCGATGTATTCAGGATGACACGGCGTATGGTGGTGAAGGTCCATATCACACCTATTTTATGACGTATAATTAACTAAGACAAGCTAAATAGAATTGAGTTGGAGTCTATTTGACTAGATCAAGCTATTATGGCTTATAAATTCGATTTGATTGGGATTTTGATGTATTTTACTATTCTGGCCAAGCTCCTTGCGCCCTTGCCTAGCCTCGCCGGTTATATTATCAACGATTCACAACAGCCTCTAGGTATAGAAAAAGCAAGTACTAATAAAAACTAACTATTAAAAAAGCTGGGAAAGAAGACTGTATAATAAATTCGTTGGCTTGTAACCGAGGAGCTGAGTACTCCTGCCAATGCAGTGATCCGATTGGTGGAATAACACCCTCCACTTACGATAGCGCGACAAGCAGATCAGGACTATTAATTTGGATAATTACTATAAGGAACCTCTTTGTCGAGTGCTTGTCGGTTTCTTCAACTTCATCATTGCCACAAGAAACCATGAAGTCAAGCATTGCACTCGTCCTTGGCGCTCTGGCAGCCACTGCTACCGCCATCCCAACCCAACAGCATCAGCCAACTCCCGACACAGTTGTTATACAAGGATGGCGCCTCGAGGCCGCAAAGGCCAAGATTGCCCACGGTGACGAGACTTACACCAAGGCCCTCGGCCATCTCACAGCACAGGCGGATTCCTGGCTCGGTCAGGGCCCGTGGACCGTCACATCCAAGGACAAGGCGCCCCCGTCTGGCGACAAGCACGACTACGCATCGCAAGCTCCTTACTACTGGCCCAACCCCAACACGACCGATGGATGCCCGTACATCAACCGCGACGGCGAGCGCAACCCCGAAGTCGACAAGTACACGGACCGTCTGGGCGTTGGAAAAATGTTCAATTCGTCATATGTGCTATCTCTGGCGTGGTACTACACTGAAAAGGAGGAATATGCCATGCATGCCGTGGATATCCTCCGCACATGGTTCGTCACACCCGAGACAGCTATGAACCCGAACCTGAACCATGCGCAAATCATTCCATGCGCCAATACAGGTCGCGCTATTGGCATCATCGACTTTAGCCAGGAATACACAAACGTCCTTGACGCCGTGTCCATCTTGTCGACGTCGCCCAAGTCGGGATGGACTGAGGCCGATGACGCTGCCTTCCGTGACTGGAACAAGCGCTTCCTCACGTGGCTGACAGAATCCAAGTTCGGTCTGGAGGAAGCTAAACAGTCCAACAACCACGGCACCTTTGCCAACATGCAAGTCTCTGCTATCGCATTGTTCCTCGGCAACGAAACACTAGCCAAGTCTACCGTTGAAAAGGCCAAGACGTTTATCAAGAACCAGATATCCGCCGACGGGTTCCAGCCCCAGGAGACAAAGCGTACGCGCAGCTGGCACTACACGCATTTCAACTTGGGTGCACATCTTCGCTGGGCTCTCATTGCGGACAAGGTGGATGTCGACCTGTTTCACTACAAGGGTCCCAAGGGGCAGAGCCTCTTCAAGGCCGTCAATGTGACTGTTGATGCCGCCGTCAATGGCCCATCAGACTGGCCCTTTGAAGATCTTGAATTTAAGAAATACACTGCCACGGATAATATCCATGGTGCGGCGCAGGCTGGACTATGCAGTGCAAAGAAGGCTCTGCCTAGCTTGCAGCCACCTCCAGGCGGTGACATCTTTATTCTGAGACCTGCTCCTCAGCAGCTAGATAGCATTGTTACGCTGTAGTATTATGATGACACTCGTTTAAGTAGCATTTATGGAAAGAAAGTAACGCCTTTTTTATTGAAAACATTCCCAAAAAAAAAGTAAAAAATATATAACATGGTCATCATCGTAAAAGGTGTATGTATGTAGGTAGTGGTGCCATCACCGATGTATATGTAGCTAGCCACAGACAGGCCTTATGCACCGGACTGAGACACATCTTCCTTGATTGCGTCTTGCAGCTCCACGTGGCGCAGGTAAATGCCCAGCAGCTCTGTATTAAAACGTTGCGCATGTACAAAATGGCGACGGCCAGCGTCGCGAATGTGCTTGGTAGCCACGCGAAGCATGTCGGCATGGAGCTCCTCGGGCACACCACCAAGTTGGGATAGAGAAATGTCTACTGTTGTGTCGGAGGGTTGGTAGAAATGGGGGCCGAGCTGAGCGTCTTGGAGAAGAGCGCAGCAGTAGTCTTCCAGCATGCCGTACTTGTGAAGGAAGTCCAGCATAGCAGGCCATGTAATGTCGCCTCTCTCACCAAGAAAGTCAAGGCGGCCCTTGGCGATTTGTTTCTGGGCTTCGGAGAAATAGGCAACGGTCGAGACGAGGGATTCGGTGGTGATGTCGAGCTGGGCTCGGGTATAGTCTCGTTCGTAGCCGAGCTTGTGGCGCCACAGCACGTTGCAGATTGGTGATGAAATGACAACGGGGATCAAAATGACATAGCCGTACCACAGGGTTGCTGTCATGAGAGATCCTGCACCGCCCAAGATTGTTGCTGTGCCGTTGATGAGCGAGTAGGTCTGTAGCAGACGGCTTCGCTTGTAGATCAGAGACATGGCGGTCGTACCCGAGATTGTCTTGGATGCGGCTCGAATATGACCCTGTGCCTTTGCAGCAAGATACATGGCCCAGAAGAAGTTTACCAGGCCATAAAGAGCAATAGGGGCGTTACCCAGGTATCCAGAGAGGATGTTACTAGCCATGAATACCGATGGGTTTGCGCCGCCAATGGCCATGTATGTGCCAATGGAAATCAGCACACCACCGCCGCCCATGAAGATGTCCATGAAGAGGCGGTTGATAAACTCGGAGGTCATTTCTCGGAATGTGAGCGTCAATAAAACGTCCACATCCAGCGTCGACTGGCCGCCGTCAACCAGGGTCTGGCGCTCTAACTTTAGCTGACGACGGTGCTGTTTGAGGAACTTGAGGTTGGAGTATGCGAACAAGGCATCCCTGATTGCAAAGATGGAGAGAATACCAGCAGCTGTACCACCAATTGCCATCAAGATGACAGCATGGAGAGGGACGGGTGTCTCGTTCCACACGTTGGCAGCAAAGTCGAGAGCGTTGCCAAGTTCGAGGAAGCCCACAATGAAGATGAGGTTGTTGCGAAGACGTCCCTCTTGCAGAGGCTTGAACCGGCCATTCTTTTGCTTGACAAAGTGGATGTTTGTAGAGCCATCGAGGATATCGGTGACGGCATCGGGTTGTTGCAACGGATCGACGGGATTCGGGTCTGACGTGTCGGATGCCTTACCCGAGGGTAGTTTGTCGTCGGTAGTGACTTGGTGCGAGATCTTCTCGGCAGTGCATTCCACCTCTGGTGAGAGGAGATCGATGGGGGTTGGAGTAGTGGCAGCCATGGTGGCCAATGGGTTGTCGCGGTAGTTTCAAGCGGATGCAGTCACCATCTTCACTAGACACAAGACGAGACTAGAGAGGAGGAGCGTTTGCAATGGAGGAGAAGCAGGTGTCTCTCTGTAACCCTCTTCCACCGCCGGAAGAAAAGAAAAAAGGGACAAGAAAAATTCGCTCAGGGCTCGCCAAGGTGCGTTCGTATCCAGCCTACGCTATGAAAAATAGCACTGTGGAAACAGCGGAAGTAGCGGCAGCCGTGGAGGAAAAAGGCCCATGACGGGTGCTGGGGGAGGCATTTTGGCAGCAGAAAGCAGCCGGATAATAGCGGGCCGAGCGCCAAAGAGGAGGTGAGATTGACGTGGCCTTTTTTGTTGGGCAGCAGACGAAGCAGCAGCCAGCACGAGGCCGCGATGCAAAAAAGAAAAAGAAGACGATGGGAAAGAAAACGGTCTTGGCAGCAGCACGCGATCTACTTTGCTTTTTTTCCCCAGACACCAGTTTCGCCTTTTGACGCAGCCCTATCGCCTTTTCTAGCGTCTTGCGCGTTTTGCACTGCCACGATCGGCCAGCCGCGGGGGGGCCCGCCAAGATACATCCATACATACAAACTCGGTTCCCCTGCTTCTTTTTTCTTTTTCTTTTCTATTTTTATTCTGTTTTAATGTCCAATAGCTAAATCAGTTGAAGGTACAATTTCTAGATGGGCGAACTTTTGCGACGGTCACACACATCTGCAGCAGCATCATCGCAATGCTCAGCATAAAGTGTGGTGTTTTTGCGCCAAAACGCCAATGGCGCTACAGCCTACGCACACACACACGTGCACACACTGGGGTCGTATAAGCGCACAGTCATCCTTGCACCCAGCTGTGCGATTCAACACACGAGGAAAAAAAATGGGGAACAATAACTGTCTAGGGTTCGGGTTATGTGCTCACATCAGACACATCAACATGCAGTCGACTATGCCAACACTCTACGTGGATACTCTTACCCCGTTGGAGATGGAAAATGCAAACTGTGGACAACAGGTGAGTAGTATGATTGCCAGTCTTCTTCAATGACCTAGTAGCGGAGAATTATCCGTACCTAAGCGCTACTATATGTACCCCAGAGAAAAGCGTTCTTAGCCTGGCCTAAGCGAGACAATAGCAAGTGTGCAAAGCCGTGAACCGAATAGATGATCGCAAAGAAACAGTGCAGCTGCATATAGGTAAGCGAATTGAACAGAAGTAGAGCGGAGTTGAGGCCCGGACCTTGGTTCCCCAGACTATTCATAGTACCAAGCGACAAATCCGGAACTCAGCCGACGGATCGCCTTCGATTCTGCGGGCAACGCACGATTGAACAGATTCGCGGCCATCTTCCACTATCATTCTAATGGAGGGTCACCGAACGACAGCCGATGGTCAGTAGACATGTGTTTAAGCGAGCAATATCGTCTACAATAGAGTCCATGATAGGTAATCATAGTATGCTTCGCATACTATCCACGCGGAGAGCATCTAAAGAAGCACGGGCTTGTACATCGATATTAAATATAAAAGCACCCTTTTCCCACAGCGGACTCTACTTCCTGCTCCTGTTTGCCATCATCGTTTTTTTACCATCTTCGGCTTTTTATTGATTCTTTATTTATTTACATACTTTGCTACTCACTACGTCGCCACTATGAAGAACCAACTCGCCCTCTTGTCTCTGGCTACGCAAATTACCGCTCTTGCCGCTCCTTCTCTCTCTAACAGAGGCGAAGATATTGTCGGCGGGCAGACTGTCAAAATTGAAGATTTTCCTTATCAAATCCAAATGCTGAGAAACGGCAATACGCACTGCGGTGGCACTGTTGTTAGCGATCGCTTCGTCGTAACCGCCGCCCATTGGTGTGATTGGCCCGGGGACACCTTCTCTATTCTTGCTGGTAGTGGCGAAAAAGGGAAAGGTACCGCATATAATATCACCAAGGCGACTATGCACCCCAAGTACGACGTCCGACAACTTCCTACGATGCTTGCGTCTTGGAGGTTACGCCTTTGGCGCTGGGACCGACCGTTCAGCCAGTTGCTGTCACTAATGTCGAGCCTGCCGTTGGCACAGACACAATTGTCTCTGGATTTGGTTTATTGTACAAGGAGCACCCCAGCTATCCTAAATATCTCCAGGTTGTCCATGTCCCCATTATGGACCGTGATGTTTATGTAAAGCAGTACCAGGTTGCCGGTGACAACATTACAGCCGACATGATCTGCGCTGGTCTCCCAGAGGGTGGGAAGGACTTCTGCAATGGTGACAGCGGTGGCCCACTGATTGCCAACGGCAGCTCGCCGGTATTGTCTCATCTGGCATCGGCTTTACGGAGCCCGACTACGGTGGCGTGTACTCAAATATCGCTGACACTGAGATACGCTCCTTTATTAAGGAAATTACTAGTCTTTGAAGAGAGGCAACTCTTCGAGATTTCTGACACGAATACAATGCTATCTGATATCAAACTTGGGTTCATTTGACTTATTATATATATAATTATATGGTTGTATATAGGTAACCTGCGAACAGCCAACCGTGCACCAATCAATACATATTTGCACAAGAATATGTCCTCCTTAGGCGGACGTAGATGTTACTATAATAAACAAAGTCAAATGAAGTGTAAATGGACTGTCGCAAAATATTTGCCATTTCCTACATCAATATTTGGACAAGTTATATTCTTACCGTCGATCCAGCCACCAATGTTTCCGGCACGCATCAGATACGCGACCCGCCGCCCCCGTCCCTCAGGTAAACCTTCCGAAAACTCGCCGCCACAAAAGAGATGCAGCGACGTCATTTTCAGGGTTCCTTCTCTTCAATTCTTGACAATTACACCATTTCATCTCATACTCCAATTACAACATGGACAATCGATCTGCATTCAAATCGTCCAGAGGCGTCCAATATTCATACGAATATAAGCCTGCCAAATCGAAATCCACGCTTTTATTTCTTCACGGTTTCCCCTCACACTTAGGCGAATGGGCAAACCAAGTCAACCATTTCGCAGCCCTTGGCTACGGCACAATTGCCGTAGATATGCTTGGATTTGGCCACAGCAGTAAACCCGATGATGGAAGCGAATTGACCTTCAAGTCCATGGCGGCAGATCTTATTGAGCTTCTTGATGCCCTCACCGTATCAAAAGTCATTGGCATTGGCCACGACCTAGGCGCCAACTTTCTCGGCAAGTTGGCTGCCTTTTATCCGTCTCGCTTCATCGAACTGGTGTTTTTGTCAGTTGGCTCCGGTGTGCCCGGCCAAGAATTCAACATTGATATGATTCATAAAATGACGAAGCAATTCCTCGGCCACGAAATGTTTGGCTACATATCATGGCTTGCGGCGTCACCAAACCCGCACCAAACGCTCGAGAAGCATGCGGCGTCTGCGATGAGCTTGCTATATACAAGCGAGCCAAGTACCTGGAACCAGCACTTCCACCCTCTTGGAAACTTTGAAGCTTTCGTTTCAGCCGATGAGACGGTGCCGATAGGCGCGTGGTACACTGCAGACATGCAGAAGCAGCATCTTGCTCTATACGGCGCCAAGGACGGATACAAGGGCGCCACAAGGTGGTACCAAATGATGGTAGAAAACCTATCTCTTGCTGGCGAAAAAGAGATAGAAGGATCTGAATTATCCATGCCTTCGCTATTTGTTGGACACGGTGAGCAGGATCCCTTGTCCGGCCAACAGATTCAGATGCTGCAGCCATGGGTCCCTAACCTACAGGTCAAGCATATTCCTTCTGGTCACTGGGTTCACTTGGAGAAGCCAGAAGAGACAAACAAGATATTGGAAGAATTTTTCACTACTCTTTAATTTATAGCTTTTATACATAATACTCCCACTGAGTGACAATACAACACCCAACGCCGCTTACCCCTAACCGCCATCGCTCCAAAATGCTGCATAAAAGAAAACGCTCCGAGTACTCAATTCTATTCAGGCTTTTTGCAAACCACCTCAATGTTGTTTCCAACGGGATCGGTGATAAACGCGCCATAGTAGTGAGGTCCATATTGCGGTCGTGGCCCAGGCGCGCCATTGTCCTTGCCACCAGCTGCTAGTGCCTTGACATGGAACTCGTCCACCACCTTGCGATCTACACAGTAGTGTTAGCATTTGATTCGTTGCGCAGCTCTTAAGAAATGAACGAACCGTCGGTCTTGAAAGCCCAGTGCGCATACTTGATTTCAGAAGCCGATTGGGCAAAACCAGAAAGCCAAAAGTCGGCCTCATGGGCCGGCGCATCTTTGCATCCAAGTCCAACAACCTTGCCGTCGTGGATTGAGTGACGAAGTTCGTATCCCAGAGGAGCCAGGGTAGCAAGATAGAAGTCAAGCACCTCCTGGTATTTGTCAGAGGTGATGGAGAGAGCAAGATGGTCAAGCATTGTGAATGTTTTGTTTGGAAGAGTTATAGAAGTGGGTGAGAAGAGAAGATGTGATGGATTGTAAGTGCGAGTGTGAGTGTATGGGGTGTGTTCTTGCTATTGGTATGTCTTTCATGGAACTATCGACATGTTTATATACTTGGACTCTGAATCGGATATCGGACCTTTGACAGCCGACGTGTAACTCAATTTCAACTATCCCGCGTGTATTGCGGAGCGCCATGTATGTTCAAAACTATACTATCCCAGGCACGACTGCATTCACGGTTTTCTGTGGCTGTCGTGACGATCGCCGGCGACTTTTGTTAGTGTGGGGGTTGCAGCCCGGCCTTGTTCGGCAAAGCGAAGAGTCCGATCGTGCGCATTAGTCTCCGGGGATGTGTAAGAAAAAAAATATGTATGTAAAATTAAAGATTAGAAACTATGTTCTATAGAAGAATGGGAAGAAAGTAGCGGACAACATTGGGTTGTAGAGTAGTGCATGACGGCAATTAGGCGATTAGGACCTGCTTCTCCTTCTTGATCTGCTCAGCGAACTCAACAGGGACCTTTAGAACCTGGGACACAATCTCAGGAGGAGAGAGAGCCAGCCACTGAGACAGGGAAATGTCGGCAACGCGGTCAGATTTGTAGATTTCGACCCAGACGAGATCTTCGGTCTTGGAGGTGTTCTCAATGTAGTGGCTGTATACTGTCAGTACAAGGTGCATAGAAATAAGAAGCAAACACTTACCCAGAGTTGTCAGGGAAAACAGCAGTATCACCGGCGCTGAAATCAAAGGTGCGAGAGTTGCCGTTGCCAATGAAGACGGTAGCCTGGGCATTGCCCTTGTGGAAGTACAACCACTCCTCGGCCTAGTTATGATTAGCGCTTCATGTGTGGTGATAAATCGTCGCAGTTGACTTACATTGGGGTGCCAGTGCAGTTCACGAAGAGCGCCAGGCTTGAGAGTGACAAATGTGGCAGCAATCGTCTTTGCAATGGGAAAGTTGGTCGAGTCAATCTTGTAGAACTCGCCGCCGCTGCCGCCAATCTTCTCAGGCTTGTGCTCGAGGGTGCGGTAGATGTACGAGCTTTTGCCGGTCGCAGAAGGGGTGACGGCGCCAGAAATGGTCTTGGTAGCGACGGTACCGTTGACAATGTAGGGGTTCTTCTGAGGAACATTCTTGAAGACGGACTCGTCGACACCAAAGTTCTTGGCCAAGATGTTTGTCGGGGTGCGCGCAACCCAATCATCGAGGTTGAAGGTTGTTCTGTCAAACGAGAGTTAGAAAACACATTTACAGTATACCGTCTATAGACATTCGACTCACCCGACGCGGTCAAAGTCGCCATCGTCAAAGATCAAGAGGAATTCGTTGTCCTCCTCAAGACCCTGGACGGTGTGGGCAACACCCTTGGGGAAGTACCAAATATCGCCGTAGTTGAGCTTCTCGGCCTGGTAAACGCCATTCTCATCCACGGCAGTCATGAGGATGCTACCGCTGTACACGATGCCCCATTCGGCCTATGATGGTGTGTTAGTGAAACTCGTACCTCACCCGCTTCCAAATCGGGCACTTACAACACGGTGCCAGTGCAGCTCACGCGCCGCGCCCTTCTTGAGGTGCTGTTGAGCTCCGGCAATGTCGTGACTAGCAGGCAAGTCACCAATAACCTGTTCACGAACCCAACCGCCGTTGAAGATCTTGGTCTTGGAGTCCGAAAATCGCCACTTCAAGTTGGGCACGGTGCCGGCGTCCGTGGACTGCTGACCAAGGTTGTCGGGGTTCTGCTTATCGACGAGCTGGTTGGTACCGCCTAGTAAAAATTAGCCAATGCTTAAAATTATTTATCCATTATCCAAAATATATACCATTGATAGGGCCGCCGTTGCCTTTGGCGTCAATAGGCTGCCCTTCGCCAAAGTGGCCGCCATCGCGTCGCTCGAGTGACGGCGCAGCGAGCGCAGTCGCAGTGAAAGCAGCTAACAAGTATTGAAACTTCATTTTGTACAATTCGCGTTTCTTGGCAATGCGATGCAAGACGATGCAAGACGATATGACACGATCTACTATCCACAGAGGCGTACTTGTGCGCTCAGCGAAGGGGGCAGCGCGTCGTCCCCTGGGGCTATATACGTATCAGGAGCCCGATTATTGATTCTGATTACGAAATTAACAGTTAGATAGGCCAGGTCTAGAAGATGTGCATTTGTTAATCACAAAATGTGATAGAATTGGCGCCAAAATGGCGACATGCCACCTCGAATGCAACAACGCCCTGATTTCTGTCTCAATGGACAGCTACAGCACTCGGGAGTTGGGCATTTAGCATGCAAGCCACAATGGACGATCTCTGGGCGCCCTGCTTTGGCTGGATCTGTCAGCCGCGTTTAAGTGCAATAAGCTTGTCGACGTGACGGCTTCCATAAATCCGGGGGTGGCATCTTGTTGGTCTGCGATGACGCCATTCGCCGTGTTATGGCATATCGCGTGCTAGGGATTGGCGGGCAACCAGCTGCCGTGCCTGTCAAGCGAAATTACTGAGACTATCGAATTTAAGCATATACATAGTTTGAGAGCTATCAAATATGGTGCCATTTAGAAAACAGATTCCATCAATAGTTCATTATCCTTGTCTGCGTGCTACCCTTTCTGTGTATAGTAGAGTGCCGCAAGAATGCATATGCCGTGCTTCTGCTACACCAATAAAGCGGCAGATGCCGCATCCGATGAGCAGGACTGAATTGGTGTTTTTCTTTTCAATTCAACCGGATCTTCAGTAATTTTAACGACCTGTTGCCAAAGGTCCTCCTCATCCCCTCGCCCCATGCCCATCGTGCAGACATACATTACAGGCCACGAAAAGCCTTGCTCTATCCAGTAGTACTTGTCGCTAGTTCCGGTTATTCTCTTTTTGAAAGTATAGGGGTCCTGAATCTGCCGTTCTCGACCTTGTCGAAAATTTCGTGGGTCAGACTCCATCCCATCGGCGCCATATATCTTGCGGTAGAGACACTCAAGAGCTCCGTATGCTCGTTTTTCAAAAGACACCGTCATATCAATAGAATCAGGGAGTGCAAGACGCAGTGCATCCAGCGGAGTAAGGACGTTGCGAGCCATTCGGGATTGAGGATCATTGATTTTGCTTTGCGGCTCCTTGAAGCCATAGATGGTAATATGCAGCCTTTGGAGGCCAGGGCAGGTTTGGGGGAGATTGTCCCATATATTCCAAATTGCGCTTGTTGTTGGGATGTCTTCGCTAAATGCGCCATCACAGGCGCCATGGTCTAATCGAATTTCCAATGATCGTATCCAGGTACGCTGGTGAATGGGCAGCTCTGTCGCAAGATTCTCAATTAAGTGTTGACTGGAGAGATGGATTGTGTTTGTGGACAAGAGGATTTCCATCCCTTCTGTGTATGCCAGCTTACAAGTTTGAAGCCAGCCTGATACTCCCAGAAAACAATCTTTGGGTGAGAATGCTTCGATTCCATCAACTACTTCAGGCGTAATGCATACGCAGCCTCGTCCAAACCCGAGACAGTCATCGTCCCCAGGATGAATCCGACCAATGTCAGTGAAAAAATAGTCTCCAGGCCTCACGACTGTTGGCCTATGGCAAACACAGCTGAACCAACGCCAGGCTTGAGGCTTAGATTTGTCACGCCGGAAAGGCATTGTGATTCCGCAATGTGAGGCGCCAGGCTTTGGAAGTGCGCGCTTGGCCTTCGTCCTGCTCCTCCATGATCGGCCTTCGCTGGGCTTTTCCTCGTTAATCAGAGCATAGCCGAAATATTTGTGGATATGTATAGTTTGGTTTCCAAATGCCGCGAGTAAAATCAGCCGACGTATCTCTGCTGGCAGCTCAAGTAGAGGCGACCCATCTGCTGGAAGGCGGCGTGTACAATTTGGTAGCTCCGGATCATCACCTCTACGACTACTTTCAGTGCGTTTTGGTTGTTTCCGAGTCTTCAGCTTAACGCCTAATAGGAGTCGTTCAAACATGGTGACAACATTTATATACACTGGAGATTTTTTTTGTTGACAGTGAGGGGTTACCAGACGCGACAAGGAACAGTGGCTCAGCCTGCATGGTGTATATGGTCTCCAGGCGCGCCACAGACTACTACAGTAAGTAAGCAAAAGTTACAGATAAACTCATGTATAGTCAATATTTCAAGTATTTTTAACACATGTTATAAAATTCCTTTTTCTATCAATCTTTGTAGAATATTCTGTGTGATATAAATAATTTATATTTATGGAGTTTTTAGATGGCTATTTTATATACAGTTTGTGTATATATTTGGAATGCGTTTCTTGAAATATGGGCTAATTGTAACTTTTGTTACCCACTCTAGGGGAGGCGGTAGGAGAGGGTGAGGAAGCATTGCTTCATTGAACAAGACGTCGAATTTGCAGAAAATAATCCGCATACTAATATGAAATTAAATTATGGCAACTGTATAGCAACCGATACTTCCATTGTAATTTAAAACTTTCGATATTCCTTTTCTTATTTTCTTGAGCGCTGAACAACTTCCGTTAGAAGCATGTGAATTGTGTATTCATCGTTTTTCAAGTGCAAGGCTTGTCCATCATAATTCGCGCCCACAGAGCTGTAATGTCGGAGAGCCATCTCGTCTACGCGCAGTGTGTAGTATCACGAGTAATGTCCGATAGTGACAATACCGTCAACTACAACCTGCGCCGTGCTGTCACTGAGCTCCTCGTCAAATACCATCGGATCTTGTTTCCAGGCATAACGAGTGATGCGGGCCAAGCAAGGCAAGGCTCTTAAACAAAGCAAAGCAAGGCAGACCGCCGTTGAAGCTGGACGCGGCTGCCTGGCCTAGGCTGCACGAACTCGACCAAGGCTCGGACCCAGAGATGTCTATATAATTTCATTTCGTGCGCTGGCTTCGGAAATACATGCAATGTCTCTATGTATTATTCTTTCGAACCCCGCCTCAGTTCATCATGCTTCGTTTGTTAAACACTAGCCGTCATTGCGCCAACCAACAGCTACAATCACCCCTCTTTGCGCTTCCTCCTGAAATCCGGCGCATCATCTTTCGCTATGCGGTAACAGGTTACCCTGACCCCTCAAAAGATGCCCAATACGATGAAGATACTTGTTACAGACGGCCAGGCTTCTTCTCCCGGCACCGGATCGATACAGACTTGCTGCGAACATGTCGTGCTGCCCTTCTTGAATCTTGGGATATGCCTCTAATTCACACGGAGCACGTATTTTGGCTAGCCTGGGGCAACCGAGCACCGCCACATTCAAACTGGCATAGTCAGTTGATCAAATTCAGCAGGGCGGCAGCTAGTTTATCTCTGGACGCTGCAGCCATCGACGACATGCGCATCTTTATTCAAATGTTTAATTTCGACGATGGTGACCTACAACAGCTCATGGAGATGGATATGATCATTGCTCGTCGCATCACCTTTACAATTCGACATACCGACTGGTGGCATTGGGAGAGTGATAACGAACTTTACTTTAATTCCCGCTGGCTTCATGGCTTCTTTGGTCTCCTCCCGGAAGAAACAGAAGAAATCTGTTTTGAGTTGGAGACTGTGGCTCGCAAATTAGACCAGCTCCAGGGGATTGCAAAGCAGATGCAGGAGTCTTGGTATTTTAGGAAGAGGAATGGCCAAATTCTATTGGCCGATGCGAGTCTGTCTACACATCCCATGAGATGGAGAGGCTCTAGTACATGGGAAGGCACTCATTGGGATCGAGACGAATGTGAGCCCGGTAAGATTGAATATGTGGTGATAACAGTTAATTTCCGGCCACGTGAGGCTATTTTGAAAGATGGTGGGAAGCTGTACGATTCTGCACTGGCGAATGCCCTAAGAGATGATCCAGAAACGTACAAACTGGAATTGAACAATGGCGATTCCGGGATAGGCTTCTTAATTTATGCTGCTGGTTCAGACGATGACGATGACGAGAACCACTCTGATGAGGATGCCGAGGATGCCGAGGATGCTGAGGATAGTGAGAATGTTCCAGGCGACGATGAATACAGCGAAGGTAGTCAGACACCTCTTCACTGAGAACTAGACGCAATGGGAATAGCGATTTATGGGTACCATCTGATTCTATATAACACAAGACGATAGCTAGCCACTCGATCACAGAAAGAATTTGTATAATAACAGAATGTACATGCCGATATTCACTGGTAATCTCATGATATTCATTAATAGGATAATCAAGCAACGCCATTTGGTATTCTAAATTACAAACGCATAGCCGCCCAACAAAGCATAGATATCCCAGTATGCTATTGATTTGTCCGTCCGTAATGTGTCCACTGTGACCTTGGCCATTTTCATCGCTCCCACACTTGCCATGTGCTCCATCATGTCAAACACCCATTCCGACAAGGCCTTATTTGAAGTAAGACGACCAGCCAGATACATTTGGGGCAATAGAGTATAACACTGTAGCATTTGTACCGACGAAAATGGCTCTGCATTATCTGGTCGCACGCCTGGGATCAAAAACTGCGGCACACTGGCTGCGATTTGGTCTGCACAGGCATCAACAATAGCTGGAGATTTCGGATCCAGTAAATGCGGTGCTCCCCTAGCAAAGCCCTGCATCATGGCATGAAGATGCAACCGCAGTGTCCGTACCATATTTCGGATATGTGTCTTCTCATGGCTGATATATACGTCGTAGTATTTTCCAAAGATGCGACGATCTGCTCCTTGCGTTACGTAGACTCGTTTCGGCTTCCAGTCCGGTGAAAGAGCCGTTTCCATACTTGCAAGCTGCCTGTCCAGCATTTCCGCCTGCGGAATGACATTTTCCGGACCGCGAATCTTGCCTGAGCGCACATCAGCGCTAAAGGTAATCGCTTCGATATTCAGTTTTATCAGGAGCCACTTAAGATCAGTATGGTCAAAGAACGGATCCAATACGTTTCGCAGATCCTGTACATTTTGCGGCACACGGCTGCCTGCCGCAGCACAGCTCAATATTGTCGTAATATATAGTCTTTCCACCAAGCGTCGCGCAGCAACACTTTGTGTATTTGCGGTGCCACGCTTCTCAATCAGCGTCAGGGCACCAGTTAGATGTGTCCGGACCGTATCTTCCGTCAGCGAGGATCTATTTGTCATCTTTTCGTACAAGTCGAGTAGCAGAATAGATTGTACAGTGGCATCTGAGGTTGCCGCCTCTGGTTGTGTAATTACAGGAGCCAGCGCCTGTAGCGCATCCACGTAGGCCTTGGTGGCGATTTTGGTGATATGGGGTTGATTGTTGCTTTTGGACGCGAGGAATGCTAGACTTGCGGCATCCACACTTGCTGAGAGATGATCGCCTGGTTTTGAATTCTTATATATGCTGCCCAGCATGTCGTAGGCCGCGGATTCTCGCAGCACATAGTGGGCAAAGAAGTCGTGCCGCGCACGGGTCTCTATTGACGGCGTTACGGGCTTTGCGAGTTGTGAGGATAGGTATTGGTGAATCTGGTTGAATCTTTGCGTCGAGGCTGCATGTGTCTGAGCGACAGTCACTTTTTGTTGCACATTAACTGTCTCGTCCCGGAAGATCAGGGCCTCAGGGTCTCGATAGCCGACGCAGGTTAGACCAGCTCGCCTGCATTGACCACAGCATCCTGGGACTAAGTCGCACTGTAGAAAGGCGGATTAGTAAGATGCATTATATGGCAATAGAAATAATGAAATATTATAGGGAATATTGTTTTTAAAAGACAGACAAAGGGACAATGAAGAACGGAATCGGGTAGAGGTCAGTTGATCTCGCCGAGTGGGATGACGAACGAAGCGGAGCAGTACGTACCCGCAGCTTGCGCTTGCGACACGGCAGGCAATTGCGCGAGGGCTTGCCACGGTTGACCATGCCGGGCGCTTGTTACGTGATAGTCGCCGCACGGGTTAAAAGTACTCGTATCTCGATTCGGACAGGGCACAAGCCATGCAGAGACAAAGGGGCGCTGGGTTTCCACTCGAGAGGGCCTGTCTTTGGCAATGGGAAAAGAACGCAACGATTACCCAACTGGTGGTGATGCTGACATGGGCTCCTCTATCTCACGGGCACGGGGGAAATTCGGCCGAGGATGGTTGGTGGCTGCTTGGTTTAGCGTGTTACTATGGGCTTTACGTCTGTAAATTTAGTGTGCCCTGTAAGCAAGCGTCAGAGCTTCCCCCTGGCGGCTGACCTCGGCACTGTGAAGCAGAGTCACAGCACCAAAGACAGTGACTGTGGAGGCGACCCCTGGACAAGTCCGCTACTGTAACGTGTTCGCATTCAGCGTGCCTGGCCTGGGGAACAGCCCCTGTGTTGGTGTACAGTAACTCTCTGTGGTTGGTGCACGAACGAAACCGTTGCCAGCTGGCGGCCACTGGCGCCAAATTTATCTCCGCTTATCTCCAGCGACGGTAGCGCATCGGGTTTACAAACATACTTCAGTTGCGAAGATCCGAAGCCACAAGGCCATGGCTATTATTAATTTTCAAAAGTTGGGTATATAAATCCTCAAATGACCACTTCGTAAACTAGACTATCTTATTCACTCAACAATTCAATCCACTTCATTCAAGTTATTCATCATGTCGTTCCCATTCAAAACAGTTCTCGTTGTCGGTGCCACATCAGGCATTGGCCTAGCCATGGCTGAACGATTTGTTCAGGAGGGCAAAAAGGTCATTGCTGTTGGAAGACGGCAGGACAGACTGGACGCCTTTGTCCAAAAACATGGAGCTGAAATGACTGACTCTTTCGTCTTTGACATTACCAATACAGCTGGCTTAGATGCCTTTGTTGCTGAGTATGAACTACCGTTTTCAATCAAGACATGTCAAGTAAATACTTACAATCATTAGTGTAACAAAGAAGCACCCAGATCTTGACTGCGTTTACCTGAATGCTGGCTACCAACGGCCCATTGCACTAACGGACCCTGCCTCCGTAAATCTGGATGACTTTCATTATGAGATCAATCTCAACTTTACCTGCAACGTCAATCTCTGCATCAAATTCTTACCACATTTGAAAAGTTTCAATGGCCCATCTTGTTTAATGATTACTGGAACTCACATATCAGTTATTCCTGCAATGATGGTTCCTGCGTATAGTGCGGCCAAGGCTGCGGCGAGAGCATTTTTCGATTGCCTACGAGCGCAAAATGAAGGTTCCAACGTCAGATTTGTGGATATTGGTACACCTCTCGTACAGAGTATGTCATCATTCCACTTTTTATATGTTATTTTATACTGACTTTTTATCAGCTGAATTACACGACTACATGGGCGAGGAGCGCGGTCGAGCCATGGGCATGCCCGTCAATGCCTTTGTAGACCAAGTATTTGAGCAGCTAGAGCAAGGCAAAGAAGAAGTCGTGGTTGGTGTTATCGGACTCGCTAATAGTGACGAATTCAAGGGCTTGCTGGAGCGCAGACACAAATTGTTTATGGAGCTTACCGCTTTGATGCGTCAGGCGCATTAATACCGGGCAAAAGATGGCGCAGGATAGTTAGTATATGTAACAACATAAATTTGACGTAATTCTATATACAAGAATATTGCTAAGCAGCAATGGATATCGAACCGACCAAGACTGTTTACATGGGGTAGGCTGATTCAGTCTTCATAAGAGTGGCAGCAAGGTTGCTGGTTTGCTGAGTGGCGTAGCACTTGCGAGACGGGATGAGGCCAATTAGACCGTTTGCAACAGACTAGCTTAGTTAGCAACGCATAAATGTTGGCAGGGAATCGTCTTCACTTACATCAACAGCCATCTCCAACTGGCGGAGGACAGCAGCAATGGGAGCACCGGCGCCGGGGACCTTGGAGATCAAGCCTGCCTTGCCAATGAGAATGTTCAAGAGAGCCTGGTGGACCTCGACAAACTATTCAACCTTGTTAGTCATATACCTTCAAATTATCCGCTAAGAAACGTACCTTGGTAAGAGCAATGGACACGCTGTCGGCAGCGCAACCTGGGTCAAGAGGAGGCAGCGTGCCCAACAAAGCGACATCCTTGACGACTTCAGCAACAATTTGTGTGAAGCCAGAAGCAACCTGAGCGATAGCAGCGGGGTTTATGATATCAAGAGCATTTGCGGGGCCCTGAAGGTTTTGTGAAAGATCGGTAATCTTGTTGATGGCGTCAATGACGGCCTGGCCTGTGGCACCAATCTGAGCAGCAGGGCAAGAGTCGGGCATATTGCAGGAAGCGACGGCGCCTTGAGCGTCCTTGAGAGTCATGCTCAAGTTGCTAATTTGACCCTGGGCGCACTCCTTACGGCTGGGAATGAGGTTGATGATGGCCAAAGCGACAGTGTCAACGACGCCTTCGAGGGCTCGGAGAGCAGCAGCAACGGGGGCTCCAGCGAGGGGAATGTTATCCAAGACAGAGCCTTTGCCAAAGATGATACGGAGGAGGGCTTGGTGTACTTCAACGAATTTGGTAAGAGCGGTGACAATGGCGTCTGCATCGCAGCCAGCATCGAAAGGCATGATGGAACCAAGGACGCCAATGTCGGCTTGAATGGTCGAGACAATGTTGGTAAAGCCAGCTGCAACGTTGGCAGCAGCAGTGAGGCCAGCGGGACCAGGACCAATGTTTCCAGCGGGTCCCTGAAGGGCCATGGAGAGTTCCGTAATCTTGTCAATGGCATCAATGACAGATTGTGCGCTATTTGCAAGCTCGTTTGCCGCACAAGTGGAAGTAGGGCAGCCTGCGACTGGCTTGTTGGGAGTACCACTGGGAATTGACATGCTGGGGGTGGGCATCATTGAGCCAGACATCATAGAACCGGACATCATGGATCCGGACATTATAGAACCAGACATTGTCGAGCCAGTAGTCATGGATCCGGGCATCATGGAGGCAGACATCATAGACGCAGCGGTCATCGAGCCTGGCATCATCGAGCCTGGCATCATCGAGCCTGGCATCATCGAGCCTGGCATCATCGAGCCCGATGCCATGAAGCCAGAGGGGGCAGAGCCGGAGGCAGTGATGCCTGACTTGCTGGAATCAGCAGTCATCGAACCAGTAGGCGACCCGTTCTTGGACGAGCCCGGGACACTGCTGCTGCTGCCTCTGTTGAGATCTTCCGATCCGGGCAAGACGCTCGTGTTGCCATCGCCGCCGCCATTACCTCCGTTTCCTCTATTGCCATCATTGCCTGGCAGACCTCCGTTACCACCATTGCCTCCATTGCCTCCATTGCCTCCATCACTACCACTTCCAGGTGTTTCTGGCTGAGCTGGGTTTCCTCCATTACCTCCATTGCCTCCGTTGCCTCCATTACCAGGAGTGCCTGGTTGGACAGGGGTTCCAGGAGTTCCTGGTTGTCCTTGGGTACCAGGCTGTCCAGGTTGTCCCGGCGTGCCACTACTGCCTCCGTTACCTCCATTTCCTCTATTTCCTCCGTTGCCTCCGTTGCCTCCATTACCAGCAGTACCTGGTGTACCGGGTTGTCCTGGTGTGCCTGGCTGGCCTGGAGAACCGCCGTTTCCGCCGTTACCACCAGTTCCTAGCTGTCCCAGAATTCCTGGTTGACCTGGTTGTCCTGGATGCCCTGGAGTTCCACCATTACCAGGGTTTGAGCCTGTTCCTGGAATGGATGGACTAGCCGGGAAGCTGGACACAACAGTTAGCTTGGTGCCAGGGCAAGCTGCTGGGGTACTAGCAACATAAGCAACAACAGCACCGTCAATAGTGCGCTGGCAGAAGCTAGCAGCGCCAGAGGGGAAGCCTGGGTTGGTCCATGCCAGAGTGTTGTCAGCATCAATGGCAAAGGAAGTGGCAAAAGTTCCAACGCGGGGCAGAGCAGCCAAGAAGGCGCTATCCGTGCTGGCAGAGAGGGAGACTGAGCCACCCTCGGTAACAGAGTAGAGCTCATTGTTGATGATGGTCCAGATCATGGCTCCGTAGATGTTGGTGGTGCTGATGCCGTTGAAGCCAACATATTGGGGGGACACACAGTCACATGCGGCATCCTTGAAAGAAGGGCTGGCGATTTGAAGCACAAAAGTGTCTTCGACTTCGCGGGGGAGCAGGACGGCTCGCTTGTTGTTGGCTGAGGAGCCACGCAGAACGCGGACAATGCTATCCGCGGAGAGGCCTGAGACGGTGCTTGCCATCAAAGGCACGGCGACAAAGCCGCTGAGAAAGGAAGGTAGGTGCATATTGCAAAAGAGAGAAAAATGAGTGAATGAAAGTTGTTTGCTGCTGGTTAGTATGCTGTAGTGACTGGGCTGGGTTCTAGCAATGAACAGAATTTCCAGAAAATGGTAGACGATGTTGTCTGCTACGAGGCCTCTTATACAAACCTGATGTTGACATTCTACAGAGGTCTACATTCTGTACGAGATCCAGAACTTGCCAGGATCTCAGTCAAAACAAACACCAACAAGGTCTAGCATATCCCTCTGATCTCGCAAAGAATAACAAATAACAAGCTTATACATTCGGGGTGTGGCTCCTGGCAAGCTTCTACACTACAGCAAACGGTTCGCAAGGCTGCCCTACGGGCGTGTTGATCAGGGTCTATTATGCAAACTTTGTTAGGTTCCAGGTCTGTTTTTAGGACATTCGGGTGATAGCGGAAGCGGGAGCAAATTCCTAAGCTGGACCATACTAAGCCCTTGTAAGGCTTCGAAGTTCACACAAGTTGTATTGTAGGTCGCTTACACGAACGGCTCAGTGGTTCAGATTACTATAGGGTTAAGCCACGAACTGTCAAAATTACTGAGACACGCTGGAGACTGGGGAAGGGAAGAATGTAGACGGCTTAACTGTGATCAATGTATTGTTAGCCAGGAATGCAAATATACTTAGAGCAGGGGTGTCGGCCATCGTGTCTTGTAAAACAAAGAGGCTTCCACTAAATCCACAAAGCGCCCAGCATACGCGTTGGGCAACAATCGCCTGAGACAATGGCAATGTCTGCCCCTTGCGGCCCTATGGGCGGGCCATGTACGCCACCAAAGACGCTAACATAATCTGTTGCTCCCGCTAAATTCACACAATAAAACAATGCTGTAGTGGTTACGCCAGGCAATGCCGATGAGCCGCTAACAGCGCAAGATGCTCGGGACACTGTCGAGCCGCATGCCCGTGACAAAGTAGATTCCAATGGAAACAAACTAACACCCTTTTTAAGCTAGTATTTGATCATAAATACGATTATTACATTGATAATAACTATTGTTTACATTATATACTCATTTTTGGTGTTGTTTCTTGAAAGGTGCTCCTTGGAGTCGCGCTTTACCAGAAGCGAACGGCATCAGGGCAGATGGAAAGACCACCGCTGGAAGTCCAGATGCTCTGCTCACGGACCTTGGTGCCGGTGTGAGCAGCGTTGATCATGGTGCCAGCCTTGACAAAGATACCGACGTGCTCAACGCCAGTCTTGCAGTTGCCGCCCTTGCCCCAGAAGAGGAGGTCACCAGCCTTGGCCTGAGCACGGGGAATGTGCTTGCCCATGGAGGAGTGGTACTGCTCCTGAGCAGTGCGGGGGACAGTCTTGCCCTGAGCCTTGCAGATGGAGAACTGGGTGAGGCCTATTCAAGTTGTGTAGGTTAGCAAGACTGTGCACACATCACCATGCGTGGTTGTGCGTATCATGGAAACGTACCGGAGCAGTCGTAGCCGCCCTTAGAGGGACCCTTGCAGCCACCGCCGCCGTAGACGTAGTCAATGCCCTTCTGGGACTCGGCGGCAGAGACGATACCGGGACCGGTGCGCTTCTCCATCATCTCCTGTTTTTCTTGTTTAGTAATGCTTCTTTGGATAGTGAATAGTAGGGACGAATGCTAACCTCAGCAGGCATGGCGAAGGCGCCAGCAGCGAGAACGGAAAGGGCGAGAGTGAACTTCATTTTGGAAAGAGAGGTAGTACAAAAGAGTAAGTGTTTGTAGTAGAGTAAGTGATGAGTAGATGTGAAGTGATACAATGGAACTACAGCTGGCGAACTCTACCCTTTTTATAGAGTTGCCATTCTCGGGACATGTTGTATTTAGAGATCTGCCAATGCCCCATGTAAGCGCGGCTGAAAGCTGGACGCTACTTTCGCTCCACAGCAGGCTTACGGGCGTCATTAGCGATCACGACTAGCGTTGCGACCACCCGGGGAGCTGGATGGTGATAATTTGCAGTCTGCCCCGGGTGGCTCGCTAAGGCTGTAATATCGGCAGCTGCATCTAGCTGAGATTAGCTACGCCATGCATTGGGGAAATACGATGAATCCGAATATATTGCTTTTCGTACAAGTGTTTCCTCGTCTACAATTAGCTGTAATACCAGACTGTAGTGTAGTGCCCAATACTAGCGATCGTGGCTCACCGATGGCCAAGAAATGGCTGCCGCCGCCCGCCGACCAACAGGAGAATCCACGTGGGTAGCGCAACAATGCCTTGCTGGGCGATCTAGACCTGTGGCTATGGGTGAGAGACAGCCTAGTGCTTCCACGCAGTAGCTGAAAGTGAACAACTATGGGCCGCTGGCCCCCTAGCGCGATCCAGCTGAATGCGCTAACGTTTAAACCGCAAGGGCAATGCAAGTGCACCTCCAGCCGCCTTTCAGGTCAGGGGGCCCACGGTGAAACGCACCGTTCATTACCCAGCTGGTCGAATTAGGTAGTAGGCAGCGCAGGTGGCTAACCCAACATTGTAAAGAGCGGACGGCAATGCCGAAGAGGCGTGGATCGCTACCACACAAAGGTCATGATTTCGGTCGACGGTTGGTTTGGGACCCTTTTGTAGAGCCCACTAATATTCGGTAATTGCTTGCTACTGTGTTTACCTCCCGGCCGAGCCCTCTTCCTCGTGCGTAAGGCTACCACAGCGCCATTTTCGTCCTTCGCTGGTTAGTTCGGCTCTCGGTTTCTTACTGATATCTCTAAAGTGAGGCTCGTGTAGCGGCAGACTCCGCCTATTTGCCCAACATTCTCCGCGGTGGAGCACGGCTATAGTGTTTGTGGTGGCGTAGTGTGTAGATCTCACTAATAATACTCTGTCCTCCGCAGCGGGTGTATAGCCAACTATTCCACGGTTCTAAAATTTGTACAAAATTATACCGAAATATGCACAATATTAATATCTGTACGGTATATTTGCAGCTATAATGAAGAAAGTATAGGGGTTATTCGTAACTCGTATACTGCTCGTATCGCCAGTATTCACCACGCAACAGTCACCCTCACAAGGTACACACTATGAATGGGCGGAGTCGACATTTGTGGATTTCGTGCAGCCTTACGAGGAGGGGAAGAATACTTTGGAAAGTTGCCGATACATCCGAATGACGTTATTTCGGTTAGCTGCTGTCAAACGCCGCAACTGGTTTATTTATTCTGCAGTTTGTCACCAAGATGAGCAACCAAAATACGCCATTCAGGGTAGCTGTTGTCGGTGGTGGCCTCGGTGGCTTATCGGTGGCAGTAGGGCTACTCCGCCGTGGCATTCCTGTCGATGTCTATGAGGCCAACCCTGAATTTCGCGAGACAGGCCTGGGGTTGGGTATTGGGCCAGCGGCTCACCGTGCGCTGCCCTTGATTGACGAGAAGCTGGGCGAGACCTACGATGCCATGGTCACGACACATGAGACGAGCACGGGCAACCCAGATGACCGCACCATCTGGTTCCGTGCGACAACGGGATATGGCGAGAGATCGGGTAACATCTTCCATACGCAGCGTGCGCTGCCTTCCGGCCTTACCAGCGTCCGTCGATCCGACTTTCTGGGTGCTCTGGTGAACCTCATCCCCAAGGAGTGCACACATCTCAGCAAAAAGTTTGTCGACCTGAAGCAGCATGATGATGGGGTAACCATGTACTTTGAGGACGGCACAACCGCCGAAGCCGACTATGTTATTGGCTGTGACGGTATCAAATCCAGAGTCAAGACGGCTCTGTTCCCAGACGAGCCGAATAAGCCGGCATACAGCGGCATGTATGGCTATCGCGCCCTGATTCCCATGGATGTCATGGAGGAGACGATTGGCGACGCAGCACGCTACGCAACATGGCATCTTGCGCCGGGCAAATACGTGATTCACTATCCCATTGCGCATGCAAAGGAGCTCAACGTGGGATTCTACACGCTCCACGACAAATGGGAGGACGAGAGTTGGGTCCGCGAGGGCAGCAGGGAGGATATGGAAAACGATTTTGCGCAGATGACGGGGGCTGTTCCCAAGATTCTCAAGGTGCGTTGCTCTCCCTTGTCCACTGTTTTACCCTATGTTCTCCAGCCGAGACATTGGCCAAGTAACTTATTGATTTAAGAAAACTAACTGACCACTGGGATATTCAGTTAATGCCCAGCCCATCACAATGGGCAATTTTCCAAAACCCGCCCATCCAGACCTACGCTAAAGATTCCGTCGCCATCATCGGCGACGCGGCACACGCAACCTCTCCTCACATGGGCGCCGGCGCTGGACAGGCCATTGAAGATGCATATGTTCTTGTAGAGATGCTGGCCGACCCGCGCCTGAAAGAAAGGCGTCATGTACAAGCAGCACTGCAGGCATATGACCTTGTGCGTCGGCCGCGCAGCCAAAAGGTGGTACAAAAAAGCCACGAGAATGCAAAGGCACTGTGTCTCATGGCGCCGGGCATTGGAACCGACGAGGAGAAGCTGCGCGACTTGTGGACAGACAATTTTCACTGGCTGTGGGATTTGGACATGAAGGCGCACGCAGAATCTGCCAGAAGCATCCTCACAGAGCTCCTGGCCAAAACGAGCCCTTGAAAAAAAATAACCTGCCAAGCATAGAAGCCAATAGCATAGAAGCGAATAGATGAAGAAGTAAATATGTTTCCATTGTCAACAAGAGGGCGCCCATGATCAGTGACCCACTGGGGGACCCCGCGCCCTTTGGGTTTGTTTGTTCGTATATAGAGCCTGGTGATTAAGCGCTCCTAGTATTTCAAGGCTGCCTACGTGTTGTTTTCATTCTCCATCTTCTTTTCTTTTCATACAAAATATTTCTTTCTATATTCACTACAATGACATATATTCTCAACTACCAAGCCCTCGCTTTTGATGTCTATGGCACCATTGTGGACTGGGAGGGCGGCATGATTACCGCCTTAGAGCCGCTCACATCGCAGCTCAAGACTCCAGTCTCAAAGGAGGATCTATTTGCCATTATCCATGAGTTGGAAAAGGAGCAGCAGGCCCAGACTCCCGCCATGGCGTACCGCGATGTCCTGGCAGCTATTCATCCCAAGCTTGCTCAGAGGCTAGGTCTACCCCAGCCTAGCGTCGAGGAGAGCACTGCATTTGGCGCATCCGTTGGAAAGTGGCCAGCTTTCCCAGATAGCATCGAGGCGCTCAAGACGCTGTCCAAGTACTACAAGCTGGTGGTGATTTCCAACACGGATCACCAATCCTTCCAGGGCACACAGACAGGCCCGTTGCAAGGCTTCCAGTTCGATTTGGTGATACTGGCAGAGGACAACGGCTGCTACAAGCCTGATCCCAGAGCTTTTGAGCAGCTGGAAAGCCAAATCTCTTCGAAACTGGGCATCTCCAAGGACAAGATTATCCAGACTGCACAGAGTCAGTTTCATGACCACTACCCGGCCAAAACGGCTGGTCTCAAGAGTTCCTGGATCGTGCGCCCTGGCAGCATTATGGGAAACATGCCTGAGCCGATTTACGATTGGAAGTTTAATACGCTGGGCGAAATGGCGGCTGCAGTGGAGAATGCTGGTAAACGCAAGAACTCGTAAAATCTATAGCTAATAAAACCTATACTTAATAAAACACTAAGTTGCTGTTATTTTTTCACCTGTCAGCGTTTCCCCAGATCGAGATTCGGCCTAATGGAGGACCTAGCCCATTATGCGGGGTGGCGCCGCTGGTAGACACCCATTTTGACAAAGACCCTTATTCGTTGCTAGCTCTGTCTATAAAATATTGACGGTACCATATCACAGACATGCCTAGATCTAGACCCGATCCCATTTATATTTATCCGCGTGAGAATGTCAGCACCTCCCATGAGCTAGCGGCCGTCATTTTCATGCACGGCTTAGGCGATGACGGAGAGTCATTCCGAGGTAAGCAATGACACATACCATACCCGGATCCCAACAGAATGCACCCGGCTAATTTGAATAAATAATAAATAGATGTTGCGGCACAGTTTAAGCAGGCGGGGAAGCTAGAAAGTCTGATATGGGTGCTACCTACAGCACCCGAAAACAGAGATGCCATGACGACGGCATGGTATGGGCAGACCAAGCTGACCGTCAGACCAGCTCCTCGACCAGAACTGGAAGACGATGAAGACGAAGACGGCATTTTACAAAGTGTAGTGTATATTTGCAACATTGTGGATGATTTGGTCTCAAAAGGCGTGGCTATGAACAGAATCTTCCTCGCCGGGTTCAGCCAAGGTTGCGCCATGTCTCTCATTATTGGCCTTACTTCAAAATATGCCGGACGGTTCGCTGGCGTAGTTGGATTGATGGGTTACTTGCCTCTACAAACTAGAATTTCGGCGCTGAGGACAGAATATGCGCGGGACGCAGATGTATCTGCGCAGCCTGTGTTTATCGGCCGGGGAACACGCGATCAGCTTATCCCGAGCCGCTACTTTCAAATATGCCGAGAGAAGTTGGAGGAACTAAACGTCAAAGACATGACTTTCACAGAGTATCCCATCGGTCACTCCATCTCGGGCCCTGTATTGCACGATATGTGTGTGTTTATGGAGAGGACGCTGGGGATCGCTGAACGAAAGGCTGAATAGAAGCAATACTGTGCTCTGACTAGTGCTAGCCTAATAATCTAGACTTGAAATTTGATGCTTCTTAGCGCGTTTGTCTTATGGGACTATTGTAACGTGGAACCATTGGTCATGTTGTTGCGAGCTGCTGGCTTGGCATTTGCCAATCGCAACCTTCCAGCGCAGCGACGTGTTGATACTAGCTATTTTGGTAAAAAGATCTGTTGAAGCCTATTCTTTGCTAGTTTTGCGCTCATCAAGACGACGATATTCAATACCACCCAGCGATATCTTCGAATTTGCAGCGCAATATGATGCGTCACGGCGTCCAGCAGTTGCTTTTGCTACTGTTGTCTATCGCACTGGCGACTGCAGCGCCATCCGAACCACAAGTTTCGTACGAAGGGTACCAAGTATTCCGGCTCCCGATTGTTAATGTCGAAAATGCCCACAGGCTCCTTGACATTGTAGAACGCCTCGGAGTACACCTGTGGAGGGTGCCGTCACGGTTGGACAATGCCGCCGATGTAGGTGTTCCGCTGGGATTAGCTGCTGCATTTCATCGAGAAACTGCAGACTTTGAAGAGCCCATGATAATGCATGAAAATCTGGCCACCTCGCTGCTTGAAGAGGGTCCTCTACTCTCATATGACGGTACTGAACATTAACGTGCCTACCTATTCGCACAATGCTAATATCGAGCGCAGCCAACTCAGCCAACTCGTCGTCTTTGTATGACGCGTATCATCCCTGGGCGGACCATATGAAGGGGTTAAAGGATTTACCTTAGAAATATGCTTCACGGTCGGCGATATATAACCTAGGAGAATCGGGAGAGAAGCGAGAGATGACGGGCATCCATATCTGGGGCCACGCCAAAGGAAAGCCCGCCGTCGTGTTCTTTGGCGCATCCCACGGCCGCGAATGGATTGTTGCCAAATCGATCGAGTGGATAGCCGAGCAGTTCCTGTCCCAGTACGAATCGAATGCCAAAGTCAAGGCGGTCATGGACAAATACGACGTCTATATTGTGCCTGTGGTCAACCCAGATGGTAAGCAAGCAACCATCAACAACATCTCTCCCAACATACGCTAACATTTTCATTATTAGGATTTGTCTATACCCAGGAAAAAGAACGCATGTGGCGCAAAAATCGAACGAAACACCCAACCAATAAATGCCTGGGCGTTGACAACAACAGAAACTGGCCGCTTGGCTGGGGCGAGAAAGGCTCCTCCAAGACCCATGCAGCCAGACTTTTGCTGGACCATCTGCCGTCTCGGAGGTTGAGAATAAAATCATGATTGTCTTTCTTGAAATGGTGGCCAAGGAGCAAAAAGTCAAGCTGTTTGTCGATTGGCACTCTTACTCGCAGCTCGTCATGTCTCGTAAGTGGCTCCGTCAACCAATCCGTCTAATAAATACACCCATATATGTTTACAAGCTAACTGTATCGAATTAAAGGATACGGATACAACTGCGACAAAAAGCCAGCCCGCGACGCCGACCTCATGGGCCTAGCAAAAAGCGCCGCTGACGCCTTCGGCAAAGCCAAAGGCGCACAGTATAAAGGCAGCCGCGCTTGTGAAATCATGTATGTCACCTCTGGCGGCAGCACACATTTCGTCCTGGAGAAGATTGGCGCCGAGTACAGCTACACGCAGAAGTTCCGCGACAAGGGCCAAAAGGGCCTTCATATTGCCCCCGAGCGGGATCAAGCCCAGCGCCGAGGAATCCTTCGCCGGCGCACTGCACATGATGGAGAATGTCAAGTAACTAAGTTCGGATAGTTTTGTTGTAGCATAATTTCCGTTGATTCTAAAAAAGACATATATACATATTCTTTTTCCCTTAGCTCCTAATTCCGAGGACGAAGCCTCTGCGATTTGCGCGAATCTCATAGCGGCGTCCCCGACCGGACTTTTCCGGACTTTCAGTCGGCGTCGGCGCTTGTTGGACGGCCCCACGGCGTAAGCACAAAGATATTGTTCCTGAGCTAGTGTTATAGCCTTTTCTAGCTGGTGGTATAAATGATATTGCAGAGCCCGTCCCGTGGTAAAGCGTGATAAAACAATACTTACGACTCCTCACCACACTGTCACTACTGCTCATTCACACAACCGTTCAAAATGGTTGCCAAAGTCATCTTCCTCATGTCTGACTACGGCCACGACCCGACTGGTTCGTCTCTACCCCTCATTCACCACTCGTAGAACAAACGCGACTAACATCATATAAGAGACCGCTGTGCCCTTCACGCACTTCAAAGAAGCTGGGTTTGAAATCACATTTGCCACAGAAAAGGGCGAATCGCCAAAGTGCGACTCTAGAATGCTCGAGGGCATCACCCAGGTGCTTCTGGGCGCCACAAAGTCTGTCGTCTCTCAGTACAACGACATGATTGCCTCTCCTGAGTGGGCATCTCCTCTGTCGTGGATGACGCCCACCTTGGATCTTTCTGCCTATGATCTCGTTTTTCTTCCCGGAGGCCACGACAAGGGCGTCACCCAGGTCATTGACTCGGCTCGCGTCCACGAGCTCATTGCCGCCTACTTCCCTCTCACTACCCGCGCCTCGGAGAACAAAAAAGCCATTGGCGCAGTGTGCCATGGTGTCATGGTTCTTTCGGAAACATGTCGTGCAGATGGAAAGAGTGTACTCAATGGCGCCATCACCACAGCCCTCCCTACCCGCTTTGAGCAGCTTGCTTTCTGGGGCACAAGGGCATTCCTCGGCGACTACTACAAGACGTACGGTGCCTGCAGTGAGAATGTCGAAGAAGCTGTAAGTTGTTTATTTGTCTGCTTTAGAGAAGTATCGAGAGTCTAACTTAAAAAAAGGTGACCAAGAAGCTCGCTCAGCCTTCCGATTTCAAGAACAGCCTCAAGCCCGCTCCGTAAGTAGCAGACCTCTACCAATCTTGCAAGATACAATGCTAACAAAATTTACACAGATTTGTGGTAGAGGATCCCACCTTCAACTACATCAGCGCTCGCTTCCCCGGCGATGTGCAACTCATGTCGGAAAAGCTCGTGGCCCTCACCAAGAGCTTGACCTCATAAATACCCGCTGCTTGCACATTCTATCCAGTCGTCACTTTACAACTAATGCCATATGATATTAATGATTATCTAATTCAAGAAACATACGTCTTTTGAGAAACAAACATGTGTCTAATAGTTCTATTATACAAACTTTTGCTGAAAAGTAAAATGGCTGCTAGGTAAATATCCAAAACTATACATTTGCAAGCCAAGAAATGTACTAGTTTGAGAGGTAATATATACAATAACGTGAAAAAGCAACGTAGACTCTCCTCATGAATACGAACCAAAGTTGGTCAATCCGAAACACGGTTAACCCTTGTATCTGTAGCGGCGCGCATTGTCGTCAACCCACCACTTTGCAACAAAGGCAGCCTCCTGAATCCAAGCGCCTGCTTCGGAGCCAGCCTTGGACGTAACCTTTTCAATAAACGCCATGAAGCCAAAGTCTTCAATAGTCTCGATTTCGTGAGGATTCTTGGCCACATCTGTGAATCTCCATGCGATATTGTCAACAATGGGCACTACAATGCGCCATTCAGGGTGACGGCCATCGCGAATAGCGAGCTGTGCTCTGCCCGTGTTCATGACGCTAAATTGCCATGCTCCTTGACCAGAGTTATCAGACACCATCTTCATCGGTCGAATGAGCGATTGGCCTTCATAGTTGTGCACCAGGTCGGTGGCCGCCTTGGCTTGTGGCTTGGATAGCGAATTCGTAGAGAGAAGAAGATCGAGGATGGTGGGGACAATTTGAATCGAGTTGACGGAGTTCTCCAGATCAATAGCAGGGAGACTTGGGTGAGATACAACAAGTGGAACGTGGAAGTTGCCAATGTTTGGTCTATAGTACGGTGTAACGGAGCCGTCTTCGGCAATCGACAGACCATGGTCGCCAACAAAGACGAGCAATGTTTCGTTGGCAACGCCTTGCTTGTCCAGAATTTCTAGGACCTTGCCCAGCCACGAGTCGACGTAGCCAATGGCGTTCGCGTACGCTGATAGGTCGTCTCTGTTGTCGTCCTCATTTAGTTTAACGTAGCCTGCATCCTTGGGAATGCCAAAGGGATGGTGTGCTGTGCTGGTAAGGTGCGTCAAAAATACTCGCTCATCGTTCTTTTTGGCTTGCTCAAAAATGTCATTCATGTACTTTTCCAGAGCAATCTCGGGCATTCCATAGTAATTGACATCCTCCAGCTCCGCCTTTCCGAACTTTGCGTCGTCGGATTTGAGGTATTCGCCCTGGAGAAATTTCTCGCCAGGATATCCCAGGTGAGGCATAAGAAGGTCTTGTTTATCGTAGCCACCAGTGGTGGACTGCATAAACGATGTGCGCCATGGGAAGGATGCGTACTCTTTTTCGCCCTTGCCCTGCTTTTGGACATCCAATTTGTTGAACATGTCAAATACTTGCGCCAAACAGGGCTGGTAGATGTGGTTTTCAAACTCAATATTGAGATCGGCTACCAGAGGTGTAATGCCACAAAGCGTGCCAACCAAGCTTTTGAGTGTGTATGTTCCGGTTGTATGCGCATTTTTAGCGTTGATACCACCTCGCTTTCTGGTCTCATTGTGTTCAAAGCCATCGTCATAGTCACCAGTGATGTAGTTTGCCACTGGTGTAAGCGTGGAGAGACGCTCCTTTGCTTCGGCAGGAAGCTGCTTGCTCTTGAAAGATTCCTCCAGCTTTTCCCATATAATATCGTTCGCCTTGATCGGGAAGACGTCCTTGCGTGTGCTTTCGAGTTTGATGAGCATGACGTGTCGGATATCTACATCGGCAATGATGTTCTTCAGTTCGGGAAGAAAATCGTTGTCGAGATTGTTAATCTTCAGAGGGTCGCTGTCGGCGCGATAGTGCGTAGCGTTGGCATCGTACCAGTCTTCGAAACCAGGGACGCTTCCGTTTTGAGGGAGCCAAGAGAGGGTAATTGGCTGTGCAACTGCTGTCTTGTCGCCAATATCGCCAACAGAGCCAGTTCCAAGGGGCAGTACGCTCGCGAGACTCGGTGCAGAGTAGACAAAGTCCATAATGGGCAACAAGGGAACAGCCCAGGACATAAACGTGTACGCCTTCTCACGGGGCTGCATCCAAAACGTGATAAACTGGTAAAGAATGAAGGCAGCGACGGAAAAGTATAGGGCGACATAGAACCAATTGCGTCCTCGTCGTCGTGAAGAGGATTGCATATCGTCATCGGTCGGTTCTGGAGTTTCGCTCTTTTCGGTTAAGCTTTCGAGGTCTTCTTCAGGAACGTGGTCGTAGTGGGAATTTGTAACGCGGCCCTTGGCAGGGCCATATCTGCCGTATGCCCAGACAAGAGGAAACGAAACAATGTCCTGAATCATGGTGGAAATGAGGAAGATGAGATCCTGCATCACCCAGCTGGCACCCAGGATACTAGCTGAGCTAACACCAAGAGAAAACAGGCCCGTAAACAAAACAGCCCACGACGAGGAGTCACCGGCGAGCCCAATGTTGCGCCAGTGAAGCTCGGAGCCAGCTACGAGATAAAACGCTATATTGATGGCCGAGATGGTAAAGGACGTGACGACAATGGTCGTGGAAAATATTGTTGAGCAGAGTGCCATGGATCGGATGTTGTTGAACAGGGCAAAGCGGAGGAGCATAAGAAGAAGAGTATCTTGGTAAAAGAAGGACGAGCCCCATTCAAGGATCTGGGCTGTGGATAGAGTTGCTCGGTATGCGTATATGTGGAAAGTCTTGGCTGCTACAAGACTGACAGCAGCAATGGCGAGTACATAGCGGCGGTTTGCAAATCTCGATGCCGCGAGGACAATGAGGGATCGGAGTGGTATGTTCATTTTCGGAGATTCTTCGCGGCGTAGTACCTTGTCGAGAGATAGCGCGGAAGCAAGCAAGCAAGCTATTCAGTTTTATGCAGGCATATAGAGAGAGTGTTGAGATCGTATCAAATAGAAGTCGTTGTTACCGCTCGGTGGACGTTTCGCGTGTACTCGAGGTGCTGTTGAAGCAGGTATCGTAGCCACGGAGACACAATAGTGGTGTGGTGCAAACCAGAAAGGTCCCGAGGAAGGTAAGAAAAGGAAAGAAGCTGGAAGGCGAGAGCCGTTCCAAATTAAGGGATGGCAAAACCTATGCCGGTGGTTTGCAAAGAGGAAAAGGAGATGCGTTAGGCCCAACGAAAAAGAGCAAAGAAAAAAAGGACAAATGGCTAGATATGCGACGTGCAGGAACGAAAGGGTGTGTCGTCGGTCGAGGGGGCGGCGGAGGAGAGAGAGCCTGACGGGGGTGTTCAACATTCTTGAGGACGGACTCGCGTGCGAACGATCTCCATTTTATTCATTTTGGATTTTCAATTCTCTAATTGCTACTTTCGATCTAGTGTCTCGGCGGTACCTTTGCCTTCGTTTTCTTTCCCCTCATCGTTGGAAGCCTGTCCTGACTATGACTAGCGCGCGAGGCCAAAGTCGATACTCGTACGCCCCTTTGGGTGGATATTTGTGACGAAATGGCCAACCCTTCTGTTTTTTGTTAGCCGCGCTCTGTACTGCATTCTATTCCCCCCCTCCCAACCTAAAACCCCCCATGCTTGGAAGGCCTGCTTATAATGCTACCGACCGCCAAGGGGGGGACCCTTTTGGCGGCCGACATTACAGAATAGCGTCTGGAAACCAATTTCCATTTTTCATGGTTAACCTTGGTATGACGCCGGTTCACCGAGTCAGCCTATTCCCGGCACAGAGAGTGTATACACATACAATGTACAGTAGGATTCTAAAGCGCGCCGTCGCAACTCGACGTCATGTTACGAGAGGAAAAACTACAACACACGGTCCTCGCCTAGTCAGCATTCGGTCCCAAGCAATTTCAACCCAGCAAAAAAAGTACATCACCTGTACAAAGCCTATGCGACGCCAAGGGCGCTGTGAACATGAAAAGCGTGATGCTCATCCGACAATGTGGGCTCTTTTCCAGGGCCGGGCGGCAAAAGTTGTGGAGAGGGCGTACGGTTTGAGTGGCGTGCCAGTGAGAAGAGGGCAAGTGATCGCGTGGGCAAAAAAACAAAACAAGAAAGCTAGTTGCATGCCCTTTTGCGTATGCGAGCCTCCTGTCGATCTGTTGTGGTGATGCTTGCCCACGTCGTATAGCATCGCCATCTACTGTAGACCTTCTCCCGCGAAAGCAAACATTTCATCGTCCTCTGAGCCACGATGCCAATCGGCCACATTTTCTCATGGACAGCAAATACGCCACGGCTTCAGCCTTGGAAACTCCTCCAGCGGGGGTGCCAGTGGGTAGGCCATGCTAGTGCACTTCCGCAAAGGGGAAAAAATTGCACGCTGTGCATGAGACTATGCTGAATATGGACGCAATATCCCTTCGCCCTGGGTCGTGTGGCGCTTTGCGGACAGCTCGCTTCCCCATAAATTGGTTTCTTTGTAGAGCAGTTCTCCTATATGCTTCCTTTACTCACCGACACTGTAGTTCAAAGGGGGTTAGCAGATTGACCAAGGCTCGGCTGTGGCACTACACTATTGTTTTGGTCTTCATGTATCGTCTGCAATAGTTCTTATGCCGGCGTCATTTACTAGACCAGTGACATACAACCTCGCTTGGCAGGTGGAGGAGATGAAGACCCCAGCGTCTTACTTTTTTTTTTCCGCGTTTCTCGCATTCCCACTCCCCATGTTGCTCTCCTTTTTCTCCTTCCGAGCAGGGAGCTCGAATGATTCATTCCAAACTTTAAACCCTTCTAACCACTGATCTTTATTTCCGTTGCTTGGTTCATCTCATCGCAGCAACAAACAACGCCGTGCTTCACGCTCGTTGGGCGGCGGTTAGGTCACCTTGTCTCCCCAGGCCAGGGGCAGACCTAGCGCACTACAAGGGCTTCCATTTCAGGGATCCTGGCTTCTACTCCATCTCGCCGTCGTCCATCAACGCGATTCAGAGTACTCGTTTTCTGCTCAAGGCGACTGGAGGACCCATCTGTCCACAAATCTCCAACTTTTTTAGGCTTTCGTCGTGGGGGTCGCCGTTCCAGAGAAGGTTTCCATTCTCGGCCGTACGAATGTGTTTGATTTGCTCTCAGGTCCAACTGTGCATACCATCTCATTAAACTGCTGCTCCCTTTGCGCCGGTTCTAATTAACTGGATGACGGGGGGATGTACCGTGGGGGCAGAGTCGTGGTCGCGTGATGTAGAGCCTCCTGGCCTAGTCCAGCCAAAAGTCATCTCATAAAATGCTACCACAGCTGACATAGGTGGATCCTGTCAAGCGCTACTCCGCGGGTACCTGTCGAGATGGACACTGCGCGGAAATGAAAGCAACGTCCTGCCGATGGACCGTCACAGAGTGCTGAATTTACGCATTTCCAGAACATGTACGGAGTAATTCGTGGTATTGCTCGCCCATGTCGTGGCCGTGATCGGCCATGAAAAAACACAATTGCAAACTCTTTACCTTATTGCAAAAGGGGCTGCTTACTTGATGGTGGCGTTGCACCTTGGCACATACAACGGCAGTCGGGGCTATTTGCTCCGGAGCGTCGCATTGACTCAGTGTAGGAGCATGTTTGCAGAGCAGCTTTGACCAATTTGAATCTAGATATATATTTTTGGGATCTAAAATCATCTAAAATCAACGCCACTACTATAGCCTTGCAGGGAACAGCTGCGTTGGATCACGTCGGGGCTCAGTGAGCCTCACTTCGCTCGTAGGTGCTGAAAACAACAAACATCCCCAAGTCATACGCCATTTTGAAGGAACCTGCTGCAACGAAGCAAACCCAGAATAAATTGCGGCCGGCAAGTACGCCGGTGATGAGTGGACCAGCGCTCTGTGCCATTGTCTTGACTACGTTGGTCATGCCAATAACAGACGTCCGCTCTTCGGGGAGGAGTACCTTTGCTAAGAAGGCCGAACGGGGTGCAGAATCCATCGATTGAAGACTGGATCGCAGGAGCAGCAAAAGTGTGGCAATTCGGGGGTTGCTGGGCAAAGGCAACAGCGCCAGAAATACGCTCGACGGAAGATGTGTAAAGACCATGGTCTGAATATGATTAGTACACTGCATATTGCTTGTTTTGAACCGAATATGTCGAGTATTTACCTTGACATCTCCCAAACGTTTGGAGAGAGGTGATGCTACAAGCACCGAAATAGACGAAATTATACTAGCGGTAAAGAAAATGGAACCGAGAGCACCCTCATCGATGCCGAAGCGGGATTTGAAATAGAAGGTGATCCATGACCTGCCACAGGTTAGTTTGATAAGACGAATTTGAAGAAGGTTAGACTACATACAGAGGCGCAAGACCAGCACCAAATGCGTCAAACGCAAAGAGTAGACACAAAACGGCGACAATGCGCTGGCTTTCGGCGCTGAGTGTAGCAAAGAGCGCAAATCGGCGCTTCTTGGGTGGTGCTGCTTCCGATGGAGGCTGGTCTGGCAAAAGTCGAGACGACTCGGACGGCTGCGCATCGCTTGATTGCTCTACAACAGGTTTTGGCTCGGATTCCACCTTTCGGCTAAGACAAATGGTCATAACAAACTTGACGAGACCAAGCGCAGCGTAGACGACAAAGACAATGCGATATGCCCGGACGACATCCCAATGGAGCTTCAATCGCAAGATTTCAATAAGCCATCCGCCAACCATCATACCCGAAGCTGTGCCAGCAAAGCCAAATAGCGTGTACCACGCAAAAATATCGGATCGCTGATCGGTCGGTGTAAGATGTGCAATGATGCTCTCCTCGATGGCCTTGAAAGGACCGATTTCGTTTCCCGACGGGCTAATGACGCCCAAGACAGCTGCCACCAATAAGACCCAGTAATTGGAGGAGATGGCAAACACAGCGCCGCTCAGCGTCATGAGCACGGCGCCAATGGCGAGAATGGCCTTTCTGCCCACTCTGTCGGCGATGAGGGTCAGGATGAGGCTGATGAAGATGTCGCCCACCAGCGTCAGCGTCATGAACAGGCCCGACCGTTCCTTCGAGTTTCCGAGCTCCGTGAGAAAAGCGACGAGAATCAGAGTCGATGCGCCATATGCGAAAAGGCGGACGAAGCGCTGCAGACACAACAGCTTGATGTCACTGGACGACACCGCCAGGCTGGTCAGCCCGAGCTCAGCCAGAGCGCGCTGGAAGAAGGAGGGACAAGACTCGAGTGGTTCCGACATTGCAACGGCCGCGCTCTCTTTTTCGTGCTCGTTTTGTATTCCGGTGACGATGTTGCAGGTAAAAAGAAGACCAAAAACCTGGATGGACGGTTGTCAGCACCTCGGCGTAACCAGCCGAATCTCCGAGCCACAGTGGAGCGAGCGAGGCTGCATTCAGCCCGCCAATCACTGTATACACATTCACCACGCAACAACAGGGGATAGACAATAGCGTGTTTTTTTATTCAGTATATCGGTTTCTACAGGTGGAATACTTCGTCTTCTACATAAAAGATGGTTTTTGCATCGCTTTCCGAAATGCATGCTTTTCGCGCCTCATAGAGCAGCATCGCAGGGCCACAGAGATTCACACAGGCGTCCACTGCGCCACTGTTACTCTTGATGTTTCTGATCCAAGCGCCCATATTGGGCCGTCCAGTATGAAGATCCCAGGGAAGTCTGTCATCAACACTGTTGGTTTCCTTTGGCTGCATTTCAAGCGTCGAATCACCGCCACTCAGCGAATCCGTAACGTGGATCATCACGGAAAATGAAACAGTACACCCGTCTTGCTGCGACAGAGCATACAACTGCTTCAATTCCTCTGCAAACCATGCCACATGGCTTTTATCTTTGACAATCCAAAGCAAGTGCACCTGTTTCGAGGTAGCGTCCTTGTGTGCGTTTTGCAGAATAAAAGAGGCAATGCTCAGTCCTGGCGTAATGCCAACACCGCCTCCCACAAGAACCACAAGCTGTGCCTTGGCCCAGTTGAATCTGCCAATACCATACGGTCCGTCCACACGAAGTCGCAGACTTTTCGCGCCGTCGCCGTTTCCAGCTCCTGGTAGCTGTTGTACAGATCGGGTGTACGATCCCAGGCCGCGAATCGCAATCGTGGTGACGGGCTTATCGTCATTGGTGACTTGTGCCACCGTGAATGGATGCCAGTTGAGAAAGGAAACTTTGGGCAGCTGAATCCACACAATTTGTCCCGGCTGCGCTCTCCATGCTCCCGTCACTTTGAACTTGGTCAAATCTCCCGCATAGTACTGAACGCTCTCCACGTCAATCTTGCGGAAATCGTGCCACACCCGTAGAGCGCGATCAACCACCCAGAGGGAGAAGCCCGGTAGTAGGAATTCGGGGCCATTTGTAGTATGGTAGAGCGCACCCACCATGAAGATGAAGAACAAAAAGTGGATGTAGTAGAAGACTTCGAACAGGCGACGGCGAACAATTGGGAGTGAGGACAAAAACATGAACGAGAGGCAAATCCAGGCCAGGATGCCAACTTGGATGCGAGGGCTTTCAAACTGGCTTGCGATCTGGTCCGTCTCAATGTCGTGCATAATGTTGAATGCGACGTGCGTAGTGGCGTGGATAAACGTAAAGGTTCCAATCCATCGATGGTACTGCAGAATGACGGGACTCGGGAGGCGTAGAACGATGGAAAAGAGATTGCTTCGCGTCGCGAGAAGCAAGTTCAATCCGCCGTTTGCAATGGTTAGCCAGCCATAAAGCTTGTAGTCGGTTGTGTATTGGTTCTCGTTGATGGCAAAGGCAATGTTGAGGGCAGCGAGTACCAAGAACCGCAAAACATCGGCTATGTGGTACTCTCGAAGGAGATTCGAAGGTAGTGGAAACGAAGACAGTTTGTAAAGCCAAACGGTCGGCCACCAGTGACGTGATTTTCGTGTTGCTACAAAGTATTTGCTGGTTAGAAGAAGTTCGCGCATCTCTCTGTCTCATATAGAAATAGCCGCGACATACCCGTTGACGAATATTTCAAAAGTAAAAAGAAGGCTAGTCTTGGTAGGCCTTCCAAGAACAGTAGCCCGACCACAGCGCCAAAATACGCTCTGGCGGCGACGTACTGGTCGTCCACAATCGGTGTAAGCATGTTGAGAGATTTCCAATGGAAAGGCAATGTTTGGCTGGCTGGTGTGTGTCTGTGTTGGCAAGAGACAGTGCAGCCGGCAAGTTACTTATAAGTTGATCTGCCGTGTTGAGGATTCCAAATGCTTCAGCGCTGATAGCCAATATCCAAGAGTATCACTCCTTTGGATGAATTCGATTCCAAAAAAAAGATAATCATTCAAACATAAAACGCAATTCAGTTTATCTTGGTTTATCTTTGTTTGTTTTCTGGAATCATTATCTACTTTAATACAATCCGATCCGCTCCGCCTCCCGCCAAGGGGGAGGCTGACAATGATTCCATCATGTACAGCGGGGGGGAAGAGGGAGGCTCAGCAAAAAGCCCCGGGTATGACACATGGAGATTATCACAGCCCGCCACCACCAAAAGAAGCAAAGCCAAAACAAAGCCAAAACATTCCAAAGTAACCGGCTGGAGAAATTGCTCAAAAGAAGGGGGCCTCAGATCTGGTGGATTTCCGTTTTGAGATACTGGGCGCCGGGGTGGGCCAATCAGAGGCGCGGACCAAAATGATTCCAAAGCATCTGCGGCTACCGCTCCGATGGCACTCGGCCAATCAGCATCGTCGATGTTGGCGAAACCTTGGGGCCCGGCTGTGTCTTTGGAAACATTTCGTGAGAATCAGGGCGGTGGCTCGGTTTTACAGTGTGGCTGTAAACGGTACAGATGGGCGGGAGACGGCACGCCAGCCTGGAGATCGCTCCCTGGGAATTGGTTAGTTGCATTTGGAATCAAATCGAGTGACAGAGTGAAATCTTAGAGAGAATTGTGTCAAAGGCCCAGCCTTGAGACTTGAAAATCCAATATTTAAAGACCTGTAGTTGGTACCATACTTTCGTTCTCATCTTCTACTGCTTCTCATCTTCAAACACACAAAAGTCTACACCTCTACTCTCCTCCTTCTTCACACAAACACCACCTACACCCTCTATCTTCTACTCCATCACCATGAAGTTCTCCATTGCTGCCTTGACCCTCGCCAGCCTGGCCTCCGCTGCCGAAACTGGCTGGAGCGGCGCCATCCAGACCAAGGACGGCGGCCTCGGCGGCGTTGTCACTGTTGTCAATGACACTACCCTCATGATCTCCAAGTACACTCTCAAGGCTGCCACTGCACCTGCTCTCTACTGGTGGGGTGCCACCGACTCCAACCTTCCCAAGGGCTTCCGCATCAATAACGAGCGTGTCTCCGAGCCCGCCAAGACCGACTCCATCACGATTTCCCTCGATGCCGGCCACAAGGCCTCCGACTTTACATACGTCGGCCTCTGGTGCGAGAAGCTCAATGCCAACTTTGGCCAGGCTCTTCTCAGCAAGGACGGCAGCAGCAGCACCTCGGATAGCAGCCCCTCTGGTAGCTCTGCTCCCAGCGCCTCTCCCAGCGTCGACAAGAAGGGGGCCGCTGCTGGACTCTCTTCTTCGCAGGGTGCTTTCGCTGCTTTGGCTGCCAGTGCCTTGGCCATTGCTGCCTTTATGGCGTAGATAATTTCACCTCTTTTGTAGTAATAAAGACACTCTGTTTCTCACGCAGCCCTTTACAATAAACCTTTACTCTGGAGCACCAGTCCTTAGTACAGAGACACGATGTATGATTAAACCCCAAGAAACCCATCAAAAGTCTGGTAATATTTCTTTTAAATGGTATTGCGTCTCTGTATTTTATTTTGGTCTTAAATTTTGTCGACTCATTTGGTATACTTGTTGAATACCAACCGAAAGTGACTCATTTCAGCTATGACTTCCCCCCCCCCCCCGCCATCAGCTCATGTCACCAACTACAACATCACACCAACATGGATACTCTTCAAGACTTCCAATTAAAAGCGATTAAAAACATTCGCGCAAGAGCGCTACTGTCAAAACAGGACGCAAACGCAACCATCCGCCATGTCCTGCGCATGTCCAACGTGGACGCGTCAGCCATCGATGACCTGCGTCAGCGCATAGCAAAGCACGGCCACATTGCTATACATTTCCACCCCGATCGCCCGGTGAAGCTTCAAGACGGATTTACGACGGTTGCCGAATCGCTGGCGTTAGACGGTGTCTACCGCAGCCAGTTTGAAACGTCCATCTCCAACGGTCTGGTATCAACAGTAGCAGGCGGCCCGCGAGACCAATGGGAGGAGAATTTATTCGGCGGCGCATACCATGAAAAGAACATCACGGTATCTCCTAAATATCGGCCAAAATATGGCGCTCTAGATTTCATTGGTTTCGCCGATGGGCCGGCGCCGCGATTTGGATCAACATATTTCGTGCTGAAGCCAGAGGTATCCTCCCGGGCAACGTTTACATACGGTGGTTCGCAGGACGCGCCGAAAGATGTAGGAACCATTGATGAAATAGACAGTATTCTTTCCGCACTTCTGGAAGAATCTTTTATTCGAGACGGCGCACTGGGGTTTGCCGGTCGACCAGCTGGATTACTTTCGCACATACAGGCGCAGATGGTAACGCCAAGAGCATCTAGCATAACTACAGGCAGTAACTTGGACCACGTGATTGAAGCTCAAATCCACGGGGAGATTCTCTTGTCCCGTGATGTCGAGGCCTTGGTCGTGGACGGGTCTTTCGCAGCAGACGACGACAAGACAAGTACGGTGCTGCGTGAGATGGGCGCCAAGTTTGGCTTTCCGGTCCTGTTTACCCGTGGATTCCGTTTAGACGTCGACTCTGTTCCAATTGACTTTCGCGGTCCTACAATGCCATCCTTGGCGAAGCGGATTTCAGCATCTGTTGTGGACGCAAAGTCCATCGGGGTGGCTGCGCAGAGCCTGCAGCGGGACCCTGAGCGCTGGTCAGATCGAGGCACATACGCAGAGGTTTTGCAGGAGTTGAAGCTTCTCTGGCATATTCTAGTCCGCTTTGGGTAATCTTTGGGGCTGGTGCATGGCGATGTGGGTGGGTTAGGCTTACCATGTAAGCCGACGATCTGGGCGATGGGGTGGACGATCTTGAAGAGTGTACCTGTCACGCGTTCACCATCCGTCTACAACAGCGTCAGCCCAGTATACAGTTGGTATAGAATTCTTCTCTAATGTCACCTAATTCCATTCATTCGGCATTTTACAGAAAACGCACTGGCCGATCCAATCTGACAATCAATTCGCTTAGACACAGGATGATGTGTAAGGGTGACGTCGTCGCTTAGCCATCTAGGAATCATACCAACTATAAATAAAGGCGAAAGTCACACAGTTTCCATCAATAAACCACTCCAGCATAGCAACCATATTCACTCAATATTCCATTTTTGACAGACACCACCTACCACACAAAATGAAGACCTTCGCCATCATCTCCCTCGCCATTGCCACCGCGCTTGCTCATGCCCCAAGCTTGACAGAACTGACCAACGGGTTGCCCGCCTGTGCTGCATCAGCCATGAATGCTTCCATGCAGGAACAAAAGTGTAACGTCGCCCATGTCGATGCCACCGCTTTCGACTGCCTCTGCAACAACTACTATGATGTTACGGGCGGTATCTTTGACAAGGTTCCGTACACTTGTGCCGCAGGTAAGTCCCTAAAACGGTCTAGTATTAGCAAAAGCTGCCCTCTAACGTGACTAGATTTTGCGAGAGATGCCGGAGCACTTTGTGGTGTATGGGCTGTCGAGGGACCCTCGGCAAGCGACATCAAGCAAGCTGTCGAGGCATTGGCCGCCAAGGTTGGAGGTTCTGCGCAGTAGGTTGCCGCGCTTCATCGGTTTTAGACGATGTTAAGGCTGAAATTGTTTTGTCATCTCTTAGAGGGCCCGTCCCAGCAGTGGCTTCGGCGGCATCCAGCTCGTCCAAACTAGCGGCGCCTCCGCCAACAGCTGCTGCGGGCGGAACTCTTGCGCGCGTCGAGGCGGTTCCAACATCAACCGCTGAACCAAGCACCAGTGCGGCCTCTAGCAGTTGTGTTTTGAGTTCTTTTCATTTTGTTATGATTTTATGCAGTGTATGGTATGTTTTTTAGGTTTTAGAATATGGATTGATTTTTTATTGTCGAGTATTTAACCGGATGATGCCCCTCACGTGTAAGATGAACAAACCGGTAGTGTAAGTCAGCTTTAACAGTATACTACTATCAGCGCAAGCATTACCATCACACTGCTTTTCCCTTGTATTATTAGTTGATAGAGTGTTTGAATAAGTAATTACCAGTTTTTTTTAATATAACTAGAAAATCCTAGAGCTAAAAATAGAAATTAATTTCACTATTGACTTCTAGGGTAGGGCTGACCAAAACGGAAGCGTTCCGTTCAGCTACGCCACTAGCAACGCCCTGTCCTATGCTATGTACGCGGATAAAAGCTGTCATGTAAAATTAAGCGACGAGGATCTGGGGTACCAGTCTCTTTTGGGACGGTTTGCGACAAGCTGTGTGTGAGAGAGAAATTAGGGGTAGAATCTGTTAAGAAGCAGAGATTTCCCATGCTGTGTGGTCGTAGACTAACTATACTGTAGACTCTTTACTAGACACAAGCTGCTTTTCCATTTTCCTTCCAGTCGCATCTCTACTCCATCGCAGATATGAAGGTTTCCACTATTGCGTATCTCGGCATGGCTGCCACCGCTTCCGCGTTGGAGTCGTTGACCGAGTACACCAACGATATACCCTCTTGCGCGGTTTCTGCGCTACGCGATGCCATGAAGACCGAGGGCTGCGACCTGTCTTCCATTGACGGCAAAGATTTTGACTGCCTGTGCAAGCACAGCTCAGCCATTATCACTATTGTCGTTCCCAAGATCTCTACTGTCTGCACAGCAGGTAAGTAGTAACCATCCGACTCGGCCCTTCGGACAACTCGTTTGCTAAGAATCCGACTTTAGACTTTTCACAAGCCATCGGTGGCATCTGCGGTCTTTGGGAAATCTACAGCACCACAGCTAGCGACTACGCGCAGGCGACTAAGGCACTTGGAGATAAGCTCGGTGGCAGCGGTGGCGGCAGCGCAGCTACACCCACGGCCAGCGCAGGAAATGCACCCTCAGGCAACTCCGCCGCCGCTTCGCCCTCGTCGACCAAGAACGCGGCTGTAGCTCCCACTGTTGGTGCTGCTATGGGCATCATTGGTGGTGCCGCTGCCATGGCCGCTTTGCTCTAAGTGCTGGGCCCAGAATACAGCCGGGTTATTGTCGCAACTCGACCCAGGCGAGAGCTTAGCCATGATGGAAGTAAACGCTTTTGGTGAAGATGTATGTAAAAGGTAAATGTTCTATTATGCTCGCTCGAAACAGACTATTAAATATTAATTAATTTATTATCGTTATTTTCCCGTGGACTTGACGTAGTGCCTGACTGCATTTTTGAAACTTTGGTCAAACTCGACCTTGCGGCTCTCGCAATCCAGCTCGGCGTGTAGCAGGGCTGCGGCAGCGCGCTCATCGCGCTTGTCAAAGGGTCTGTTGAACATGGGGATAGGAAGTCTGTTGCTATGCGCATTGGCCTTGTCAAACGAGATTTTGGCGTCCTTGCCTTGTAGCGTCTGGATGGCAGTCACAGCAAAGCGCAGCAAGTCGCCGCCAACACCCTTGTTGCGGAACTTGAGGCGGACGGTCCAGGCGCGAATGCTGCCGCCGCTAATCTTGGAAGACGCCTTGGATTGCTTCTGGAAGTCCGTATCGGAGAGGTACGGGCGGAGGATAAGGCACCCAATGATTTCGCCGTCGAAGCGCGCACCAATGACAATGTCCTCGCGACCCTCGGGACCAGTAAGGAATTGCTCGGCGTTGAAGTTCTCGGCCATGCCAACGAAGCGGCTGGTGAGCATGCGGATGGCAGCGAGGTAGCAGATAATGGTACCGGATACGGTGATGAGCGTGGTGCCGAGATCGGTGGTGGTGCGCGCTCTCAGCATGGTCGCGAGCAGGGACGCCAGGCCGGCGATGCAGAGCGGGTTGAAGATGATGCTGGCATTGGCAGTCTGACTCTGCTGGGCAATGCTGTCGGTGATGAGGCGCAAGCCGGTGCGACGCTCGTCTTCATTTGTCAAGATGCCGTAGGATAGAGGGGGAAGCTCGTCTTGTTCTTTGGCGACGACGGGAGCGGCGGCTTCGTTGGAAGCTGCCTTGGAGGATTTGTCGGCAGCAGCCATTGTGTTTTGCGCGTTGGGTATTTCGTAAGGGATTGAGAAGCAGTGCTAGCAATGATGGCAACGCTGATGGGTTTTGATTGAGGCGATTGAATCCCGTCACACGAGCAGCGCGATGACGAGAAGAGCGATGAGAGCACAATTGCGCACGCGTACGGGATGAGAGGAGTGAAGTAACAAGAGAAGATGAAGAATCACGAGACAACTGTTCGACAAGTTGCAATGGGAACAGCGAATTCTTGAGACTGAGTGTGCACGGGCGGGAACCGTCGGCAGAATCCCAATGGCAGAAAAAAAAAGTTGTCGCAGTAGACCGAGCTTCAGTGGTGGCGTGGCGATGTCATGTCACTGCCTGCTCAACAGACGCCGGCTGAAGCTTGCTGGAGCTACCCTTGCAAGTAGCGTGAGCACGTGGGCAAACCGTTTGCAAGTTCGAGTAAGGGAACCCTTTTTTATTTTTATTTTTTATTTTAGCGTCGGTTGTCTTGCAGGCAGAGCGGGGGCCGCCGGAACCACCAGCTGAACGAAGCAGGCGGACCAGTGGGTACAGGCACCCAACGGACATCGATCCCTTTGCAGCGCTGCCAAGCAGGACCCTTTTTGCCTGCAACGTTCTAGGTAGGGCTCTCGGATCTTCTTTTTTTCTTGTTGGTCGTCTGTGTGAAAAGGCATGGACATACAGACGGGATTAGGCAGAGGCTGACCAACAGGTGGTACAGATAGGCTTACGAAACTGGCAAACGCGTAGACGACACCTGCACAAAAGAAACAGCATCATTGGGCCAACTCAGCCGGCAGCCATACAACGGGCGGCGCCCAATGATTCAAGGCTGACAAGGCCTAAATACATGCCTGTTGATAGGCCAAGGGACCATGTCTCTCACCGGCGCTGCCGCGTATCACTTGACCTGGAAGCGAAAGCGACAGGCGCAGACCGAGGGACTGACAACACTGTGGATGATGGGATGGTCACCTAAACCTGGGTGCTAAATGCTACGGTACCCAAGGGAAGAACAGAATAAAAAAATGGAGGCTAACTTAGCTCGGCCGTTAGCACGGAAGAGGGTCACTTCGGCCGGGTTGGTGGGAGCGAACGAACGCTTCTGGACTCGAAAATCCATCTGGCTCCCTCCCGCCCTTGTTTAGTGCAACTTTTTCTACTTTCTCGGCTCAGAGCGAGCCGCGGTTGTCGCGTGGGCCGGTAAGCTTTAAACTAAGGTTGGCAAAAAAGGTGGTGGGATGCACAGCGACTAAGTCGCTACTCAGCAAGGCAAGGCGAAAGGATGTGCACAGTCCCTGCAGTTGGGCAAGATGTGTTTGCCGCCGTCGCCGCTAACAAGAAGAGACGAAGATGGAAAAAGACGTAAAAAAAGACTTGGCAACGGATATACGGCACGACGCCATTACAATCTGTCAGCGTCACGGCATAACAGCAAGGACGCCACACGATCATTCCCATCACCGAAGCAGCCACTGTCTTGGCAGTAGACGGGTGAATTTTCACGAGGGACTATATCCGTAGTCACGACGAGGCTTTCCAGTTGGATCGATTGGGTCAACTGCAGCCAATAGTCCCGGACAAGCGCCAAAGTCATCTTGGACAACTCGGGGCCTTGCCCCTCTTGGGCCCATCGCTGGTGCGAGAGAAGACACACAGAAAAGATATGAGTGGACTAAAGGCTTATGCCATTATGTACGCTGATGGACCAATCTTCATGCAGAACAAGGCAATAACCGGACACAGACGGCGGAGATGTGAGTGGAGTTGCCAGAGGATGGATACGCACCAGTGTTTGGTGGCGCGCTCGCGCATTATGGACCTGTTCGGTAGCCCATTCAGGCAAGTCAGCGTGCGTGCGTATGTGCACTACTGCTAATAACTGATACGGAGACTGCATCTGCTCTACTCCGTGTAATGTGAGGGACGCTTGGCGTCGTCTCGGGCCGGCTTGTCAGTGAAGCTAGCGAGGGGCCAGCAAACAAAGGAAGAAAGATAAGAGAGACACAGTTTATCCATGGGCTTGCTGCGGCTGTTTGCTAAGTTGATGGTCAGTTGGTTAAACTAAACACATGACAGACAAGACACTGTGCCAATTAGCCCAGCTGCAACCAGAAATATCGCAAAAAAAGTATGCGCACGTTCGTTTGTCGACACAGCGCAGGCAGATGGATGAAAAGGAGATTAGCAGGTACGGCAGCCCAAAAAAAGAGGCGTAGTGGTACGTTGCGCCAATAGCGTCGGGCTAAAGCGTAACATCCATTCTGCGCGTGGCGCCAAATCGATCGCCCAGGATTCGCCAAGCAGAAGCGCAGACCCGGGGAACGTGGTCAGATGCAGGCCTCTGATTGGCCCATTGTCGCCCACCAACAACCTCAGTTTACACATGGGCCTAGACCAAACGTCTTTTTCCTTCTTTGCTTCCACCCCCGGCTTTCCGCTATTTTTTTCTTTACGGCTGAGCTCGATAGCGCTGTAGATACGCTACAGAGGACCCTTACAGAACCACTAATGCACTGTATTTCACTCTTGTTGCTGCAGGCAGCCCATTGGGGTGTTACTGTAGCATCGCCCATATACGCCTTCCCCAAAGAACAACCCAGCTTCACGCACGCAAGGTTAACCCTATTCGCCGTTGGCCTCTCTTGTATCCTTTTTCATCTCCACGCTAGGCAGTCCCCGGGCGACCCCTTCCCACCGTAAAAACGACCGCAATGAGGCTGTCTAACCGGACCTGACCACCACCCCTACCCTTCTGACTCGCCCCGTTTACTGGACGGACTGAGCGCTGGAAGTATGCCCGTTTGTGGCGTTCTGGCTCATCTTGCTTGTCCCACGTTGCTGCATCCTGCTCTCGCTAATGGACGGTTCTTGGGGCCTTTTTCCAGGATGGGCTAGCATCCCCCGTCAACCCGAGACTGGGTCCATGCAGACGCCTCCCTCACGCTTCGGTGGGAAGAACGAGTAGTCTTGTTGGCCGGCTGTGACAAGTGGGCTGAAGGATGGAAGAAAAAAAAATAAAAAATAAAAAATACTCGCGTGCAGCAAAGCATGCGATGGAGAACCCTCGGGGGCGAGTGAGCGCCTCGTTGGCGTTCCGGTTTCTCATATATATTGTCCATCCGACTTGGCGACCCTCCTCGCATCTCTTGGCTTCCCTTCTTCTGTGTCCCTCTCCTCTTGGCTCTGCAGCGGTCCATCTCTTAGCAAAAACGCCTCAAGCCCATTCAGTTCTCTTGGCGATTGATCTCTTTGACTGAGCTCGCTCATACACAATGGCTGCTCCCGCTCCCTCCAACATCCCCCAGCCTGCCATGGGCAAGACTGCTGGTGGTAACTCTGCCTACCACAACTTCAACAATGACTTCCTTCACGTCTCCGACCTGAACGAGCGTCGTCGTCTTGCCCTCGCTGAGGTCGACAAGGCCCCCTTTGGCTGGTACCACGTTCGCGCCTGTGTTGTCGCTGGTGTTGGTTTCTTCACTGATTCTTACGACATTTTCACTGCCTCTCTCCTCACCATCATGCTGGGTATTGTCTACTACCAGGACAACAAGGGTGCCATCTACCCCAGCTCTGATAACGCCATCAAGCTGGCCACCTCTGCTGGTACCGTTGTTGGTCAGCTTGGTTTCGGTATGCTCGCTGATATTGTCGGCCGTAAGAAGATGTACGGTCTTGAGCTTATTGTCATCATCTTTGCCACCATTGGCCAGGCCCTCACCTCGGAATCTCCCTCTTGCAGTATCGTCGGTCTCATCATCTTCTGGCGTGTCATCATGGGTGTCGGCATTGGTGGTGACTACCCCCTCTCTTCCGTCATCACTTCCGAGTTTGCTACCACCAAGTGGCGTGGTGCCATGATGGCTGCAGTCTTTGCCCAGCAGGGTCTCGGCCAGCTTTGCGCCGCCTTTGTCATGCTCTTCGTCACCCTTGGCTTCAAAGAGACCCTCTCTGCCAGCCCTGGTGTTGCTCACTGCACTGGTGACTGCCAGGTTGCCGTCGACAAGATGTGGCGTACTCTCATTGGCTTCGGTGCCGTTCCCGCTTCCATTGCTCTTTACTGTAAGTAAACCTCCAAAGTTGCGCTTGAATCGCCAGTATTCTGACCCGTTCGCAGTCCGTCTTACCATTCCCGAGACCCCCCGTTACACTTTCGATGTTGCCCGCGATGTCGAGAAGGCCGACAACGATGTCAAGGCTTACATGAACGGCAAGGCCGAGGGTGAAACTGATGAGATGGCTCGTGTTGCTGCCAACAAGGTTGCCCAGGAGAAGCTTGAGGTCCCCAAGGCCAGCTTCCGCGACTTCTGCCGCCACTACGCTATCCGCAAGAATCTTCTCCTCCTCATCGGTACTGCTGGCTCCTGGTTCATGCTCGACGTTGCCTTCTACGGTCTCTCTCTCAACAACGGTGACATTCTCAAGGCTGTCGGCTTCTCTACCACCGGCTCTAAGAACACCTACGAGTTCCTGTACAAGACTGCCATTGGTAACTTGATTATTGTCATGGCTGGCGCTGTCCCTGGCTACTGGGTTTCCGTCGCCACCATCGACACTCTTGGCCGCAAGCCCATTCAGATGGGTGGCTTCCTGATCCTAACCATTCTCTTCATTGTTCTTGGCTTTGCTTACGACAAGATTGACGCCAACGGCAAGCTTGCCATCTACGTTCTTGCCCAGTTCTTCTTCAACTTCGGCCCCAACACCACCACCTTCATTGTTCCTGGTGAGGTCTTCCCCACCCGCTACCGTTCTACCTCTCACGGTATCTCTGCCGCTTCTGGCAAGATCGGTTCCATCATTGGCCAGGGTGCCATTGCCTCTCTCCGCACTCGCGGTGCTACCAAGGACAACGCCCAGCCCTGGTTGAACCATGTTCTCCAGATCTTCGCCCTCTTCATGTTGCTCGGCTGCTTCACCACCCTCCTTATTCCCGAGACGGCCCGCAAGACTCTTGAGGAGCTCTCTGGCGAGGATGACTACGCCACCAAGAACGCTGGTGGTGTTGTTCAGGAGGAGCGCGAGAACAGCAACGAGGAGCCCCTCAAGGCTTAATTAAACTGCTGACTTTTTCATGTTTTCTACAAATTTGTAACTAAAATAATATTGCTACACATATTTGATTCCCTTTTTATTTAGACAGCAATACTGTATTTTAATTTTTCCAATCTGCGTCCATTATTGTGTTGAGCGACATTCAATGTACCTTACCCCTGATCAACTGTTGATCACCTCCATGTACAACACAGCCGACATCTGGTTATAGTGAGGAAGATATATCTTATGCATTAAATTATACTGTGTTCTGGTATAACACTAATCAAGGAACATGAACAACAATCTTTCCAGCTGCAGATCCTGCATGCAGCTGGTCATAGGCCTCAAATGCCTCGCCAAACTCATATCTCTTATCAATGGTGACCTTGAGCTTTCCAGCATCGAGCCACTGAGCAAGCTGGGACAGGTGGGCCTTGTCGTTCCACGTCATGTAAACAACGACCTTGTTCTTCGCACCACCCAACCAAGCTGGCTTGAGAAGCGCGCTGGCGACTGTAGTGAGTCCGCTCCACGAAGGAGCTGTGGAAACCATGACATACACACCATCTTTGGACAAGAATTCACCAGAAGAGACATGCAAGTTTGCCGGTGACGATCCAACTAGATCAACAACCAACTTGTACGTCTTTCCATTCTTCTTGATGGTCTCGATGACATCCGATTTGCGGTAGTCAATCACTTCATCGGCACCCAATTCTTCGCACATGGCCACCTTGGGCGTCGAACATGATGTTGTGACGTTGCAGCCCAGGAGCTTTCCGATTTGAATGGCAAAAGTGCCAACACCACCCGAGCCGCCGTTGATGAAGATGTTATCACCAGCCTTGACGTAGGGCTGGATGGTTTGGTATGCAGTGAGCCCTGCGGTTCCTAGACCAGCAGCGCAATCAAGGCCCGTCTCTTTGGCCAGGACAGCGTAGTTTTCCTGTGCAGCAACGACATACTCGGACAGCGCACCGGTCGCCTTGAGAGGATCTAATCGCGACACGACATGATCTCCGACCGTGACATCTGTGACCTCGGAGCCGACAGCAGCGACCACGCCTGCGAGATCCATGCCCAGTGTCTTTGGGAAGGGTAATACTCCTCGCGCTACCACTCCCATCGCCGGGACTTTGTAATCCGCCGGGTTGATGCCGGCAGCTTTGACTTGGATTAAAATTTCATTCTTTTTGAGTGCTGATACAGATGGCTTTACAGCTTGGTCGGTGAGCTTGATCTGGTCGCTCAATGGGCCAGGCGCGACATATTGCCAGGCTTTCATGTGCTCTGTCATTGCTCCGTTGATTCGGGCGTAAAGGCAAGTAAAAGATTATTGGGTATTAAGACTGAATTGAAGAGGATATTCACAATAGCAGAACAAATACTACTGTACTTATAAAAAAATATAAGGCTATAGCTTCTCTGTCCAACTCCGCCAGGGATTACCGATACTAGTGGTGGCTCTGCGGAGATGCCGGCGGAGAAATTATTCCTGAAGGCCTTATCAGTACTAGCGGCAGTGCACAGGGCCCTCAAACGCAGCGTCTAGAAGCCTCGAGCGCTTGAAATAGTCTGAACAGGAAAAGACCGATCTTCAGATTGCTAATCACCTGCGGAGACAAATTTCTTATTCAAATACCTTTGAGCCCTTTCGGGGTCTTGATAGCATCCGACAATGCGAACCACGGTTACAAGGCTGCTTGCTTCTTAGAGTGCCTTTCAGCTTTCAGCCTCTAGCTGCTACAGTAGGACAATGAAGCTCCGCGAAGGTTTCACAAGGGACAATTTGAGTAGGACAAATAGATTACATAAAACGCCAATCGAGAAGTAGTTGGACATTCCGACTGGAGAACAAAGCATGATTAGTTTAATGCCCTGGAAAGCCTTTCTAATTTTATTTCCATTGTGATGATTTTTTGGCCATGATGAGACAGCGCCTATTTCGCTCCCATTGGATCCAGGTCTGCAAGCGTTTCATGTACGTCTTGTTTCATTGGGCCAGCCGCTGGCTAGCATGGGTTTGGCGCCTGCAGGCAGACATTGCATGTCCGCCTTTGTTTTCATAGTGTTATATATGTATTCTTGGATGCAAAAGACCTTTCCGTTTTTCGAGTTCAAAAGCAGTTTTTGTCCAACTCCACCCGCTCAACAACGGTCGTCAATCCTACACAATTTGAGGAATCTATCACTAGACCAGGATCCCCAATGGGCAATGTCGCTACGGATATGGATACCATCGACTATATTGTGCATTGTTTACGCTTTTGCAAGAGTGTATATTTTCTTCGAAGATTTTTACTCGCTTCGCCGTCAGCCTGTTTGCACCTACAACTCCGTTGAATGGGCACGGTACTCACCGGTATTTTAGACAGAAAATAATAGTTAAAATAGTACTTATTTATAGTAAAATACTGCTTATAAAGTATTATTCCATTAAATTTAATATCAGCTAAGCCGTCTTTATGTCAGGTTGACCGTTTGCTTACAAACTGCAACACCGTTTAACCATCTACGCCCTGTGGAAGAACCACACAGGTTGTAACGTCTAGCTCAGCGTTGTAGAGGTGAGCGTGAATTTCAATGCTAGCAAAGCAACCTGCCGCTTATCCAAGTCGCCACAAGTAGATCAATTATAGAGTATTTATTCAACTATGAGCCTCCAAATTTTCCGATTTACCCTTTCGGAAGGTCAAACTATTTTTAAATCTCAATTCCCAGCGCTCCGACTTGATGTTGAGAGACAGGGCGCTGTCAACCAATACTTTGGCTATTCGGTGGCGGTCACAACCGCAGCTCTGCCTAAGAGACGCCACGAGATAACTTGGGTTATTGGTACGTACAATGTATATATTCGCTTATTAATTTCTAATAGTATACCAGAATGGAAGAGTGGTGTACTTCTTCAAACATACCCTCCTCTTGTTGAACAGTTTCTGAAGTTGGCTAACGATGCGACTGGCCTTATCCTGAGCATCAACGACGCACAGCGCGATGGATATCTTGCTGCTCTTCAGTCGCCCATTTGCGAACTAGTAAGTAAAATGATTCGCTATAATAACTATATGCTACCACTGGAACAGACACCCATGCGCCTGCTCCCGGAGACACCGATGGACAATGAGTTGTTTCGTGTCTCTGTTCACAAGACCTTCACAGATTGCTATGGATGGCCTGGGTTTGTATCGGGAGACTGGGGATACATAAAGGATACGAATGATGTCCTTGGCGCACCACTTGAGGCCAACAACAGCTCGGAAATTCCTGAAGATCAACGACGTCTCGCTTTCTATCTTCTCGGCTGGGAGAGTGCCGAGGTACGTTCGAATACTTTACTCAGTAACAGAGCCATCAGCTTATCTCCTTTTGCAGATTCATGAAGACTTTTCAAAGAGTCCCCTCTTCTTTGAAGAGATTGTCAAGTTGGCGCCGTGGATTGATAAATCGTCTGGAGCGTGGTATGTCAGATTTATGCAACATGGAGTCTAGATGAATATACTACATAACCAAACGTCGCTACTTTGACCTTTTAAAAAGCTTAATAATACAAATGATAATAGGGATAACCTTTGTTGCACACAACATAAGAAGGTGCAAGAAATATATGCCCCAACTTGTCGCAGGATGTATTATCGCCGGTCCTCCGGGTGGGAGCTTCTGTGCTTCTTTCACCATGGGCTTCATTGCGGCTTCATAAGCACGGCCCATAACCTCTGGCTCGTCGCTATGCGCCTGCAGAGCCTTGGCCAGCTCTTCTGCACCGACAAGGGCTAATGTCGTACCAAGGCCAGACATTGGCGAAGAACACCACCTGCGATTTTGTCAGCTTTCTAGAATCCGGAACCATCTGACTAGATACGTACGCTGCATCCCCTAATAGAAACACCCTTCCCTTGAACCAGGTTTGCATTTTTACCTGAGCAATCTCATCACAATAAAAATTGTCCGTTTCATTCATGCCTGTGAGAATGCGCGGTGTCTCCCAACCGGTGCTGGCGAAGAGAGAAGCCAGGAGCTTCTTTTTTGTGGTCGTTGCTTCGGTGTGGTTTTCTGCGAGAACCTCTAGTCCCAAGTTGGGCTGTTTAATAATAGTCATCAGTACTGTGGTGCGAGCTCCAGTTCCGTCAGGTCGAAGCATGATAGACTTCCGTCCCGGAACAAGACACCAGCGCCGCCATTGGGAATCTGTGGCAGAGGAGGGAATGCTGAAGAAAGCTCCATACGCTCCAATACTCCGAACAAAATCGACTTCTTTTTGTTTGCCCCACGTTAATCTTCTTGTTTGGCTTCGTAGACCGTCCGCACCAATCACAAAATGGAATTTCCGGGTTGTTTTGCTGTTCTGAAAGGTGACGTGAACTGCATCTGGTTCCTGTTCAATGTTGCTGATGGATTCCCCAAAGAGATATTCGATTTCGCCGTTGCCGCTTTGCTGAAGGCGACTACCGAGCTCTTTGCTTCTTTCCCAGCAGATTGAGGCTAAACGTCCACGCAAAATCTCAATTTCGCTGGTAGGTGAATGCACCGCCGCGTCATGAATTACTGGTACCTCAGCCCAAATTTGGTCATTCTCATCAACATGGCGAACACCAATTTCACCGGTTGTTGACTCCAATACTTGATTTGCGATTCCCAACTTGCGCAAAGACTCAATTCCTTCGTTTCTAATATCGACATTCTGGCCATGGGGCCGGAGATTAGGTACTCGATCCACGATGGTGATTCGGTAGCGGCCACCACTAAGAGCTAGAAATGATGCCAGCGACGCGCCAGCAACGCCGCAGCCGACAATTAAAATATTTCGTTCCATCGTATGCAAAAATATGAACGGACAGTGGGTTTGGCGCTCTGTGTCTTAAAAAGTTGAAGCAGGCTGCAGCCTTTTATACAGGAAGACCAAAGTCGGCAAATTCCGGATTTGCCGAACAAAAGTTCGGGATATTCGCAAGCATCGTCGACGTGTCACCAACGAGACTCTTTACTATTCTAGTCTTATTTATTATAACCAAGTACAAAACTATATTTGACTAAAGCTATTGCCGAAGGGATCTTCTCGCGCCAGAAGCTGTTCCCATTGGAGCCACTCATTTACATCGGCAGCAAATGTGTCCAAATCCGAAAACTCGTACGTGATTTCGGGTATTGGTTTCACCAACGCGGTAGACATCTCGACATTGTTTTCTCGTGGATGATCTTGCGAAGCTGATTCTCGTGTAGTAATCATGGTTGCCGCGCGTATTTCTCGCATCTCCGCGATATAGTCGGGCGGAGATGGTCGTGGCAAGCCTTGCGCTTGAGCAGCCTGAGAATACTCATCCCACACCTCAGGTATCCATTTAGACAAAGCTGCATGTACTGCGGCAGCAGACTTGCTGAATGCGTCCGGGTAGTGAGAAATCAGAACACCAATACAATGCCAGAGGCGTTCGATTTCAGGACCAGCCTTTCGATGTCGCGCGGCGATGAGAGCGTATAGAATCGTATCCCACATATATGTAGCACTGGTACGCCACATAAACTTGTGGAAATCGGGGTTATTTCGTATAAGAGCGGCGTACTCGAGCAATTTGCTTGCGTTTGTAAAGACAATATCTCGATCCGCCTCCGCAAGTTGGGTGTTGTTTTGTGCGAAATACTTTGGGTTGTGAGCCAAAACTTTCATCCTGCAAATGACGGATCGGATCACCACAGACGCAAACACATGTAGCGTTTCGCAAGGGTCGCAATAGCGCAGGTACTTTGATTCGAGGAGATCTTCCAGCTTGGCAATTTTCTGATCTTTGCCAGCGATGGGCACATCTGCGTTGCTAAGGGCTTCCCAACCAGTTTCGCTAACCTTGGACCCTGCAACACTCTTTAAAAAGTCCATGATATCGCAACGCACAAGGAATAGGACTAGTGACGTTATGCCATTGCGTTCGACTGGCGATTCTGTCATGCCTGGCCAAATATCCTCATCCTCGATGTTGAGCGGCGACTTTACATCGCCACCAAAAAGGTCTGCGGAAGGTTTTATTCCTAACAGATCAGACGTTCGGAAGTCGAGCTGTACTATGTGCCACCATAGCCTACGACGGAGTTCGGTTTCGAATGGCGGCAAGCCAACCGATGTACCGTCTTTGTTCAATCCAGCTTTCATCATTAGTCTCAGCACAGTACCACACAGAATATGGTAGGTGCTGTAAGATTGAGCGCCTTTGATGCCAAGCTATCTCTATTAGCATTAGGTCCACGGATAGAATCGTTGTACCTACCAAGTACAGACACAAGGCTTGGAAAGTAAGAAGGTCAGGATTCTCCATAAACCGAGCGTTCGTCAGGGACTGTCGAGCCAGTCTTCTTTGCTTGTAAATCCGAGAATCCTTTGTTTGCCCGTAGACCTGTGAAAATTGGTTTTCTGACATGGTGCTCATCGTCGCGAGACAAAAGCAGAATATGGCAGCCTCGATGCTTCGCCCAGCACTACCTGGAGACTCTACAGCCGGTGTCAGGGTTGCAAATAACGAAGGTAGGTGAAGCATCTTCATCATTGGATCAACTTGTGTTGTGTATATTGTTCGCAACTGAGAAAATGTTGCCGAATCCGGGTAAAACTGGCGCAGAGACGTGCTCCGCGGTCCACGTCGTGGCCCGCCCTCGAGCCATTCAAGCAGCGTTTCTTCCGTCTCTTGCGAAGTTTCCATCTCTTCGACGGGGCTATCCAAGTCGTATTGATCAGGATGAGTATACTAAAGGTAACAATGGTTAGCTTGTTGGGCATGGAGCGCGCGTTCAAGGGACTATATATACTTGGGCACCAATAGACGACCATAGCGAGCTGCTTACATTTATTAGTCTGTGAGTAATTTCATGTTCGATTTGGCAAAACGTACTTGTTTGGTAAAGCCGATACATTTACCGTGAGCGATGTTGGGCCTCGTGGCAAGTCCTGTGGTGTTTCTACACACGGTTCGGAAGGGGTATCTGCATCTGAGCTCGCGGCGTCGCTCGGAACTTGAAGCCTTTCACCATGTTTCTCGAGCATACGCTCGTAACGCCGAAGCTTTGCATGAAGTCCTTCATGAGTCGGCTTTTTGCTTTTGCGTTTACCACGGACCGGCGCAATAAAGGAGCACTCTGCCTCGGCCTTAACGCAGTTGGAGCATGGATCCAGGCGATCACACTTGACTTTGCGCTGGCGGCATATCAAACACGAGTACTCTCTCACTGGCCGGCTGCTGCACGATTCATCCATGATTTTAATTTCCTTGTGAATTTTGACAATTTGGTGATGGCGGCGTCACGTCGCGAGTTTCGGAGACAAATAAGCAGCGAGGCGCGACGTGGGCAGGAGCACGTCGGCGCTCGGGGTTGTGGCAATAGGCACCGATTTCGGCGCCGAAACTCGAGAAACCGACGTTTGAGCCCCGAGCACCGTACATGGGGAACATGTATAAAGAGACGCAAGGACGCTCGCTTTTAAATGACTTGGAGAAGATAATCCAATTAAAATATTCTTCGCATTCAATTCGGTTAAAATGCCTGGATCTACTCACGAAATAGAAAAGGGCGGCGAGCCTAAGCTCCCGTCCCAAGACATTGCCTATCCAGACATGAAGAAGCGCGTGCTCATCATGCTCTCTGGCTATCTGGCCATCTTTCTCATCACTCTGGTACGTATTAAAACTTATTCTAAAAAACTAATTATATATTTTACATACTAATATTATTATGCCGTATAGGATCAAAACATCATTTCTACAGCTATTCCCCGAATCACCGACGAGTTCCACTCCATCGATGACATTGGCTGGTACGGCACCGGCTACCTACTCACCATGTGCACATTTCAGTTGCTCATGGGCAAGGTGTACAAACACTATCCCGTCAAGCCTCTCTTTATCGGTGGTATTGCCTTTTTTGAAATTGGATCGGCAATATGCGGCGCCGCGCCGTCCTCGGCCGTCCTCATCTTTGGCCGAGCCGTCGCGGGCTTTGGCGCATCGGGCATGATGTCCGGCGTCATGGTCATCATGTTTCACACGATCCCCGTGCAGCAGAGGCCCGCATGGCAGGGCCTGTTTGGCATTGTATTCGCTATCGGATCTGTCATTGGCCCTCTTGTCGGCGGCGCACTAACTAACAACGTCACCTGGCGCTGGTGCTTCTATCTCAATCTCCCCGTGGGGGCCGTCTCCATCCTAGTTATCTTGCTCATCCTACATATCCCGAACCAGAAGCTGGAGAAGCCCGCGGACACTATTGTGGGCAAAGTTCTGCAGCTTGATGTCTTTGGCAACTTGGTCTTCTTCCCGGGCATCATCTGCCTGGTGCTTGCGCTGCAGTGGGGAGGCACCAAGTATGTTTGGGCCGATGGTCGAATCATCGCTCTACTTGTCGTTTTTGCCGTCTTTTTTCTCGCCTTTATTGCTGTGCAAGTCTGGAAACAGGAAGATGGAACTGTCCCACCGCGCATTGTCAAGAACCGAAGTGTCCTGGCCGGCCTATGGTACGCGCTGCTAAATGGCGCGGGCATGATGTCTGTCATGTATTACCTGCCGATTTACTTCCAAGCTATCAAAGGTGTCGATGCTGTAACATCGGGAGTCATGCTGTTGCCGACGGTGCTTTCCACGGTCCTATCGTCCGTCGTATCAGGCATCCTGGTTACCAAGCTTGGATACTACGCGCCATTCTTCATCCTCAGTTCCCTGTTTATGCCCATTGGTGCTGGTCTCTTCACCACACTGACTGTGGAGTCTGGCAAAGCACAATGGATTGGGTACCAGATTATCTTCGGCCTTGGTGTTGGTTTTGGAATGCAGCAGCCATTAAATGTTGTACAAACCGTTTTGGATAGAGCCGATATTGCGACCGGCGCTGCCTTGGTGGCATTCCTGCGATTTCTGTCATCCGCTATCTGTCTCCCCATCGCAGAGAATGTCTTTCTGAATCGCCTCGTGGCAGATCTAAGCAATCTGCCTTCGGTTCACCCTGAAGATGTTATCAAAGGTGGTTTAACCGAGCTGCGACATCTCGTCTCAGCCGAGGATCTACCCATGTTACTGCGCGACTATAATGGCGCTGTCGTGAATGTGTTTTACATTGTGGTCATAACATCTTGCTTGACAGCTATGTCGTCATTACTGGTGGAATGGAAGACAGTCAAGCCCAAAAAATAAATACAAGTACATAGATAGAATAATCTTGCTCGTTAAAAAAAATCTCCTATAATTCTACACCTACTCTGAGGTCAGAACCAGGTTGATTGATGCCAGGTACGCGTGTTCCGGGTAGCTCCGGAACGTCATTCCCGCCTTGGAACCAATCTTAGGCTTAGTTGGTAGACCCGAGTAGAAAATGATTTCCTGTCATTTAATAGTAATCACAAACCTATCCATATATTTTGGGGGATCTGCTATCTAATATCTGCTATCTCGCTATATCGGGTATCGTTCGATGCATTGGCCGATCGACGTCGGGGACTAGCACGTGTAAATGTCCCGAGCATCCGGGCGATGCGGGCGAAAAGCCTCGTATGACGTTCCACGATTCAAGGAAGAAACTGACATGTAAAATTTAAGCCATCTTTGAATATGAAATTGTGTGATATAATTGGAGATTTATCTTTTTTTATAATACCATTGGTTTACTGTAGGCCGATTTTACCGAGAACCCGATAGCGGCCTTTGCTTAGTAAAATAGGCACTTAGACAGGCAATGGCGGGTGAAGCTGCCAGAGCCCCAGACGGCCGATGGGCCGGGGAACAATAATTTCTTTTTGAATACTCCGTCATCGGGGGATCATTAAGTTTGACTGTGGGGGTTAGATAAGGACGTGAATCGTTTGACTACCATGAATGACAGACAGGTGAAGAGGAGGAGTAGGGGACATGTGCTTTTGCTGGCCAGGTCCAAGTATAAATACAGAGGAAATTCCAAGTAGACATCAATTGGAATCCTATTCTCTAACCTCATCTCTCCAGTATATTCTACACGCATATCTTCTCTCCCTAAACCCAATCCACCAACAAAAATGAAGGTGCAAGCTACCATTATCGGATACTTTGTCGCTTTCGCCGCTCAGGCAGTTGCTCAACCCGTTGACGCCTCTGTCAGTGATGTACAGGTAAATATTTACGTGTCCTATTAAAAGGGGCTCTACTAAAGCGAATCTAGACCGCTGCTGCCACTTGCAAGGGTTTGCTTGGAAGCTGCCTGACCAACTCTGACTGCTGCGAAGCTGCCACCTCGCTCGGTTGTGTGCTGGGTCTTTGTGTACGTATCTTCCCCCAAATACTTGAAAGCAAAATAAATATGCTAACCGAGCTTGATACTATAGGTTGAGCTTTAAGCAGAAACAATGCTCTCGTGTGAGAGGTACTGTGTTGTGATGTTTTGCCATCGGTCTGCTGGACTGACCACATTACACAACGCCATAGAAATTCCGAGATTAGGAAATCCTCAGAGAGCAAAATATAATTTCCATTAGATATAGTACATTTTAGTAGAATATTTGCATGGTTTGTGTTGGTCGCCCTTCCATGGTGTCCTTTACTGTGGAAAAGTGCAGCAGTGCCTCACCATCACGGACGAATTGTACCCATTTCGTGCGAAGTCGGTGTTCTCCGCAAATAAAGGACCTATATGTACACCGACACCGTCTTGGTGGCGTCATATGTAACTGCGCGAGTCCGCCTTCATCCTCAATGTTCATGCATGCTTCCAGTACGGATGCGACGAGGCGACTGTCCCACAGTCCATCGCAAACAGGCCATTCGCGGAGGAGGGCGATGGCGCGGACTCGAAAGTCGTGTTGGCGACAACTTATGGTGATCCACCAAAACAGCTCGCAGACAGATATGGAAAAGGAGAAATTCGTCCTTGTAAACGGGGCGTTTCCGTAGGTAAGGCGAGATTGCTGCATTTCCTCCAGGGTCTTGAGAACGGCATTGAATGTATCAGTGTGTCTGTCAAAGAGATATATGCCCTCGGTGATATCACTGTTGATACAAGCGCGCATCGCAAAAGCGTATAATTCCAGTAGCTTGGCTCTGTTTTTGTCGTTTTCATTGGTCAAGATGATTGATTGTCGGAATTTTTGAAACTTGTTGGCCCAAGCCAAAGTCTCTTTTTTGTAGAACCAAAACGTGTCTGGGACTGGCATCATGGTATCGGTAGGTAGTTCGCCAACATCTCGCCCAGAAACAATGATACCTGCATAGAGCGGCATCCACTCTGCATACGCGTCGTCTATAGTCTTGAACGGAGCATCGGAGCAGACAGTGGGAAGCTCGCCATCTTGCCATCGTGGTTGGGGGATATGACCCAATCTGTTGACAAATTGGACTTCAAAGTTGGTCACCAACATGACGAGTGATTGCTTGCGAAGCACAGCGTTTGAAGGGGTTGTTTGTGACTCGCTGTCAGGTTTCCAAAACTGCCATCTGCTAAACAGCTGGACTGCGGTGTTGGCATGGACAGTTGCTTCTTTCAAATGGCCACTGAGCGAGTTGAAGCCGATAAAAAGGATCTCGGATATCAACATGGTCTCCTTGTCTGTGTAATCAATGGTTGGCTTTCGAGTAATGTTCTGCAAGTGACGGATGGCCGTCTGGTAGTGGTGTATCGAGGCTACTAGGTATTGATTGGAGGCGGGATGAAGGGAATCGCTATCACTCATAATCTTCCATCTGTGAATGGCAGCCAGGGCTAAGTTGGCATACCACACGGCGGGGTATTGGCCAGCAGCACGCAGGATATCCTTTGTCCAGAGCGACTGATCAAAGGAGCCGGCTACATTGCGAGCTGTGTCCATGCGAAACATGTAGAACATCTGCATGTCCTGAGCGGTTGCACGGACGCTGCTTGGACACGCAGTCGCCGCCGGACGCAGGATTCGGAGGTCGTTTCGCGCGACCAGTTGTTGATGTTGATGCTGGTTCGGGGGCTGCGGCGGTTGGACGGCATAGCCATCGCATTTGCGACCTGTCGAGGTGCAGCGAGTGCAGGCGGGTCGCACTTCATCGCACTTTACTCTGCGGATGCTAGCGGCGATGGGTTAGTATATCGTTGTAGGGTGAAGCCATGGCTGGGGAAGCAAAGCAAATCAAAGGGCAACTTTGATGAGAAATGGCATGCTGCTACCTACCGACATGTTATACAACCAGTCTTTGTCTTGGGTGCCCATTTCTTCGTCCTGCGAGCTGTTCCATTACCCCGCACAGGGTTGTCGGCGAGATGGTCGGGCGGGGAGGCAGACGAGTGTTCCGACGAAGATGATGATGATGCGTCGCCAACTATGGGAAGCTCGCCTTCGATGAGTGGGCGCATGATGGAATCATTCTACTAGCTCGCGGACCCGATCGTTGGTTGGTGAGCTGGCTTAGCGAAGTGATGTGCAGGTTAGAGTGGGAAGGGGGGGCCAAGCGTTGGGCCACTAGTGTTATGCGAGCCAGCCAGCCTCGTTTGCATTTGCCTCGACTAGGCGACTTTGTGGTGCATGCGTTTTACCAACAGCACTGTTTGTACATACTGTAGGCGGTGGAGGTTGTGGCGTTGGAGGGGGGGAAATTGCCACGCAGAGCCTTGCAACAGGGCCTGGAGCAGTTGGCCGAAAAAGAGGCGCATCCCGGAATGTCCCCGATCACAGTAGCTAGCGTAGAGCGGAGGAGAGGAGAGCTGGCGACAAAACAAAAAAAAATTAAGACTAAGACTAGACATTATGTACGGCGTAATCACTGTAATTTACAAAGTCTGTAATACCTGGGGGAAGCCAGTGAGTGCGGAGAAGGGTGCCAATAGTTTAGTGGCCGTTTTTGCTGACGCCTGTCTTTGCTTGCAGAAGCTGGGGAAGCGAGCTCGCAGACAAACTAGCCAACGGGGACACAAGGAGCAACGGCCTTTCAGTGGACTTGTTTCTTTTTTCGTATACATCGTAGCATGTATAGTACTTTGTGCTGTAATTAACTTAGCACCTACTTTATTAAGCCGCCGAAATTTCTGACGGCGCGCATGGCTAGCAGCGGGAAAGAAAAAAAAAAAGGTCCCAAAAAGTATGCTGTGCTTGCTGGCTGCTGGCGGTATTGCGTGCGCCACCGGGACCATCAACCCCCCAAAAATACTAGCTCGGTCCATATTTCTCCAATAAGGCGTTGCGCCCGCCAAAGGACCAGCCGACCCGAGTCACGGCCCACTAAATAAGGAACAAGCTTAATTTGCATGGGCTTTTCTTTTTCTCGCACTGCTCTCTGCACGCACTCTTCACGGTGGCAGAGCATATGCAGCTGACGCAGTGTGGTGGTTGCAAAAAGGGCCATGCCGCATGCCGATATGGCGGCGGCAGCACAAGAGATTTAGCATAGGCTGGGCAAGCCGTTTGTTGCTGTGGCCAAGGAAAATCACGGCTTTCCAAGCCCAAACCCGCCGGGCGCCCCCCCCCCAAAACTCGTCCGTGGTGTTATCTCCATGGGTAATAACCCCGTAGCCTTGTCTTGGCTCTCTCTCTTTCTCTCTAGTATTGTTATTTTGTGCTTGCCCACCCGCTGTTGGCCCTCGAGGTGCGTGCGTTGCGGCCGGGCGTGCCAAGGGGACCAGTGGAACACGACATGACCCCCCCATTTCCGGAAGGTGAGAGTTTTCTTTTGCCCTATCCAGATACGCCATCAACCCTGCTGCAGGCTGCGAATGGGTCTAGAATGTCCACTTGCCCACGCTTCCCCAATCTTTCGCTAGTCACGCTGCACGCTCCAAGCGGGGGCCCGGGGGGGCATTGCTTGCAAGTTGGGGGGATGGGGATGGAGAAAAGAACGAGATGGGGTGCGGAGGCACACGCAACAATACCCAACGCCGGCCTTCCCTTTTCTGCACGGGTCCCGCGAGTCGAGGCAATTTCGAAGCCCATTGTCAGCGCGTGCTAGCTCGCCGTCGTCAAGCGGGGATCCTGTCACGCCTTGTGCTATAAGAACCTAAGCTCCGCCTCATCTCAGCTCGCCTTACTTTCTGGTTCGTCTCGTCTTGTATCCCCCTCCCTTTCAACAAAACAAGTAGTACTTGGCGTCATCTAATCAACTCCAACCAAGTACCTTTGTTCACCATGGGTCAAAAGTCTAGCCTCGACATCTCCAAGGAGGCTGCCGTCGTGGTCGACCGTGAGTCCGTCACTGGCACCTCGGACCAAAACTCCTCTTACGACCCTTCGCGCCCTTTCCCCACCGAAGAAGAATGGGCTACGCTTCCCCGTGTCGCGGGCACCATTCCCTGGACTGCCTGGACCGTCGCCATTGTCGAGTTTATGGAGCGTTTCTCCTACTACGGCACTAGCGCTGTGTGTTCGTGCTACCCCAAACTTGCCTACTAGTCACCGTCACTCCTGCTGGTGATCTCACTCACTGCCTCACTCATATACTAACTCGTTTTGCTTGTTTAGTCGTCAACTTCATTCAAAAGAAGCTCCCCGCTGGCTCTCACACTGGTGCTGGCTTCCTGAAAGTCTCCTCCGGCGCCCTGGGCATGGGCCAGCGTGCTTCCACTGGTCTCACCACCTTCAACCAGTTCTGGAACTACTTCACTCCTCTTCTCGGTGCCTACCTGGCCGATCAGTACTTTGGCCGTTACCTCACCGTCCAGTACTCCAACGTCATTGTCATTCTCGGCCACGTCATCCTCATCTTCTCTGCTATCCCCGGCGTCATTGAGCACCCCAATGCCGCCATTGCTCTCTTCTGCATCGGTATTGTCATCATGGGTATTGGAAACGGCGGCTTCAAGGCCAACATTTCGCCTCTCATTGCTGAGCAGTACAAGGATACCGTCGCCTACGTCCGCACCACCAAGAGCGGTCGCAAGGAAATCGTCGACCCCGCCGCCACCACCGCCCGAATCTACATTTACTTCTATCTCCTCATCAACATTGGTTCTTTGACCGGTTCCCTTGCCATGGTCTACTCGGAGCACTTTGTCGGCTTCTGGCTCTCCTTCACCCTCCCCACCATCTGCTACCTCATCTGCCCCGCCATTCTCATGTACTTTAAGAAGCAGTACAAGCTGTCTCCTCCCACTGGCTCCGTCATGGGCAAGGCCGCCAAGCTCATTAGCTTTGCTTACAAGAAGAGCAAGGGTTTCCGTGATCCCGATTTCTGGAACCGTGTCAAGCCCACTGAACTCCGTGCCCGCGGTGAGACTCTTCCCACCTGGATGAACTTTGATGATGCCTGGGTTGATGAGGTTAAGCGTGGTGTCTTGGCCTGCAAGGTCTTCCTCTGGTACCCTCTCTACTACCTTGCCTACAACCAAATGACTGGCAACTTGGTGTCCCAGGCTAGCACCATGACGCTCGGCGCCACCCCCAACGATATCGTCGCCAAGCTCAACCCCATCTTCATCATTATTACCATCCCCATCATGGATTTTGTTGTCTACCCCCTCATCCGCAAGGCTGGTATCAACTTCACCCCCATCAAGAAGATTACCGCTGGTTTCATCGTCTCCGCCTTGGCCATGGTCTCGGCTTGTGTGATCCAGGCCTACATCTACAAGATGTCGCCATGCGGTGACGACATCAACGCCCTCACCAAGGCTGGCCGCAAGGACTGTGCCGCCCCTTTCTCCGTCTGGATCCAGGTCTTCCCCTACGGTCTCATTGGTATTTCCGAAGTTCTTGCCTCCATCACCAGACTCGAGTATGCCTACACCAAGGCCCCCGCCAACATGCGATCCACCATCCAGGCCATTGCTCTCTTCACATCCGCCATCTCCTCTGCTTTGGGCCAGGCTCTCGTCGCCTTGTCTGAGGACCCTCTCCTTGTCTGGAACTACGGCTCCGTCGCTGTTGTCGCCTTTATCGGTGGTATTGGCTTCTACTGGACCTTCCGCCGTGCTGACAAGGATGAAGATGCCATGAACAACATGCAGACCAGTACCTTCATCGGCAATGTCGCTGACACTGCTGAGGCCGACAAGGCCATCATTGAGAGAACAGAGGATGTTGCGCAGCCAGCCAAGAAGGCTGAGGTATAAAAAACCAAAAATTGTACGAGTTAGAAATAATTAAAATATGATTCCCACTTTGTTAACAATATTTGCCCTATTCCATCGTGACTTCCAAGAGTTGTATTGTTTTTTGTTGTTGTTTTGATGATCAATCGCAGCATCCAGGTACGCACTCTATTTTGCAAGGGGCTATTGCTGTACATGCACTGTAAATTAGCGCACATGTGGCGCTGTGGGGAGTACGCCATTGGATCTACAGATCCCTAGGGGCGCTCGTTTGGTGTCACGCCACGTCTTTCGGCAGGTGGTGGTTTTTAGGCCGTCGGGTGTGCGACCAAGCTGGGCAATCGCCGACCAACTCCCATCACTATTCGGATTCGGCCTTTTTCGTTTTTGTGCAAGGCCGGCTTGTGAAGGGCAAGAATAGCGACGAGCCAATTTCGCGCAGCCAACAGCCAACAGGGGATCGCCGCACTGATGGTGGCTCGTCATTTACCATTCCTCAGCACAATCGTCCGATGCCAGTGGCACCACGCGCAAAGCTTGCGATTCTAAAGTCTTGCACACAGAGTGAACAGCGAATACCGCAGCCTATCCAACATGAGGCCGACCAGGCTACTGAGTTTTCTATTGAGCCGTAGCCTTCTCGTTTACGACTAATTGCGCCGACTCTATTTTTTGTGCCGTCTCTAAAGAATAGCCTCGGGCCCATGAGTTGCGTGTAGCATTTGACCCACATACATGACGATGTAAATGTCCGAACGGATTTCTGGACGAATTCTGACACCCCGTTCTCCCTTCTTCAAATACACGGTGGTCGACAAGGAGGTTTCTTTAGTAGACACCAGGGTCGCATTTAAACCATCAATTCATCCAAAAAAAAATGAGGACTACCTCTGTCGCAGCTGCATTGGCTGTCGCCGCAGCCGGTACAGCCGGGGCCACCACGTGGGACTTTTGCGTACGCCCTGAGCCGACGAGAATACACTCGACTTCCCCCTTCACTAAGCTAATTCCTTCTGCAGTGTACCGCATTATCATTTGCGCTATCGTCTAGTTATCATGGCCCGTCATCACCGGAATACGGCAATCTCACCACCGCTCGCTGGTCAACAACATCAGTCATGCACCCTGGCTGTGTCCTGACACCGTCAACCGCGCGAGAGGTATCCGTCGCCATGTCCATCATCAAGACGGCCGGCTGCCAGTTCTCCGTCAAATCAGGTGGTCATAACGCGAACCCCGGCGCCAATAGTATCGAAGAGGGCGTCTCAATCGATTTACAGCGGCTAAACTCGACCCAACTAGCAGCCGATCGCAAATCTGTCTCCCTAGGAACAGGTATTACATGGGGCAACGCCTACAAGGCATTTGAGAGCGAGGGAATTGCTTTCCCAGGCGGCATCTGCGAGGATGTTGGCGTGGGCGGACTGGCGGTTGGTGGTGGCCAATCCATCTTCCAAGCTTCCAAGGGCTGGGTTGTGGACAACATTATACGCTACGAGATTGTTCTCGCCAACGGAAAGATTGCCACTGCTGACGAGAAGAAAAACCCAGATCTCTTCAAGGCTCTCAAGGGAGGCAACACAAACTTTGGCATCGTCACAAACGTCGAGATTGCTGCGTTTGACTTTGGCACAATGTGGGGAGGCGAGATGATCCTCAACTTGAACGGACCCGAGTCTACGCATACAGCTATGGTCGACAACCTCACACATGCCATGGTGAACTTTGTAGAAAACAACAATCACGATCTCGATACTGGCCTCCAAGTCATCACAACCAACCTTCGCAATGGAGCCCAGTTGGTTGACCTGTCTCTCACCAACACTGCCAATATCGGCAACCCACCTGCGATCAAGGACTTTCTGTCCGCGCCCAACAAGCTAATAGATACTACACGCCATACGACGCTGGCGACCATGGCTCACGTTGCTAGTGAAGCTGTGCCTAAAGGCTTTCGGTAAGTTGTCACCCGTCTTCGCCGTCGTCGTGCACCAGTCTGCTAACATTTCCAAGTTACATTACTGCTAGCTTGACGATCAAGAACGACTATAAGACACTGCGAGAAATCTGGGATATGAACGATGCCGTTTTCCAAGGCCTCCCTGTTCAAGGCCAGGTTGACTGGATGGTATCGCTGATTCCACAGCCAAAAGTACAAAAGTCTCATGCGGCTGCTCGTGGAGGCAATATGCTGGGGCTAGAAACCGCTGACGACGAGATTGTTCTGTGGCTACTGTCAAGGTGGAACAACCCCAGCCTAGATGACATGGTTAGTGATGCCCGACAAACATTCCTCGATAAGGCAAACCAAATCGCCAAGGCGAATGGCGCCGACTCTCCCTTTGTTTACATCAACTACGCTGGATACAACCAAAATCCCCTATGCGGTTACGGAAAGGAAAATGTCGACTTTCTCCGACAAGTGGCCAACAAGTACGATCCCAGCGGCGTTTTTCAAAAGCAGATGCCTGGTGGATTCAAAATCGGAAACGTCCAGTGCTAACTTGGCAATATCATGATATATATATATACATTTACCACAGTAATAATATGTACTCTAGACTAAAACGGAATATGTACGGAGGAAACAGGATAGACGCAAATACACGCTAGCTGCATTTTCAGCTAAACACGTCCAGAATAGCTTTGACAGTCCGCTCTGCTGCCTGGCCATCCCCAAATATCAAACTTGATGTTTTGCTCGTATCTGCATCAGACGAGTTATTCCGTGTGCTTAGATATTGGTCAAGCTCTGATACAATCGTCTCTTTGCATGTTCCGACAACAGTCAGCCCCGATCCCAAGCCTTCGACACGATCTGTCACATCGCGAGTTACGAGCACAGGTGTGCCCATGGTTACGCCCTCTTCCTGAACACCGCCAGAATCTGTGAGGATAACCCGTGCAATGCGTACTAGGTGGATAAATTCGTGGTACATTAGCGGCTCGACAATGGCAATGTTTGGAATGTCTTCCAACAAAGGACGGATGGTCTTGTAGATTCCCGGTTTGCTGTGGCCAGGCCATATGATGGAGCAATGAGGATGCAAGGAGGCGACTGTTCGAACGGCATCTGCAACTTCTGCCAGCCGGTTCCCCATGTTTTCCCTTCTATGCATGGTCACTAGCATCACAGGGTTTGTCGCTGATGTAGCCACCATGTCGCGTACGCGCTGATTGGTGAATGATGGAGGAACTTTGATGACCGACATTAACGTATCAATCGTGGAGTTTCCGGTGAGAATAATGTCGCTCTCCGCCACACCCTCTCGGATGAGTGATGCGCGAGCAGCGCTGGTGGGCGCCAAGTGAAGTGTGGCAATCTGAGCAATCATCTTGCGATTGGCTTCTTCCGGGAATGGGCAGCTCAAGTCACCAGAGCGCAGTCCCGCCTCAATGTGTACCAGTGCGATGCCACGGTTAAAGGCGGCCAATGCCGCCGCCATGGCAGATGTCGTGTCACCATGAACGAGCACAACATCGGGGTTGGCCCGCTCAAGAACCGGGTCGAGATCTTGTAAAATGCGGCCTGCAATGGCATTGAGGGTTTGGTTCTGTCGCATAATCTTGAGGTCATAGTCGGGCTTGATGTTGAATTGACGGTGAACCTGCTCCAGCATATCCCGATGTTGTCCTGTCACCGCCACAATACTCTCAACCCCAACGGCTTCCTGCAGAGCGTACAAAATTGGCACCATCTTTATGGCTTCGGGACGCGTCCCGTAAACAGACATGACACGGAGTGGTTTCGTCATAATGACAGCAGTGAATACAGAAACGATGAGTGAGTAAAGGTCACATTGAAACCGCTCGGGTTTGGCGGCGATGAAATATAAAGAGGTCAGGGGCTAGTCACACTGGCACAGCCCCGGTGGGCCCGAGTAACGACAGGCGAACCATCACGATAAGGTTGCAAAGAAAGCGCCATTAGAGCTCATGGGAAACGAGTAAAGCCACATACGAGCCCTTCTTTCCAAGCTACAAACAAATCAGCTCGTCTTGGCGCTGCTCCCCAAGAGCCTCCTAACCCAGCTGACCGCCCTGTTCTTCCGGCGTTTCCCAGCTGACCGCCCTATCCCGGCAGTCAAGTCGTCACTGAATCTGACTTGAAATATCGCAAAAGAACAATGTAAGATGTCGGGGAATAACGAGTCATATTTTTTTGATCAACCAGGGCCGCATGAGATGGATCACAGCAATAGTTAGATTACCCCTGCAATCATAGCCGTAGGATTTTTTTTTTTGGGGCGGCCTAAAAGCCGCAAATGTGTTCAGCTAAAGCAGTCGCCCCAGCGAATAACACAGCGCCAACCGCCCACGAAAGGAGAGTCGGATTGGTTCTAGAAGCGGTGCTTTTGCTGTTTGATGTGGACGAGCCTCCACCATTGTTGTTGCCCTGGTTTGAGCCACTATTCCCGGAGCCTTGCGCCTTGCCCAGGCCAGCGGCGTTGATGGTGTATGTTTTCCCATCAGCCGCGTTTGTCCAGCGGAAGCTAGGTCCGTTGCCTGGAGTGGTGACCGAGCCTCCTGTGTTTGTTAGTGGCTGCTTGCCAAACGCTGGAAGATTATTGGGTGTGTAAAACGAGCCACCACCAATCTTTTGGAACCCAAGTTGAGACACACAGTCAAACGACGACAGGTATTTCCCGCATGAGTTGAATGGTGTATTCATGTTGGTCTGGAGAGTGTGGGCAGCCTCCAGACCAACAAGATTCGGGTCGGTGTCTGGGCATGTCGCAACAATGCTAGATGGGGCTAGGTTAGTACAACGGTGAAGGACGGAACCATGGTCGTTGCGGCTGAACTACTGACCTGGACAAGGCTGCGCTAATCTCACAGCAAATGCAGCCCTGGATAATCTGCACGTTGGCCGAGGCGTCGCCTCCTTTGGCGCTGTTTGAACAGGTTGCGCTCTCTTGGATGGCCAAGGAGGTCTCCAAGAAGATTTTACCCAAGTTGCACGAGCATGCATCCTGAGCGCCAGCAGGGATGGGGAAATACGGGATGGGGGCTTTTGCAACTGGGCAGTTGGCGAGGAATCCGGTCACGAATATTTGATAGTTGCATTCGTAGACCTTATTCCAGCAGGATGTGGCGGCGCAGTTGATATTTTCCGTGTAGAATGTACACCCACAAGACAGGATTTCCGTCTTTGTATTTCCGTTGGCTTTGGCGGTTTGCAAACACTTATCCAGATGCTCATTAGCTTCCTTTTGGCAGCTGCTGAAGCCAGCGTCGTCGGCGCAGCCTGACAACAGGAGCTGGTTCTGTGGGCTGCTCGTTGCGCGAGATACGCCGGCCGCCATGGCCGACCATGACAAAACAAGGGCCGCAAACAAGGAAGTGGGTAACAAATGCATTGTGAGAAATACGAATAAAATAATAAGAACGAAGAGGCAAGGCTTGGTGCCAAGAAAGGGATCAGCCGTCCGCCATGCGATCGGTTGCCGGCCCTGTTATTTATAATTCTGCTGATGATGAGCCAGGCGTCCCTGTTTGCACATTCGTGTAAATACAACAGGGATGGTGCCGCGAAGCCGCTGCAAGGCATACTTTCTACCGTTTTAGGTAATTTCTGGTCATAATTGCTGTCGTTTGGCAAGCATTCTGCGGAACAATACCGTGCTTCATGGCGAGCTTCACCGGAGGCTGACTGGGTAAGCGACTGAGGAGTTGCCTAATTGAGAACATTTGCGAAGTGCGGCGACTGCTGGTGCGGAAAGGGTCCATGTTTCAGGCGCGGGAATAGTGCGGCCAGTGGAAATAGCCAAAAAGTTGGTGGAAAGGCGGACTCTGAGGCGTATTTAGGGGCGATTTACAAGTGCTGACCAATTTGATTTTGTCAAGTTGAACAAGATGCATACTCTTGGAACGTATTCTGGTCTGCCAGCTGGCAGCAGCGTGTTTAATTCACAATGCCAGCTGTCGGGCGGCGGGTTAATTTGTATTCCTTCGCTGGACCAAGTCCGTCGCGCTTATGTCCGCGGCGGCGGCCCACTCCGAACCACGGAGCTTAACGGTGTCGACATAATTTTCGCTGCCGTTTATTGGGCGGGCAGACTTGTCTCCCAGCAAATCCCATCGCCAAAAGGGTATTCGCCGTTCGGCTAGACGACATAAGATAGTCCTCGAAGTTCAGATACCGACTCCGATTTGATCGAGGGTCTTGCAAGATGCACACACCCGAATCCACCAAGCCCGAGACCTCGGCTCTCTCCGACCAGGCAGCCAAACCCCCTGCTGAGCAAACGCCGAACAGTATCACAGTAACACAGACCGAAAATGATGCATTGGCAGAAAGCAGCGATGATCCAGATATGAAGCCCAGCACCATTGACGGGGGGTCTGCTGCCTGGTTGGTTGTGCTTGGCGCATGGTGCTCGTCCTTTTGCAGCTACGGATGGATCAATAGTATGTATCTCTATATTCAGCACCTTACCTACGGCGCATGCTAATTACAATATAGGTGTCGGAATTTTTCAAGAATACTATGCTACCGGCCCGCTCAAGGACTATACGCCTAGTCAGATTGCATGGATTCCTTCCCTCCAAATATTCTTCATGTCCTTTCTTGGTCCTCTGATGGGTGTCTTGTTCGATCGCTATGGACCTCGCCCATTGCTTCTGGTAGGATCTTTCATGCACGTGTTTGGTCTTATGATGGCTTCCATATCTACGAAATACTACCAGTTCATGCTTTCGCAAGGAGCCTGCAGCGCTATTGGCGTGGCGGCGGTGTTCATTGCGGCTGTCAGCAGCGTCGGTGGCTGGTTCGACAAGCGCCGAGGGCTTGCGTTCGGTACTCTTGCCACTGGATCCAGTGTAGGCGGTGTTGTTCTACCTATTATGATCACAAAGCTCATTGAGTCTGTTGGATATGGCTGGGCTATGCGAACTGGAGCGTTCCTTATTGGTGCTTTGCTCATCGTTTGCATTGCAACCGTCCAGCGACGCTCCAACATCTCAACACAGAACCGAGTTGAAAAGGGAGCGCTTGGGAAGCCATTCCGAGAGAAGGTCTTTGTCCTTTTGATGATTGGTCTCGCTCTCGTACCATTCGGTCTATACACTCCCATTACATATCTACCAACTCTTGCGATCCGGGCATCCATGCCAACCAATCTCGCAAAGAATCTCGTCGCGATATACAATGCCGGCAGGTGAGTTTCACAGACACATAATTTATTTAAAGCGAAGATATTAACGTATTGCATTTAGTCTTATTGGTCGCCTTAGCTCTGGTATCCTAAGCGATAGATACGGCCGCTTCAACGTGTTTGTCATCTCGTGTTACCTGTCTGGTATACTTCTCATTGCCATGTGGATTCCGGGGACATCCGACGCCGCAACCGTCACCTTTGCTGCCCTTTTTGGCATCTTTTCTGGGGCTTACATTGCACTTGTTGTCGCTTTGGTCGCGCAGATATCCCCCATCGAGGAAATCGGGTACCGCAATGGCATCGCAAGTTTGGTGCAGGCAATCGGCAGTCTTGTGACTAGTCCCATTGCCGGTGCCATTATCGAGAGGCCCAACGGTGTGCTAGGTGTTAAGTTATACTCTGGCGCATTCTTACTCGCAGGTACAACATGTATTTTATTTGCGCGTCTTGTCCGGACAAGATGGCAACTAAAGGCGGTCATCTAAACTGCGGCTTGGATTTCCCTAGGGTAGTGGTCTACATCCGCCAATCCTGACTTAGACGATGGAAAAAGTACGACCGCTATTAACTTTAAAAGATAATTTAGCGCTAAATCTGTGATTTATCAATTCTGCGCGAGAAAAGAGAAGGCCTATGTTTCCGTGCCTTCGAACCTTGCAGAGCAATTGTTGCTCGGCTTGGTGTGTCACTCGTGGTGGCTAATGTTGCAGGTGCGTCTCGTCAGATGAGCGTCCAACATGAAATTTTGAAGCATACCGCTCATTGGTCTCCGATTTGTCACTTTGGTTTACATTAAATATAAATATAACTAAACTAATCTCGATATTTAATTACTTATCCCTCCTGATTGTTTGACGCGATGCCGATCCCGCTGTACGGATATTGTTGAATTTCTACGATGAGAGTTCTCGCTGCCATACTAGGTGTTGTGCCTGCTGCTGCTCACTCCATGAATGGGCTTAGTGGATAGTTTGATTGTAATATAGAACCCCTAAGTCTCGAAGAAAGAATTCGAACGCGAGAGGCCTTTTTACAGGCAAATTTCACTCTTCAGAACAGTATCAAAGTGCCAGCGATTTGGCATGTTGTTGCGAAATCCAAGGACGATCCAAACCACGTAGCGGTACGTACCAATCTTCAAAAAATGCTCTGATTTTTTACTGAGCCGTTTTGTTTTTATAGATCCGTAATCGAGGAACAGCATAAAGCTATGAACGAGGCCTTTGAACGAAGTTCTACAGGACGCCAGTTTGAGCTCACTAATTTAATATATAAATTGAATGCAAAGTGGGCTGCTGGAGAGAATAACGATGGCATGAGGCGATCGCTGCGAAAAGGTGGATATGATACTATGAACATCTGGGTCAATCAGTACAAGATGTACGGGAGTGCAACATACCCAACAAAACACAAAAGTGTCCACTGGCGAGACGGAATTGGTATACACACTAGATTGCTCCTTGGTGGCAAGCTATGGGCCTGAAGAAACAAGCGCAAAGTTATCACGCATGAAGCTGGACATTGGCTTAACCTTATACATACATTCGAAACTGGTTGCAAAGCTCCAGATGATGAGGTACAGGATACGCCCAGAGACAATTACAAAGATCCTAAAAAGTGTCCTACCAAGTCGGACACTTGTCCAAGCGAGCCTGGAGATGATCCCTTGAATAATTTCATGTCACCTGGCAGCGAGTAAGTCCAATTAGTATCCGACTCAATGTATATATAAGTTGTAGGACTACTCGATTTACTAACCATTGTTAGTGAGTGCATCAATAAGTTTACACCTGGCCAAACTGAGAGAATGAAGAAGGCATGGCAAACATATCGACAATGACGAAAGCACAACAAATATATCGACAATGAAGCCAAAAGCCTACTGAAGTTAAAGATTCCAGTTAAGTTTGATATGAAATTTGAGTTGGATAAAGATCGAGTGATCTTGTTGTCTAAATCAGTACAAGGTATGCCCCGAGGTTGACAAATCGTCAGGGGACTCTTAGCGACTGGGATCCCTCCTAGCTTACGCCACTTTGAAATTTCTATTTTAGATAAACCGTATATTTTTTGTGGTTGTTTTTGCATATTATTAATATAGAACAATATAAAATATATCCATGCTCTTGTTTTCAGGCATAGATTTTGACCAATTGTGACTTTATTCTGTAGCTGCATTGCCATTGAAAAGAAGGTCGGACGTGGTTTGGGCGGGCAAACCTTTGATCACGCCTTTGTTTGCCATTGCTTTCAGCTGGTCACAGACTGCCTCTCCTTCAACGTCTTCTACAGACATCAGAACCGCTTCTGAGCCGGCCACATGTGGACATGCCATGGGTGTACCTGACATGGGTTGCTAATATTGCATTAGATTTGTTCATGGCTTTCAATTGACAGTCGAGTTAAACTCACAGAGCCACCACCAGGACTGGCAGATATCACGTCAACTCCAGGAGGTCGAATATTCACTCATGGTTATAGATATTTAATAGCTTTATATATTTATAGAAGAAGAAAAACTCGTTTGTATTTTTACAACTGATTATAAGCATTTCCTAAATTGTCATATAATGCGAAGATTATGCGTTGCATCTTGGTGGAGGTGCCAATAGTTTGTAGAGCTGTGGATATTCAGAAGTGCTAGGACCACATCGGTTAGTGACGCTGCTGGTAGGCCTCGTGGGAAGTTGTACAAGAAGGCGTGCCTAGAAATTCGAGTGGATTAACTGATATTGAGTAGATATATTATACCTAGCTAGTAGCTTCTCCTCCGTGCATCACAATTATATTCATGCAATGTTTATCTAACCCACCGCTATGACGCCTTTTGTAGACCAACGAACTAGAATTGGAGACCATGGTGACTGTGGGCACACAGTCCATTCCGACTTCGCTTAGAATGATAAGAAATAGAAAGGATGTAAGATCAATAAAATTTTCCATTATTTGATCTTTCAAGTCTCCATGTTGTCTTATTCCGTATTCGATTACCATTGCAATGAGGGCAGATGCGGTTATAAGCACCTGGTCGCTTGCACTGTGTCTATCACAACAACAATATTGTGGTCAGCTTGTTTTGCGGTCCGCTTAAGAAAATATATCACTGCGTCATCCTATTCTGAAAAAAGTGGCTTAAAATTCTGCGTAACTAATTTACTTTAGAGACAATGTTGCAAGAAATTGAAGGCATCACAAGCACCTCTCAGTGGTGAGAGGAAGGGGGGCGAAGACCGATAAATTCTTCCGCCATTCAGCTTGACATAGTATTCCTATATTCTGCTCTGGTGGATAGAGTATACGCAGCCAAATATAATTAAAATAATTAAAACATAACGGATACAATCCTCCTACATCTGCTCTTCTGCCCCCTTGTGCTGCAGTGTTAACCTTGCCTAGTCACGTAGATCAGCTGGAATTTTTCGATGAGTAACAACGTTCACGCCAAGACTTTGCTACATCACATGGTGCAAGAGCTGATAAAGTTTTAATTTAACTATAATATATTGCTGTAGTGGAGCTTCAAAAGCCGAGCAAGCCACATAATAGAACGATACTCGTTCAGTAGCATCTAATCTTATCAGATTTCAAATGCCGCAACCACTGCTCAAAGCTATATAAAGAAGCAAAAAGAACTTTACGGTATGTGTTAATAATCTCAATGCTAACCTCAATGATTCGATAGATAGTACTGGAAAACTTACAACCTAAAGTGACAAGACGCACTAGTCACCACGATGGCCGACAAGAGTGAGCAGACCAAGGGCACCATGGTTCACGATGACGAACACTTTTCATCGGCGGCTGACGCCGCCAGCCAAGTCGACCAAAAGCCTATTGAAGATATGATTGAAGCTACAGACAACCCAGATGGTATTAGGCGTATTGAAAATATCACTCGAAGCTGGAATCGCCGGGCGCTTGCCGGTGCATATCTGACGTATGTAAAGATGCGAGAGAGGGCGGCTAAAGTATTAGTTGAAGTGATTTGCTAATAATTGAGCTAGGTTTTGGGGAGCCTACCTGCTCTTCAACTTTCAGAGAGCATTTGCCAGCAATGTTGGACCATATGTTGTTAGCAGCTTTGGAAACCATTCTCTTTTGCCAACGATCAGCCTGGTCTCATACATCATGACTGGTGTTATGTATTTACCAATGGCCAAGATAATCAACATATATGGTCGAGCGGAGAGTCATATTGCGATGGCTGTTATCAGCGGCATTGGCCTGATTCTATTGACTGCTTGCCAAAACATTGAAACGTACGCAGCTGGAATTGTAAGCTGGTTCCGATAACTTTTACACCACACAAGGTGTGCTAACCTAATAATAGGTCTTGACAGAAGTTGGGTTCAATGGTCTTATCTATGCTGTTGACATCATCACGGCCGATACATCGATGCTGAAAAGTCGAGCGCTCGCATACGCATTCACCATGTCATCGTCAATCATCACAGCATTTGGTGGCCCATCGGCGGCACAGTCCCTCCTACCCAAAGAAGAGCACCCTGATTCAACTTCTCGGCTTAATCCGATATGGCGATGGTCATTTGGATCGTTGGCCTTGTCTCTTCCAATTGTTGTTGCGCCACTATACATTATTCTTTTCTGGTATGAACGACGCGCCGCTCAGCAACACCATGTTCCGCAGCGACCGACGGAAACACAAGAGCCATCAGGCCCCCTACAGCGCTTCTTGAACGCACTGGTGAGATTTGATGGTAAGAACGGTACTATTCCCAATCACATGATGGTAGCTCACAGCTTTTAGTCCTCGGTATCGTTGTGCTTGCCACGGGTCAAGTCCTCTTCCTTCTTCCCTTTTCCCTTGCAGCATCCGCTGAGCGCCAATGGGCCTCTGGTCACATCATCGCAATGATCGTACTCGGTGTTGTACTCCTAGCAGCCTTTCCGTTCGTGGAAAAGCGCATATCTCCACATCCATTTATTCCTTGGAGGCTCCTCACAGACCGTACTCTTTTAATCGTTTACGCGATCTGCGCGCTATTCCTCTTTTCAAACAGCGCCTACCAGAGCTATTTCGTCTCTTACCTACAGGTAGTTTACGATTTACCAATCTCACACGCTGGCTACATTGACGGGATATCCAGCGTTGTTTCTGGCATCTGGAAGCTTATCATTGGCTTCTTTATCCGAGGCACAGGTTCCTTCAAGTGGTTGTTGGTGACGGCGTTGGCTGTCCATGCTTTGTTTCTTGGGCTACTTATTTACTTTCGTCACACAGGGACAGCTGCGGGCCTACTGGTTATGTGCCAGATCATTCTTGGTATTGCGAGTGGTACAATTGTCATATGCATGAATGTCGGCATCGTTGCCACGGTTGAACATGCAGACATTGCAGTAACTGTTGCGCTTCTAGGCGTTTGCAGCTACCTGGGCGGCGCTGTCGGTGCCGCTGTGTCAGGTGCTATCTGGACCAGCACTCTTCCCAATAAGCTGTTACAGTTCTTACCTGATGCAGATAAAGGCGATGTAGAAATGATTTACAGCAGCCTGCAACAGCAATTGAGCTATGCGCCTGGCAGCCCAACACGGGTTGCGATTGCTGACGCGTATGCGGCGACACAAACATGGATGCTAACTGGGGGAACTTTGGTAGCGGGCGTCGCGTTGATCCTGGCGGTGTTGATGAAAGATATTAAGCTATCGGCGAGAGAACAGGTTGTCGGTGTTGCCTTGTAAAGAAATTAGATGACCATTTGCTAGTCACTAATAATTTTTCAACACCAACACAGACAGAAATCAATAATCAACAAATGGGTTATCGTCCCTCGGAGTACGGGCAATCATCACACTAGCTGACTAGATGTTCCTTGACTCTGTACACCAGCCGCACTCAACACCTTATAATAATTCCAGTTATTTTAGATTATCCTTTAGTAATAAGAGTGAAGCTTCACTGTGAACTCGCATTAGTTTAAATTGCGTTTCAAATCTACATTCATTTACCAGTCACTCTTTAGAATCCTGTCTCAACAGTCAACGCAGTCGGTCACCTGCACTGTGGCTTGCGGCTGGCAAGTTCCGTCATTGGGGGCGCGTTAGACGCTTCCGTCGCCGTAGATTTGTCGTCCTACCGATAACCTACCCAAGAGCGCGGCATTCAAAAAACATCACCAATATAGGCTCAAGGGTTGCCGAGTACATGGCGGATGCTAGTTCATCTAATCCAGCGCCACGCAGGCGGTCGCGTGCTGGTGAGTTCTCTCAACATGAGCTATAGCTAGTACTTTGCTGACGCGTATCCATTAACATAACCCAACAGGCTGCCATACATGTAAAACACGAAAAGTAAAATGCCAGGGCACAAATGGCCCGAGATCCTCGTGCTCCAATTGCCAACGACTTGGTTTCCAGTGTCGATGGCTTGCTCCGGTCCCTGGTGAAGAGTATGTCCCGCCTCCTAAGCGAAGGCGTGCGGTCGGCCAGCGCTCTCGCACGGAAGAGCCAGGCAAGATCGGTAGTCCAAAAGAGAGTAGCATTACGAGAGACGGTGATACCGGGCTATCTGCTGAGATACCGCCGAGACCTGCTACAGATAGCGCAGCCCAGCAGAGTCGCGTCTCTCAGAACCCCGTTGACGCGATTGGTGACGTCGATGGTCTCGCCTTTGATGTCGACTTTGGCCTCTTGTACAATTCGCTTGATCTGCATCTGGTGGGCGAAGGCCTGGAGTTTGTACCACTGCCTGCCATAGATACATCAAGTCTACTATACGACACCGACTCACCAACGGCGCATTTTAGTTCTTGGCCGTCGCTAACCTTGACGCCGACTTTGAACTTATCCGAGACAGTAACCGAAGATGCTACGATTACAGCTGCTTCCGAGTCTAGCAGTGGTGGCGATGTGACTGAAGCCATAGGCAGCACGTCTATTGGTGCCAACAACCGCCATCTCATCCAGCATTACTTGGACGTCATGACTGGCTATGCTAAGGTAGACGACAATTCCAAATACTCAAACAATCTCTTCATATCCGCGTTTACCCAATCACTACACTTTCCGCCTCTGTTTCATGCCATCCTGGCCTTTTCTGCGTCTCACCTTGCCTTGGACGACCCATTATACCTTGCCCAGGCCGCCTCCCTGTCACGACTTGCTGAAGAGTCATTTGACAAGTTCCGACAGGCTGAAAACGTTGAGATAGATGGCTTGCTCTCAGCACTGTTTGTGCGTGCTAAGACCGTTCACATGCTAGCCTCTGGCGTTGATTCGTTTCTCAAGCTCATCACAGCCGCTGTTGAAATTGTCTCGACAAAGCGTGATAATGAAGCAGGTGCTGCTGAAAAAGACACAATATCGCCATTGACAAAACGCATTCTTGTGCGACTAGCGATACTTGATGGGCGCGCATCGCTCCACCGTCTCGGTGGCGGGCAGCTCGTCAATCTCCTCCGAACGATGCCTACGTTTTCCTCGCTTTTTGCAAGACATTCACCGCCCATTGTGGTAACAGAGGATTACGCGCTGCTTAACCTCCTTCGTGCAGGAATTCTCCGCATGCGAGTTGCAGACCTGGATGTAAGACTGTACGAGCAGCTTACAAGCGAGGTTATCACTCAGGCACCAGTACGGACAGACGAGATTACAGCACTATACAAGGATATTCAGCAGGAGATTGACCGGTGGAATGTTGCGATGCAGTCAAAATTGGACACTTCTGAAACCGAAAGTGCTCTAATTGAGCATCGCGTACTCAGCCCAACTGCATACGGATACTATATTGTACTCTCTGCCCTCCACTCGGCGCTACTTTACCTTTATCTTGTTTATGCAAGTTTCTAACCCCTTCATGGTCGAATAATAACCAGCTAACCAACCCTTTATACCACAGCCACTATCGTCGTTTGATTTCAATCATTCCATTTCCAAGGTAATGAACTGCCAGTTGAAGATCACGCATGACCCGTCACGTACCGAATCCCCATCGTCTATGCTGCCGTCCTCTCTCTTTATCGCCGGATTGACAACGTCTGATCCCGTACACATACACTGGATACTGGAACTATTTAGACACGCTGAGAAATGGGGTGTGTACGTCAAAAAGGGGCGTGAGTTGCTCGAGGCAATGCTGAGGCTACCAACGGGCACTGATATTTGTGATACCATGGATAAGGTGACGGGCAGATTCATCATCTAGAAAACTAGCCAGTAGCATCAAATAATAGACTGATTGAACTATCTGTTTTACATAATGTATCTGTATGTCTCCCACTGCTCGAAATCCGTCTTGTCCGTAAACTCCGCCTCAAGCACTCCATCTGCCCCGACGAAGTCTCTCATCATGCGGTCACGGCGAGCATTTTCATAGCGGTACCACGCAATCTGAAACATGGGGACCACGATCATGAGCGTATAGGTAACCACTAAACCAGCGAGTATTAGCAACAGCGGTGGCAAAGATGGCGCCTGGGGCGGCAGAAATAGCACTTACTCAACATTCTAAACGCGAGTTCGTAAACAGGTGCCTGAGAAGCCAGAAAGAATTCTGTCAAAAGAATTAGCAACCTTTTCCCTTTCAATTATGATGCTTGAAGGTTCATTTCAAGACTTACGAGGGCCCGCTATCAACCCGGCAGCCCACCCTGCAAAGATGAGACCAGACGCAGTTGTCTTCTTCGTGTTGCCCGCAAAGTTAGACGCAATTAAGCCAGTATTGAGAGTAAATGACAGCGAATGGCTGTGATTCTGTTAGTATAACCTTGATCACGGTGTGCACAGTTTCGCATACGTGTAAGTGAGATAATATCCCGCAAGCCTCCCAGCCTGATTTTCCAGAGGCAGCGCATGTAGGAGAGTTGCACCAATCAAAGGCGGAACAGAGCAAAGCATGCTGAGAATCAAGGAGATATTCTTGAACCGGGAGGCGAAGTAGGAGAAAATGATGAAGGAAGCAAACTGGATAGTGGCGGCAGGGCATGTCGAGACTAGCGTAGTTTGGAGTTTGGTGAAACCAAAGCCAGCAACGACTTGGCTGGAGAACTGGCGTTAGTTAGCTTTAGGCTCTGCGATGTTATAGTTCAAGTTAGGGACTATTCTTCTCTTACTTGACTGGCGAATGTGGATGGCATCGTGTTTCCTCTGGATACTGGGTAAGCTGCTGTCTGCTGGTGTCTGATTCGATCTGGCGGACTTACACGGCTGTAATAAAGAACAATATAGTTTGAGGGTCGCGTAGGGCCTCCCAGAACTGTGGCCACTTCCACTGGTCGTCCGAGGTGACATTCTGGTTCTTTCGCACTCTCTCAATAGCCACCTTCTTCTCACGCTCGTTGAGCCACCTGGCATTCGCCTGGTTATCTGGCATTAACCAGAATACCAACAAGGCAAAGACAAAGCTCAAGGCGCCGAAAAAAAGGTAAAAGATTTTCCATGTGTGTATTGCTCCGTGCACTGTACGTATGTTAGTGCAAACGTGATAAAAGGATAGCCTGAAAGCCAGAACTTGATTCGGCCCGCGACATGTGATGACCTACCTGTGCCGAGTGCATACGTCAGCAGACCGCCAAAGAAGTTGCCGATCTAAAAGGAGATACATTTTTAGCATGACTGATGCATAGCTTTTCGGGAGTGCCCTCAACATACTGGAGTGCCGCTAAGCCAAAATGCAGTTCGCAAGGCTTGTTCCTGGCGAGTCCACCAGTTGCTAGTGACAATGACGAAGACGGGACCAATGATACTTTCGACGGCTCCAAGGAAGAAGCGAGCTGTCGCCATGCCGGCAAAGCTGTTGCAGAGAGCTTTCATAGCAGCATGTTAGCTTCTTCAAAGTAGAATGATTACGGCAGTTTCCAGCTTCGAGGTACACTTACGGCTGAGCAGAGTAATGGTCGACCAAGTAAGCATTGCTCCAGTGATGAACTTGCCCGCATGTTGAGGCCAACGCTGGACCAGTTTGGCCCAGGTCATTACACCAAGTAGGTAACCAATATAGAATAAGCTAGATACAATAAACATTAGCGTCGATTAAATTTCTCAGTGGCAAAGAGACAAGCTGACCTGCCTAGCCAGCTAAAGTTGCTGCCTTTGAGATGCAAACTCTCTTTGAGGCCGAAGATGGAGCCATAGTTGAGAAGTGTCTTGTCTAAGAACTAATATCGAAAAGCACAAGAGTCAGCAGTTGTTATCGGCTTCGTAATCGAAGCAACCTATATGATAACTCACCGAAAACATGTAGCATCCACAAAGCATGGGGAGCAAGATGAGATCAATCTTCCGAAGGACCCGCCTGTTCTCCTCCTCCGTGTAGGTGATGTGTTCAGCGTCGCCATACACTTTCATGCGTGCAGAGCCTTGAGCTTCATCGACTTTGGCTGCGTACTCAACACCATTGGCTGTGCCTACACTATTGCGCTTATCTGCACTGGCGGCGTTGGAAGGGTCGTGGCGCTGCATACTGTCCGTGTTGCATTTCAAGTGTATATCCTAGCTAACCACCAAAAGCCTGGGGAATCCGGGGCATATTACATCCCCTTTTATAATAGATTATCTCTTCTCTTTTCCCCATGTTTTGTATTCTACCGTCAATTTAGGTTATCTTAGGTGGCGTATCGAGCTTCCGACAATGTCGAGCCGATATAGTCGGTTGGCTGGTCACATGACCTTGTCGGTTAAATCCGTGTAAGTTGCGTATCAATTATATATAAGCACCTTATTTTCTTAGCATTACGGATTATGGTATTGAAAGTATTAATTAACGCTTATTCATTTTCGTTTTATATCTTCCAAATGACTGTTGGTTCGATTTCCAAGGTCTCAGAGCCAACCGTTATGGCGCTACCCGAGACGAGCTCCTCACACCCCGTCATCTTGGAGCCGTACCACGCAGATATTCTTCCAGAATATTGTTATCGCAGTAGGGAGTACCTAATCAGCGGCATTGCTCATGGCGAGTCTTATTGTACTCGTCTCCTGCTCCGCTGCCCGCAAGACCCTACCTTATTCACTGGCCTTGTCGTCATGGAGCCATCCCATCTATGGGGCGGGACCAGCATTTGGCGACACATTAGCCGCTGGCTGATGCGGAATGGTAACCAACGATGCATATATCCTTAAATATATTGCTATATACTCATATGATAATAGGACATGGATGGCTAGAGGTTGACTCTCAAGCCACCTCGGCCATCGGCAAGGTCAAGAACGTCGACCCAGACCGATACCGTAACATACACTTCATCCCAGGACCAACATCAGATTCGTTTGCCGAGACCATTCCATTTGTCCCCAATGCCACTAAGGAATTCCTTGCCGAGGCATACGATGCATTCAAAGCCAAGTGGTGGCCTGCGACATTACAGTCCCCAGAGATTCTCGTCGCCGCATCGCACGCCCTTCGATCCGGCCAGCTCGGTCTCGAGGCAACACGGGTCTTTCTTAGTGGTCTGTCTCAAACAGGCGGCGTAACTCGTCGATTCATTACCCATTCGGCCCATCTACGACTTCCAGATGGGTCTTTGCCCTTTCAAGGATTTATCCCTTGCCAGTCAGGCGGTGACGCGCTGCCGGATGTACCTGGAGTCAAAGTCATAGAGCTTCTTGGTGAGGCTGAGTTCCAATCTGTGCGGATGCCATGCGGTGTCAGCGGCCAAGTCAAGGGTGTTGCGCATCGTCGTTCTGATAGCGATTCGTTCAGGCTCTACGAGGTAGCCTGTATGGCCCATCGCGAGTCGCGGTACTCGTCAACGTTGGAGGACAAGAGATGGTCAGTTGCGCACCTCAATGGGGCAGAATGGAGCACATTTGCGAATTCCTTTATATATCACGCCGTATTTGAGGCCATGGATAAATGGACGCGAGTGAAAGCCACAATTCCTCCACCGGGAGCTATTCTTATGACGGTCGGGTCAAGTGACGAAATTATTAGAGACAAATATGGAAATGCTCTTGGTGGTATCAGAACCATGCACAGCGATGTTCCAATCGCCAGGTTTGTCGCAGCGACGCCCAAGGGAAGACCGAGTTGGTACAGAGGTAGGTTGCACAAGACAAGCTAGCTCACGGAATTACAATTAACCCCTTTCCTTAGGTTCTCAGTGGACCTTTAACAACGACCTGCTGGCAAGACTATACGAGACTCCAGAGAAGTATAGAATCGTTGCTGGTCAAGCTATACAGCGGCAGATAAACGCCGGATTTCTACTACCAGCGGACGCTGAATTACTACGCCGTGAGACAGTAGAGAATATATTCTTTTAACATAGATATCCCATTGAGTTAATGTTCTTCTTGCATTTTATGAAAAGAACATTTCGATTAATATAGTAGCTACAGAGATCTATGCTGCGCGGTATGCTCAAGAAGCCAAGGGTTAGTAAAGTAATAAAAGTCTCTATTTATACTAGTTAAGTTAAACTACTCAAAATAAATACAAAAAGGATTAGTGAATAAGATAAAGGAAGGTAAAGTAAGCTATTGTTGGTTCAAGGATTAATAACACGTGTTATCAAAAGGTGAGAGGTTGTGGTAAAAGTTCGTTGTTCTCTTCTAGTTCCATGGTCGGAACTGCTCTAGTTAAATACAGCGAATACATCCTGTACTCACTTCCTTTTCCTGTGTTTTCCTTAGCCACTTCCAGTGACTTAACTATTCCTTCACTCCTCCAGCAAAGTAACACACGTCCAATGTCACAATAGTCACAACACCACTCTACTTCGCGATATATAAAGTAGTAGTGGGTAGTGTTGACTCGGATTAAAAGAAACCAAGCGATTTCGATAGAGTAATATAGCAAACCAATATTTAGAACAGCTGTTTTCGGGGTCGTTGGAATGGTACTCCTGGGTAGAGGGGTGCTTAGGTTGTATTGGGGGAAATGCGCTGTGTTTCGATGTAGGCCTATAGTAGAGTTATATTTAGTTTTCAATCATGCCCCGTTCACAGCGCACCTTGATGGCGCGCTGTCTCCACTGCATTCATGGGTCGCTTAAGCGTATGTACCTGTCGACAATACATATGTACGTGGTCCCTCGCGGAAAAGAACCTTTTTAGACCAGTATCTTTTTTTTCAGCTTGCATTGGCTTTAACCGCAGCTTTCCATCAATTACATACGATGTTTTCCGACAAGAAGGCAACAAACATGCAACGAACCGCTACAAAGACTCCCAACAACGGCGTTCAACACGAAGTGGATAGTCAAGATGACAAAAGGAAAATCGGTGTTACTGGCGCCGCGTTCCTTATCCTGAATAGGATAGTCGGGACCGGAAGTACGTTTGGTTTCGATGACACATGTATACAATTGTGATGCTCACATGAATTTACAAAGTTTTCGCAACTCCATCAGAAATATTTGCTAAGGCTGGCTCTGTTGGAATGGCGTTGATCCTATGGGTCTTTGGAGGCGTAATTACATTTTGCGGCCTTTCGGTGTTTCTTGAATTTGGTCTTGCAATTCCTCGCTCTGGTGGTGAGAAGGTTTACCTAGAGCGGGTATACCGCTGGCCGCGGGGAATGACAAGTTTTGCCATGGCGGCACAGCTTATATTGTTGGTTTGGCCTGCCAGCAATGCGCTTGCATTTGGAAGATATGTCCTTCTTGCAAATGGCATTGCACAGGACGGTTGGCCTGCCCGCGGCGTTGGCGTGGCTCTTGTTGTCGCGATCAATGTGCTCTGCGCCATCACTCCGAAGTGGAGCATCTACGTGTCTAATATATTGGGCATCATCAAGACATTGGTTCTGCTGTTGATTGTTGGTGCAGGGTTGGCTGCTCTAGCTGGTCATCGCCAAGCTCCGAACCCCCAAAACTTTAAGAACGTATTTGCTGTCGAAGATGCCAGTGGTTACAGCGTGTACGGTATCTCGAGTGCCATGCTTGGCGTTATTTTTAGCTTTCGGGGCTGGGAAAATGCGAATTATATTGCCGGAGAGCTCAAAGACCCGCGCAAGACACTCGCCCTCGCCACACCACTTGCAGTTGGTGGTGTGACTATTCTCTACACTCTAGTGAACATTGCATTCTTTGCCGTCGTGCCCAGATCTGACCTCATCAAAGCCGAAGTGCTTGTCTCAGGTTTATTTTTCGAGAAGATGTTTGGCGAATTTGGTGTTGCAAGAGTGCTTCCAGTCTTTATAGCAATTAGCAACGCAGGCGCAGCGTTAGCGTTCAGCTACACGCACGCACGAGTGATACAAAATTTAGGGAAGGAGAATCTCTTGCCATACAGCATGTTTTGGACATCTGACCGGCCGTTTGGCTCACCCACTGCCGCTGTGAGTGCTCTCCAAATTACTCTATCACTTTGTTTTTTTCTTTTTGAATTCTTTCCGTTTGACTAAATCCTGATAGCTATTATTGCAATCATTTATGACTATTGTTGTCCTAATTGCACCGCCGCCTGGCCCAGCGTACAGCTTTATTATCAGTTTGTAAGTATTAATGAGCTGTTGGAGTTTTCGCAACTTGCTCATATTGCTAGGACTGCATATCCTACCACATGGATACATGCTTTCGTCACCGGCGGATTGATATGGTTACGTTTCCGCAAGTCGGAGAATTGGTCGTCGCCGTGGCGCTCGCCAGTGATCATTTTGGTCCTGTACCTTTTTACTAACATCTTCTTGCTCCTTGCACCATTTATTCCTAACCCTCAAAACAACCGGAAAGGAGCCTACCCTTACTTTACCGTTCCATTGGTTGGCACGCTAACCCTTTTTCTCTGCATACTGTATTGGTTCATCCGTATGAGGCTGTTGCCGCAATGGCGTGGCTACGTCATCGTTGGCGAACATCGAACAGACTCTAACCAATGCACCTACATTGTTTATAAAAAGATGAAGTTTAGTAAGCAGCATTAATAGAAAGTTCAAAATAACTACTAGAAATTCGCTATGCGAGTTCCGCTTTAAACGATCTCGTACTTGTTGGTACAAGGTGTAGGGTGAAGACAAATCAATAGTCTATATGACAACTGGTAAAACCCAGCAATATACTCAAATTACTGTTTGTCGTTGTGTTGAGGCGCCAGAGCAACGGATGAGCAACATTGACCAGTCCAAAAAGGCAGCGGAAAGGAGACAAATATCCTCCAGTGCACCATAAGGTAGTCTCTCTATAGATACATCGAATGAGGTAGTGGAGGTGTAAAACCGATGCATGGTTACTTTTCAACGACCTAAGAGGGCATGTTACCACAACATCATCAATACATAACAACTAGCGAGTTGAAGTTTCCAGAATAACAGGTCTCTTCTCGGACTACATAGATGAATTCTCAATCTTGACATTTTCAGTGTCTAGCCTGATCGAGTCTGACTCAACTGCGACTCAAGCTACTTCGGTTAGTACCCCTTGCTATGATGGGGAGATTAAAGGATCTCCTTCATCGAACGTGTTATCGAGGTAGAAGTATCTCAAACTTTGAGACTGGATGAAGTCGCCGATTTCAGTGTTCTACACCAGGACCATAGCTTTGCAAAGAGACTTCTGGTCATCTTTAAGCGTCGAAGTATCGATGTGCGCAATTATTTAATTGAGAAGGCTTTGATTTCGGTCAATCGTTGCCGAATTAGTAGTACTCCACGAAAGAGCGACGTCAAATAGGCAATTCGAGCAGACATTCGCTTCGGTATCGGTAATGATCCGCCTGCGAGTGTCGAAGTACGTCGTGTAGCAAGTATCATTAGCAATAGCTGATTTAGTATACTGAGCAGTCTCAGTTATAGGATTTTGCTCAATCCCGTGTACCCAACTTGCACCACTTACAAGTTCGTGTAGTTAGCGACTGCGTCGTTGGCATAGAGGTGTCCGCATCTTACAGGTCAACTTTCTGGAGTCTGAGAAATACGGATAACCCACCTTAGTGCCACCCTGATGGCCGACTGATTCGATATGTGGGTCTATTCCATCGTACACATTAGATTATTATTAATACAACTTTTGAACCTATAATAAAAGCTGACAAGCCACGATCTATAGAGCCGAGCCCAGTAGGAATGCTACTTAACCCGTTTGCGGTCGCCTATTCTGGAACTCATTCTTCAACCTCGGTTTGCAGGTCGTAAGATATGGGTTAACAGGCGTTTTTTTTGGCCTCCTGGCCCACTAATAGAGCTCCATAATTACACAGCTATGCAACAGAGACTTGCGTTTTAACCAAAATTGCAAACAGATGAAGGTTACCGCTGAACAGTCGCGTGAAAAGGTAGCGCAAAGCAGTTGAAGCTGAGCCACCGCTTGCGGAAACCAATGGGAACAGTAGGAATGCTACTTAACCCGTTTACGGTCGCCTATTCTGGAACTTATTCTTCAACCTCGGTTTGCAGGTCGTAAGATATGGGTTAACAGGCGGTTTTTTTGGCTCCTGACCCACTAATAGAGCTCCATAATTACACAGCTATGCAACAGAGACTTGCGTTTTAACCAAAATTGCAAACAGATGAAGGTCACCGCTTAACAGTCGCGTGAAAAGGTAGCGCAAAGCAGTTGAAAGTTCTTATCCAACAATAATGACGTCAAGCGTGTGTAGCTCAATGAAGCAACTGGAATTGGATTATATAAAGAGCCTTACCTATCTCGCCTGAAAGGCGTATGACACAAAAAAAGACAAGCAAGATTCCAACTTCTCGCTCTCTATTTTGGCGCTTTCAGACCAGTTTCTCATTTCTGACATTTTCAGTATCTTCAAAACAAGCTTTATTAGGCATATTACAACCTGGTAACATGGCAACATCACAGATCTCAGTTGCTATTGCAGGAGCGGGCGATCTTGCCAAGTACGTTGTCGAAGAATGCATAAAGCAGAAATTGCGCGTCCTTGTTCTAAGCCGAAGCCGCAATGACTGGTTTGCGAACAAATCTCCTGATGTGACGATGCATATCACCGACTACTCAATTGATTCCATCGTTCAAGCTCTTGACGCCAACAAGGTTACATGTCTCTTTAGCACGCTCAATTGCTTTACTCTAGAGACCTACTTACCTCCACATGTGTCTATGCTGGAGGCATGCAAGCAGTCTAAGAGCTGCAAACGATTTTCTCCAGCATACTTTTGCGGGAATATTGACGAAGTTCCGGGCCTTCCACGGTTCTACAAAGATTCGCGCGAAGGGTTTTTAAAGACATTAGCATCGACTAGTCAAGACATCGAGTGGACGACCATATCACATGGCTGGTTTATGGACTATGCTATCATTTTTGCAGAACCATTCAACCGCAGCGACAAAAGCTATCTCAAGGCACTCCCTGGTTGGTCGATTGATATGATGCAATGGAAGGGAATTCTGCCTGGTACTGGAGACGAGCGCGCATCGTTCACATCGGCACGTGATGTCGGCAAGGCAATAGCCAGTCTAGCTACTACATCGACGCCATGGCCTAGACATACGTATATCTCGGGGGAGGATACAACTTGGAACAAGCTGGCTGACAAGCTTGAACAGTTCTATGGCAAGTTACTGAGTATTATATTACTCTCGAGTATTGTATTTGCTAACGGCATAAAAGACCGCAAGCTAGTGGAGCGCAGCTATCGTTCAATGCGTGAAATTAAGGAAGGCCTTGCCTTAGATCAAGAAGACATGGGCCGTCAATTGCAGCTTCAGCTGCAAGAGTGGACTGTTGCTGGTGGGCAAGGTTTACCGATTAATGAAGTTGAGAGGCAACGAATAAAGTACTTCAAGGATATTAGATTTGAGAGTATAGATGACTTTTTAGAACACTCGAAAGGTGAGGTTTATAGTAACTAATATACTATTTCTAGCTTCTATAATATAAAGGTTAGCAGAGTTTAGTTAGGCTCTAGCTCCTATGCGGTACTAGATCGTATACTTCCCCTGTCACATGCTCGATAGAGATTAGCTAGAAAAAAAACGTTCGCCCTACTCTATTGCATGAGGTTACGCTTTGGCGGGTCGTCAGCTTGCTATTTAGGTTTAATCGTATCATTCCCCATCTTTTTTTATTCTTCTTTTCGTTTCTTTTTTCTTCGTCTATAGAGTAGTTAAATAGAAAGAGGAGATAAGCTTCAATCAATGTAACGGTCTCAACTGAGTATATTGACAACTAGCTGAGCGACTACTACGAGTATCCGAAGATGAAGAAGAAGGGATCGAAAAGGGGCTATTCCAGCTAGCTGGAATAGCCTTTTATATGACTTACAAGGGTCCCTTGCCTAGATGGTGTCACGACCTGCTGGATCGCTCTATGGTCCATCGGTCACAACACTTACGACAGTTACAATGTCGAAATAGTTGCTACGCAACGTGTTCGCTTGCTAGCTGGCCAATAGAGAAGTGAACTGTGGAAGGAGGAAAGGGATTTGTCCTCCTTCAAGTTTATTGTCTTTTTTCTATCTCATATATAGAACAGTCAACAATAGCATTATGTTTAGCGAACTTTTCTCGTACTACCTAGACAGCTACGTGACACAATCCTCATACCTACCCAGGAGCGACAATCGAAGTTCCGTTCGAAGCTTCGATAGTGAACTCTTTCACGAGAAAATTAGGAGGAAATTCTACTTAGTAAAGGCACTGTTGACCAGCACGTCTCCATGCCACTGCAGGCTATTATAGACGGAAAATACATCAAATCAAATCAAATCAAATCAAAAAGACTATCTTACAGTAGGCCCTCTATAGGCTTGTATTCTGCACTGTAGTTAAATGAGCCTTTATGATATTAGGACTTCCTATTGTAATTCCATGTCTTGGGATGTTGCTCTTGTGAAGTTGCAGTTATAGTAGTTGAATGGCTACTGCTGGTACGTTAGAAGGGAGCCCGGCGATGACGTTGCGAGGCTTGACTGCAGCGTAGCTTGTTAGAGTGGGCGGACGAACAGAGGTAGGATGGAGTATTTCTTAGAATTCAACTAGGTAATATTAGTCTTATCTAATATAATCTAAGCGATTAAGAGGATGATAGGGTCATAATTGCCTGCTATGAAAGTACGAGCATGGACGCAAAGACGGCCAGGTACGGCATAACAGAGAAGGCTACCTTGCCAGCATCCGACTTTGCGTTGGTCGGGGTGCTAGGCGAAGAGGCTACGACGGAGGACGATAGACTAGCAGTAGTGGGTGTGCTTGTGGATGTGCCATTACCACCCTGACCAGTCGACGAGGGGGAAGATGCCCGCAGGCCAAAGCGAACCTCTTTCTTGCCCAAATCAAATTCGGTCACAACCGAGTTGAGAAACATGTCGGACAGAACCTGAAGCCCCTGGGGGAAGATGTTTTCATTGCCTAAGTTGTTGAAAGACTTGGTTATGGCGGTGACGCAGATGGACTTGTCACCTGGCGATAAAGGTTGCAGCATATCCTTTGTGCTGGGCTTGAAGAGCTTGCCACCAATAATGAGGGCAAAGTCGGGGACCTTAGCGTCGCAGGAAGTACCGTAGATTTGGTACGTAGAATTGAACTGTGCGGGGGGATCAAACGCAGCGTTGAACTTGTCGGCGATATCGTCAGGGAGGCGGTTGACAAAGGTGCCCGTGTCGACGACGAGGGGGTAGTCGGTGGATACACGCTTGCCAGCAAGCTCAAAGCCATCGGGCTGGATCGTGTAGTAGTTGTTGGTAGAGTTGTCACCCTTGAAATGAACGCTTGTGAAAGGGGCAGAGATCCAAGACGTGACGTTGGCGGCCTCGGGCACGGAGGCTCCGAAGCCAATTGAGCCGGTGCTGCTGTCGCGATTCAACGCAAAGCTCCAAAAGGGCTTTTTGATGAGGGGACTGCTGGAGTTGTACATGGACTCAAAGACGGTCGGGTACTTGACTTGGTTCTCAGGGCCTACCTGCACCGTGGTAGCGTTGTTACCCTTCCACGCAGCCTCCATAATGCCACCAGGAGCCATGCCCAAGATGCCATCACCGGGTATTGTGTTGCTGGTGGAGCGGTCTACGAAGGCGATGCGCTGCTTGGATATGGTGATGCCGGCCACCTCGATGGACGCGTAGCCAAAGGGCCCGCTGAGTTGCTGGTTGGTGCCGTATGTCTGGTTGAAGACGACGCCGTCGACGCGCTCAAAAGTGCCCGAGTACTGGTCGTCGCCAAAGGTGCAGTTGTTAGCCGGCGTGAGGTTCGGGCTAATACATGCGATGCCCTTGGTGTAGACAAATGTGTCGGGGCTGCCCGAGTCGATGACTAGTTGGCGCGTGATGCCGTTGATCTTGACTGCGACCGAGGGCTGGCTAAGCATGGCCACGGGGTAGGTCAGAGGGCCGGTGTGCTCGGGCTGAGCGGCAGCAGCAGTAGCCGATAGGGAGAGTAGGAGCATGTAGAGAGAGGCTACAGGGGCCCAACGCGACAGTGTCGAGCTGGAGCCAGAGCTGCCGGATGACAACAGCATCCCGGTCATGTTTGACTTCTTGGTTTTTATTGTCCTTCGGTATATAAAAGTTGGTTTAGATGGACGTTACGTTATATACAACGTTTCAATTAAGCAGTCCGCCTTCTTGCTATTTATATTTGCATCTTTGCTGACAACATCTTTCTATGACGTTTTGCGGCTGATATGGCCAGGCGTCAGATGCAAGACGGGGCTGTGAGGCTAGCAAGCTGGATGTTGATTCGGGCAATATGCGCCGCTATGACATCACGGTCCGCCTTCGGCTGTCGCTCTCCATGCTATGAACCATAGCCACTCGCCGATCGATGGCCTAAATGGGTGCTATGGACGTTTTGCCGGAGTCCTGCTCGTGTCCATTGGCGCAGCCTCGTTATGCCAAATAGTCGCCGCGCTGGATTAAAGCCCAATGAAAGCAACAGCGGAACTCGCTACTTGTACCCAGCTGGGCTAGCTGGGAATTGTAGGTATAGCAAGTCCAATGAAGGCAAATGTCAGTCGCCTCTGGAGCAAGTGCTTGTTCCGTTGTCTGATTGGCCGAAAATCCAAAGCTGAATCCGCTTCGCCTTCTATTCCGGGCAAGGCGAGTCGACATAAAGAGGCATATTTGATTTGATTTGATTTGATTTGATGTATTTTCCGTCTATAATAGCCTGCAGTGGCATGGAGACGTGCTGGTCAACAGTGCCCTTACTAAGTAGAATTTCCTCCTAATTTTCTCGTGAAAGAGTTCACCATCGAAGCTTCGATATGTATGTATGTATATTATTAACGTCTATAAAGCGCTACAGAGTAGCATAAGACGTGTAGAGGAGGGGCTAAAATATTGCAGTTCTACAGGCCGACAAATCACTGTAGGTGGTTCCAGCCGCGCACGTGAGTGCGCGACGCCAATGCCTTCGGGTCCACCCCGTTGGTCGCCGCGTCCTGTCCTGCCTCCTCCCTCAACCACGGTTTCACGCCCGAAGGCCATCGTTATCTAACTCCTTACCCGACTCGGGATCCAGAGGATGCCTCGACCAGCCTTGGCAAGCTGATTATCTGTTACCATCTGGTTTCTTGATGGGGACCAGTTCACCCTGTTGTCGACGGGCCCTTTCTTATGAGTTGCGATGATTACTAGCGACCTAGGCGTTCCACGTAATCACGTGACTGCGGAGTCTTGTGGTGATATAACAAGGTATAAGTTACTCCAGGCGCTAGGCCTATTAAGCCAGCTATTATATCACGTTCATAACAAAAAATTGTACCGGTTTTACGCCGCTGCTTTTCTACCGGTTCATACCCCTGTTTCTAAAGTGGGGTGATCTTCAAGGTGGTTGTCGTGCTTAATCCCTGTTGATTCCGCCCAGATCGTGCAAAAATACCCTGTTCATTCCGTGTAAATTCCCTGTTCATTCTGCGTATACCCCTGTTGAATCGGATGGATGTGTCTTGCAATACCCCTGTTTAATCGACTGAACGCGTTGGAATGCTCTGAGTCGACTGAACGCGCCGGATGCCCCTGTAGACTCGCCCAGTCCTAGGGCTTAATTAATATCCCTGTTGATTCCGCGCACTCCTATTTCTCTTAACTATTTTACTTGATTATTGGTAAAAATATATTCGCTTATTATATTAAAAGTATCTCATTAAAATGCTACCTACTAGTGAACAGCTGCAACAGCTCAAATCTGTCAATCTATTCTATGACCAAGATGCCCCTGATATTATCTGCATGGACTGTGGCTTTGCATTGAAGGCAAGCAACCAGCTAACTAGATACCTTGGAGAGAAGCATGGAATAAGTAGATATACACACCGGGGCCTCACTATCATGCTAAAATCGTTTAATATTCTAGATCCGAACACATTACCTCCACGAAGCAATGGCTCACAGCCACACCCCTATCTTTTGGTATAACATGGCTCTGCTTGCCGCCTATGTCACTTGCGAACGACGAGCTTGGATATTATACTGAGGCATTTCGCAACGGCTCACCTAGAACTAGCCAAACCATCTACGGCTAAATCTCGATGGCTACGAGGATATATTTAAGAGGATGTTGCTCTCTAAAGCTGGACTCATGGTAATATGCGTGATTCTTGGCATGTCGCTATTCATCGGCGTGACCCTCATGTACCACGAGCTCTAGCCCCGAAGCCAGATGCTATTCGAAATTTTATAGACGAGATTTGTACCAATGAATCACAATATATCCAGTCCGGCTATGCCAAGTCCACTCAATCGAAGATGGTGGCTCCGTCGCCTACTCTAATAAATTAGGGTAGTAAAGGTCTCTATTTATTCTAGCAAAGTTATACTACTCTAAATAACTACCAAAAGTATAGGTAAAGTAAGTAAAGAAAGAAAAAGAAAGAAAGAAAGTTGAGAAGTTAAAAGACTATTGATGTAACGGGCTAGGCCCGTGGAGGTCTCGGGTAGCCCTCGACCATCTAGGCAAGGGACCCATGTAAGTCATATAAAAGGCTATTCCAGCTAGCTGGAATAGCCCCTTTTCGATCCCTTCTTCTTCATCTTCGGATACTCGTAGTAGTCGCTCAGCTAGTTGTCAATATACTCAGTTGAGACCGTTACATTA